AGGAGAAGAGATCATATGCATTTGAAAAGTAATAGTTCAAAAATTTAAGTCAATACCGCGTTGAAAGAGGAGAAAAGATTTATCTTACACTCAAATATAACTAAATAAACAATCAAAAGTAATATTTTTTTTGAATTTAAAAAAACCGAGAGTATTTCTAATCAATGATCTGAGGATAATAAAAATAACGCTAACATTTTTAAAAAGAATCTTTTTTTTTTTTTTGAATTGGATTAAATATATCAAGAACTAACTGGATATACGTAAGTTTTTATCCCTCACTATTTTATTCTAAAATGCAATCTTCAGTCCGAGCAATAATAAATGTGTAAGCAGCAAAATAAAATTTTAGGAGATTTTAGATTATTGATAGTTGGATTTACTTTTCACCTTATTATATAGGGGTATAATTCTTGGTATTTAGAATATAGTTAAAATGAAAATTTTTTCTCATTTTATGAATCCTCTATTCACTATAGATGGTTTTGTCTCTAATTAGTAAATCGGGGTTTGTTGTAAAGGATCCTGGGCGACAAGTTAAATGATCACAGTACGTGCTTTTTTGACTTTTCTTTCTTTCAAATGACAGATATCAGCTCCCAATCCCAGCTGATCAAGTGAAGCCATTAGCCTTTGAATATGATGATGAACGAGGTAAAGTCTGACATTTGTCCTTTTGTAGCTTGCTCATTCCTTTTCCTCTCTCTTCTTGGATTGTTCATTATGTATTTTTGTTCCACTATCTAACTTCATGTTTATTAATCTAATATTGCCTTCCTAAAAGCCTTACGTACATGCCAAAGGCCAAAGGTCCTTAGTGGTTGAAGAAGAAATAGAGAAAGATGTTATTTAATCCAATCAATATCTTTAAAGAAATATCGCTGTTTGTGAATGCCACGACATAGTCTCTAATGAAGGCTCGGTTTTGAAAGCCGAACTTTTATTTTTAGGGGCTGGAAAATCGTTAGTGCAAGTGATGTAATTAGATAAAAAAAATTTGGCTACAATGGGATAACAAGTTGGTTGAAACTCACATGTGTGTTATCCTTAATTATCTATGATTTTGTCTGATGCTTGGAAAATAAGTTGGTTTGTAGCTGCATCAATGTCACTTATGAACCTACTCTAATTATGTTGAGTAATGCAACATTCCAAGGATTTGTTCGTTTATTTAATGTTTTTTTTTTATCAGTATCAGGTAATAGTAATGTGTAGCAAGAACATAATGCAATGGGGGTTGGGATGGCGGCTCGAGATATGGTGGTAGAGGTAGAGGTTCGCGGAAGAGGTCGGGGTTACCCGTGACGTGGAAAGGGGTAATGGTGTGGGGGAATAAAGCAGGATTCAGGTTATTACAACGGATATGGTGGACCGGCTGGAAATGCCTGCTCAAACCGTGGTAAGTTCCTATTTTGTTGTAAAAATTTCAGGCATTTCATTTTGTTGTAAACTCAAATTTTATTTTTGGGACATGGCACAGCCCATTCCTTGGTGATGTTTCAGTGCATATGTTGATTTTCCTAAGTCTATTTCTGAATCTCTAAGCGGTCCAAAGGACGTACGGGAAGGCCTCGTGGTCGTGGGTCTCAGGTTTAGATCCAGGGTGGGCCAGACAAGCAAGCTGCAATGACTGGCGCTGAGGTAAACACAAGTTTCCAGTGGGAAAAGATGGATTTTGGGATTGCCAGATTTGCGCTGTATCTTTTCATGAAAATGGAAATTAAAAAAAAATTATGGGTTTTTTGAGACTGGAAATTGTTTTCGAGGCTGCATTTTTGTAGGTAGGTACAGTTAATTTGCAGTACATTAGCACTAGCTGTTTAACAGGAGTGTTATTTCGCTGTTGTTAGTGGTCAAGGTTTCATTCGTTTCGACAAATGAAATGACAATCTGATTTCTCCTCTCTCTTTTTGGACCTCTCATTCTTCCCTTTTTCTTTTCCATTCTTTCGTAGCCAACAAACCAAACTGAATCTCAGATCTAAAACCTAATTAGGATCAAATGTGTGCTGATCCTAACAGCTGCCTTCATGAATAAGTTTTATGACCCAACCCAGTGTTGAGGTAGGTGCAATTTCCGGTCTGTAATTTGTGACAAACCATATGAAAATCCTTTTTCTTTTAGTTTGGTTTATTTAAACTTTAATACTTAGCTTGTTGGATGTAACCGCAGCCATTTCCTATTAGTCTCTATGGTTGTGGACGTGGAAATGCTTGCTTCAAGGAAGCTTGCACAAGGATACAAAGGTGGAAATGACAAATAAAAAATAAAAAAAATCCTTCGTCATGGTTAATTATATATTATATATATATATATACTATGTATTATTTGCTCAAACTACTGTTCAACTAATGTATCGTTTGTATTGAATAGTTTCCTCTATATGTGTACAACGTTTCTACTCTCTATCCCTCCTTCCCATACGAAACACCAAACCAACAGCGTGATAGATGCTATGGAGGAGGCATAGTTTTGTAAACCTCAACACCTGCAATTAGCCACTTCAATATCAATGGTTGAGCTAGGCAAGCTCATACTACCCACAACCTTCTCTTTTCCATTCACATACTCATTGCTTCTTCACCTTACAGTGCAGGATCACCAACCTTCTCTTTCCATTCACATACTCATTGCTTCTTCACCTTACAGTGCAGGATCCATTTCCCCTTACATTTCTATGGTTTCTGCCACCATTCCCTCTGTTTACTTCCACCATCTTCCCACCATAACTCTTCCTTCCACAACCACGAGTAATAACCATGAAACTCTCACCTTTGAGGTTATTCGTCTCAACAAGCCTCATCTCCATCAAACCCTACTTTCTATCTCCAAAACCCACACCATTAAAGCTTTAATTGTCGACTTCTTCTGTGCTGCTTCTCTTTCTATTGCTTCCCAACTCAACATCCCTGCTTATATTTTCTTTACTTCAGGTGCTGGCTGTCTTGCCCTTTTTCTGCATCTTCCCACCATTCATCAGAAAACTACCAAAAGTTTGAAAGACCTCGACACCTTTGTTGATGCACCAGGTCTGCCACCCATACTCTACTCTGATATGCCAAAACCAGTACTTGATCGCACTGATAAGGCGTACGAATACGTTATTGAATCAGCTACTTGTTTTCCAAGTTCAGTGGGGATTATCGCAAACACCTTTGAATCGCTTGAGACCAGAGCACTCAAAGCAATATCGGATGGATTATGCGTACCCAATAAGACCACGCCACCCATTTACTGTATTGGGCCATTAATAACGTCTAGCACTGAAAAAAATGGCGGTGTGCCTGAGTGTTTAACTTGGCTTGATTCACAACCGAGTCGAAGTGTTATTTTTCTGTGTTTTGGTAGCTTAGGATTGTTTTCAAAGGAACAATTGAGAGAAATAGCAATTGGGTTGGAAAGAAGTGGGCAAAGGTTTTTGTGGGTTGTGCGTAATCCACCTTCTGATAACCAAACCTTAGCCACTTCCCCGCAGTCAGACCCAGATTTAGATTCCTTGCTTCCTGATGGTTTCTTAGATCGAACCAAGGATAGGGGATATGTGGTGAAGACATGGGCTCCTCAAGTAGCAGTATTGAATCACAACTCGGTGGGTGGGTTTGTGACTCACGGTGGATGGAACTCGGTGCTTGAAGCTGTGTCTGCAGGAGTTCCTATGGTGGTATGGCCGCTTTATGCAGAGCAAAGGATAAACAAAGTGTTGCTGGTCGAAGAAATGAAAATTGCTTTGCCAATCAATGAGTCTAAAAATGGGTTTGTAGCTGTTTCGGAAGTGGAGAAGCGGGTTACTGAGTTGATGGACTCAGATACTGTTAACTCAGTCAGAGAGCGGACTGTTGCTATGAAAATTGCCGCTGAGGAAGCATTGAGTGAGGGTGGTTCTTCTCGAGTTGCATTGACTCGACTCACCGAGTCGTGGAAGCATTAATAATTGGTTTAAATTCTATAATTTGATGTGCTATTAAAAAAGTAATTTAAAATCCGCAGTTGTTACCAAAATAATTATGTTTCTGTCGCAGAATAAATCATCATATGTAACCTAATTATAATTATAATTACCATGTTGAACTTAAACTAGATTTTTATCTGTTCTCTTATTTAATTATAGATGGTTAGAGAAATACATAATTTGGTCTAACCTAACCCAACCAAACTCTAACCTAGTCCAACCATACTATGTTATACCTTAGTGTAATCCTAAAGATAAAGAATAAAACAATGTATAAATCATCACCCGGTTAGCCTTTTACTTTCAAGGGCGAACAAAGATTAAACGGGTTTGTAAACTGTTAAAACGGATACGTAAGTATAAAAAAAACCTTTAATTTTAATATTTTTATAACTTTAGTTAATTTTTGTATTTTATATTTTGTTTTTTTATAATAATTATGATTTTTATGTGGTTTCATTCTAATTTACATGGTTGTCAAGTGTAAGTATAAAAAAAAACCTTTAATTTTAATATTTTTATAACTTTAGTTAATTTTTGTATTTTATATTTTCTTTTTTTATAATAATTATGATTTTTATGTGGTTTCATTCTAATTTACATGGTTGTCAAAAATAATAGTGTTACAACTCTTATTATGTCACCTTAATTGAAAATTTCACTAATAATTTAGTTTAAAAAAAAAAAATTCTTGTGATGGATTAGGATGGCTACGTGACTCTTAATTTTAAATTTTAATTATAGAAAAATTAAATTTTTTATTGAAACAACGTAATGCTATTTCGATATACTGAGTCTCGCAATTAATTAAAAATTTTATCTATATAATATTGATGTATTATAAATGGAAATTCTAACTATCAGTTTTAAAGAGTTACGAGTTGTTATGAAAAAATCGTAAGATATCAAAATTTGTAGAATTGAATTTTAGGATTTTTTGTTTCTTTCTTTTTCCATTTGGCAAAAACAATAAATTTCGAATTTCAATGCAAGCTGAGTACTACCTCTATTTATCTTATTTGAAATTTCACATCATTTAAGAAATTTATTAAATTTATCTAAGTTATAATAAATATTGAATAAATTGATTATATTACTTTTTATTTATGATTAATTTTTTTAAAAATTATTAAATAAAATTAATACGATTATTGATCCAATACAGATGGGTAAATTCAATAAATAGCAATAAATATTGAATAAATTGATTATATTACTTTTAATTTAATATTAATTTTTTTAAAAAAATTATTAAATTAAAATAATAATTATTGATCCAATACAATGGGTAAATTCAATAATATAGTATAGATTTAATGGGCCAACGTAATCTTCATGAATCATTAAAACCCATAAATATAACAATTGTTTGAAAATAAATTATTTTTTAAAATGTGACAAATATTATGAAGTAAAAATAGTAATTATTTTCGATTTAGGGCTCTGACCAATGGAATACTTCCGCCTGACTTGAAGGTGCAGCCTTATCTCATCATATTAAAGGTCGAAAGTTACTTATCCAATGAATTTTTATATTCTACGGAAATAGTAGTTCTAAATACTTCTTTCCACTCTATCATAAATAACAATTTAATTTGCCTTTACTTGAAAATTAAGAAAAATATTTAAATAAAGTAATTTTATTACTCTTTTAATTTTATTTTTTAATAAAAAGACAAAAATAATTGATAAAACAATATTATTGATAAAATAATATTTTCACTTGTTGAGTTTTAATTAAAAAAATAGATAATTAATTCGAAGCATTTTAAATTAATAATGTAAATTATGTCTTGTTGAGGAACATTAGTTGGTCCAATAACTATTAACAACTGTTAGCATTTAGATATTAATCTACATGTAAAATAGCAGTGTTGAATAGAAATAATTTTTTAACACTCTTTTTAACTTTTAAATGCTTAAATATTTACGTCACTGAATAATAGGAATACTCTTCCTCTTTACTTACCAAATTAATAATCATGAGGTCTTAAATCTTATGTGTTAAAATTAAATTTGTGCTAAATAAAATTTATTAGCATATCATCCTCCAACCACCAAATCTTACGGTTAGCACTATAAGCCTCAGTTCTTGTGGTAAGCATTATAGGCAATTGTGGTGTGAAGAGCTACCTAATTCTTTATTATCCCTTCAAAAATTGAAGTATTTGTCCAAACTATCTCTAAAGAAACGATGGAGGAAGCTATAGTTCTTTATACAATACCAGCCATGGGTCACTTGAAACCTATTCTAGAGCTAGGTAAGCTCATACTCACCCATCAACCTTCTCTTTCAATCCACATAATCATCATCTCTGCCTCTCAAACTACTACAGTATCCATTTCCTCTTACATTTCCCAAGTTGCAACTACCATTCCCTCAATCAAGGTTCATCATCTTCCTTCAACAAATCATGAAACCAAAATCTTTGAGGTTATCCGTCTTAGTAATTCTCTTCTCCACCAAACCCTACTCTCCATCTCCAAAAGCTACTCCATTAACGCTCTAATTATTGACTTCTTTTGTGTTGCTTCTCTTTCTGTTGTTGCCCAACTTAACATCCCTGCTTATTTCTTTTATTCTGCTTGTGCTGGTAGTCTTGCTCTCACGCTATATCTTCCTGTTATTCATCAAAATAATACTACTTTTAAAGATCGCAGTGCTTTTCTTGACGTGCCGGGTTTGCCGCCAATAAAGTTGTCCGACTTGCCTAAACCAGTCCTTGATCGCTCCGGTGATGTCTACGAAAGCTTTCTAGACGTGGCTGTTGGTTTACCGAAGTCATCGGGGATTATCATTAACACCTTTGAGTTTCTAGAGAGTAGAGAAGTCAAAGCAATATTAGATGGACTAGGTCTACCCAAAGGCAACGCCATATCACCTATTTACTGTGTTGGGCCATTGATAGAAACCATGAATCTAACAGATGGTGGGCATGAAATAGAGTATTTAACGTGGCTTGAGTCGCAACCGAGTCAAAGTGTTATTTTTTTGTGTTTTGGTAGCTTAGGGAGGTTCGAAAAAAAACAGTTAAGGGAGATAGCAATTGGGCTGGAGAGAAGTGGACAAAGGTTCTTATGGGTTGTGCGTAATCCACCTTCTAATAACCAAATCTTGGCTCTTTCAACTGAGCCAGAGCCAGACTTGGACTCATTGCTTCCTAAAGGTTTCGTGGATCGAACCAGGGAGAGGGGACTTGTGGTAAAATCATGGGCTACTCAAGTAGCAGTGTTGAATCACAGCTCGGTGGGTGGGTTTGTGACTCATTGTGGGTGGAACTCGGTACTTGAAGCAGTGTGTGCTGGAGTGCCAATGGTGGCATGGCCGCTTTATGCAGAGCAAAAGATAAACAAAGTGTTGTTGGTGGAAGAAATGAAAATTGCTTTGCCAATCATTGAGTCCGAAAATGGATTTGTTACTGCTTTGGAGGTGGAGGAGCGAGTTTGTGAATTGATGGGCTCGGAAGCTGGTAACTCGGTTAGAGAGAAAGCCATTGACATGAAAATCGCAGCCAAAGCAGCGGTAGGCGAAGGCGGTTCCTCTCGAGTTGCATTGTCCCGATTCATCGAGTCATGGAAAAAGCTTTTAAATTTTTAATGTTTTCTTTCCGTCTAGTCCTATTTGCACAACATAATAAATTCAATAATATAGTATAAATTAATTTAATGGGCCAACGTAATCTTCATGAATCAATTACCAATTACCATAAAGAATTTCTTTTAAAAATCAGTATTATTATTATTCTTTTTCTTTAGTGAACAGTGAAAAATAGTTCTAATTTTTTTTATTAGTTTAATGTATAAATGGATCATACGTCAACAATAGATAAGTAATTTCTATTCAAAAATGCATTGAAAAGTTAATAGTTCGAAATTTAGTCAATACTATTGAAAGAGGAGAAAGACTTATCTACACTTAATGTATAATTCGCTTATACACGAAACTAACAAAACAATATTTTGATTGAAAAACGAGAATATTTCTAATCATATATTAAGATAAAAAAAATAAAACGCTAACATTTTTAAAAGAATTTTTTTTAATTGGCATAGCATATTAGACTAACACTGGATATAAATAAGTTTTATCCCTCACATTTCTATCTAAATGCATCTTCAATCCGAACGATATAAATGTGTAAATAGGAAAATAAATTTAGGAGATTTTAGATATATTGATAATTAGATTTACTTTTCACCTTATTAATAGGGTTTAATTCTTGGTATTAGAATATAATTAAATGAAAAAAATTTCTCATTCATGAATCCTGTAATTTCACTATAGATGGTTTTTCTCTAATTTGTAACGGGTTTGTGTGAAGGACCAAGGCCAGCAAGTTAATTAGATTCAATTATTTATTTCATATTGAATTCATAAGTTAGATTTATCTTTAATACAAAATAATCTAAACCATTTTGGTTGGTTCGTCATTTTCATTATATGCCACTTAGTATTAGTATATTTATCCGATGTGAAATTATAAACACATTTCAACAGTTTGTTCGCAAAATTAGTTGTTTTGGTAGCTGTTAATTGTTTTAGTAGCATTTAGTTATTAGCTGTTTGAGCAGTTTTTCATGAAATGCTAAAAGTTAAACATTACATGAGTTAACTTTTCATAAAATGCTCTTTAATCTTTAAAAGTTAGTTCAAATGCGATGTTACCAAACACTATTAAAAGTGGCGTTTAGCGTTATCTTAATTTTCAAAAGCTAGTTCATATGCGATGTTACCAAATACTATAAAAAGTAGCGTTATCAAAACGCTAAAAGCTACTTAAAAAGTTATTGCTGAACACAGCCATCATCTTTACATTAAAAACATGAGAAATAATTAATAATATATTTTTTAAAATAACGCTTGAGAATAATTATCTTTTTGTGGTTATCCTACCCTTTTATTTTGTCAAATTCACCTTAAAAACTTAATAAGAACTTAATGCAAGCTCAATATTAAATTTGTTTTGGTTATCCAATTCTTGTCGTTTTGCCCTAAGCCTTTAAATCAACATGTTAGAAACTTACTTCCCGCATTGAAAGAACTTTCAAACTTAGTTTCCATTGCAAGAGGCAAAATACTTTTCCATTCAAATATAATTGATTATTATTTTAGAATAGAATATCATTATTCATTGTTGTAATAAATTTTAGTATCATAAGAGGTTTTAGCTTGAAAAAAAAAAAGTGAGATCTTGCAATTTTAATCTTTTAAAGACACAATAAATTATAAAAGTTTGGTCTAAAATTTCTAAAAAGTTAGCCTTTTATAATTACATTGGTGATAATCCAAACAAAAGGTGGATTATTCAGAGCGAGTTGAACGGACAAGGAATGAAATTTAAAAGATCAAGAATATACGATTAATGACACAATCCTAACATCTTAATTATTTGTTAATCATTAATCTTAAACAAAATTTAACTTTCTCTATTTTCCTTCACCTTTGTCTCTACCCCTCTTGTCTCTCTTCTCAGCGATGATCGACAAGTATTTTTTCCGTAGTCACCCATTTTCTTTGTTCATGGTTTTTTAGTTTGTTTTATATCTTTTTCTACCTTACATCCATGTCTTTTTGAAAGATATTTTGCATGTATGTTCTCAGATCTATTTATTTTGGTAGACCTTGAACATTGAGTTTTATTAAATCTCTTTTGAGGTTATTGTTGTTAACCTCTTAAAGGTCATCGAGTTAAATGGTGAGCGTAAATTACGACGAAATGTAATGTATTTATCACTTATGGCATAAATTCAATGTCCTATTAACACGATCAGATTCTTTAAATCAAGCTATAATTGTTATATTTCGTATAAGTGATTAACAATTAAACTTGTTGTGAAAAAAATATCTTCATCATTACAAAGACTGCAAATTGATTAATTAGACAAAAACTAATACAACTATATTTGATTTTTGAATTATATAAATTAGAGTCATATATACAAAATCTCTTGGCTCTTTTGGCCTTGATTTGAAATTCATTAGTACTTAACTAATAATAGACAACAAAATATATACAGTTATACAGTATCCATGAAAATTGAAACCCACACCCATTCTAGCATGTATTGATAGGTTTTGTGGACTTATAAATTTGATCAACCAATCTAAACCTCTTCATTCTTCTCTTAGGATACCCATCTGCTTCTTCTTCTTCCTCCTCCAAAGTAATACTACTAGTACTAGATGATCCACCACTTTCATTGCTGGCGCCGCCATACCTCTCCTCCTTGTGATGGTGGTGGGGGAGGCTGTGGGTGTTGCTTAGTTGCAGTAACAACTGAGCGACATGCAATTCGACGTCCAATTCCCAGTCTGAAAACGAGATGTTCATCTTCTTCTTCTTCTGGATCGTTCTTTTTTCGCCAGTTGAAGGAAGTTTTGCCATGTTCGAGCAGAACAGAGATGGTCAGCTTTAGAATGACTTGGGGTTATATATAGGGAAATATAATAGCGTGTCCGAAGAGGATTAGGAAATCCTTATCATGCAAGTAAAACAAAGTCGGTTAGAGACGAATGAATGGGAAGAAGTTATGAGGGCTTTTTTGGAATTTCACACAATTACTTGTTTCCCACCCTCGTTTGGCAACTTTTTTTTCTTTTTTTTTTTCAATTTCAATATTTTGAGATTTTATTCAACTGGGTGAATTTATTTTTAAAGATTGTTAAATCAATTAATTTAAATTCAAATATCATTATGAATTAAATAATTATAATTTTTTTAGCATTATAAAGTTTATTTATAAATATTAATAGACGATAGGATTAACCGTAGTAAATTATATTTTCAAATTAATTTTATTTGTATGGTTTCGATCTAAACCAAAACACATATATAAAAAAGCAAAAAAAAAATATAAATTAGAATTACCTATAAATTATGTGAAATTACTTATAATTCTACCAAATCCTGCTTATGATGATCACATTCATTTTGGTTGAAAGAAAATATTCCTTGTGTCAACTATCTTTGGAAATAATATTTAAAAAAAAGCATTAATTTAAATTTTGGTTTGATTCAATATTCATTGAGCAGATCATATATAGATTTACAGGCGAGCATTCGGCCGATTAGAATAATATTCTTAACCAATTTTTTTTGAATTAATCAAATTAATCTTTTAACCGAATCATTGTAGTCCAATTAATTTCGACTATTAACCATGCTGAAATTCAAAGAAATTAACCGATCGAATTTAATCGATACTGTGATTAATTAATTGATTTTAATCAAAATAAACATTAACTGAAATTATTAATTTTTTTAGAAAAAAATAACTGAAATGTTCTTAATTTTTATTATCTACTTATCAAAAACCACGTAATTTCGATAGTAGGTTAATTTGTTAATTTGGTTTGATTAACTTTTAATCGAAACTTTAACCCATCACTTAAAAATCTAATTTTCACCCTACGTAGATCCAGTTGTTTGGATTCATACATTAGCCTATCATAACTGGGTTTTAGTGGGTTCATTTTGATAGTTGTTGGGCTATTGTCTCCGTTCAAACTCTCAACTCTGTTCCATCTTTACAATATGGCTGAGCTCAAATCTTTTCCTCGGAGGTGTTCCATTTTTATCTGCCTATACTTTGATTCTGATATATTTAAGAAGAAAAGAAAAAGTTGTTTAAAAAAAAAATGTTTGAAACTCTAATTGGAAATTAATTATTATAAATATTCCCAAAATTTAAATTCATTTTTCATACCATAAAAATGAGTTATTAGTCCATCAAAAGCACCAAAAGCATTACGAATTCAATATGTTTCACATTTTGTTTAATTTAATATTTTAATGCTTTGATAAATATTAAGATATGTAAATAATCTAAATTAGACATTAAATGAGTGCGTTGAGCATAAATAAATTTGAGTTCGAGCTAAAAAAAAACAAGTATGAGCACAATTTATTTTGCCGTTGTTAAACTCAAATTCGACTTGTTTATAATTTATAATTTTTTTTAGTAAAAACCGTGCTTATATATAAATTCAAACTCGAATTTAAGCTTGTCTAAGCTTGCGAATATAAATTTTATTCAAAAATTTTTAATTTATTTATTTAATAAACAAGCCTAAATATATATACTTTTTTTTCTACGGGACATGGATTAAAAAAGTTAATTAATATTTTAAATTTTATAAAAATAAATAAGAAAAGTTCTATAATATCCTTGGAGGCTTAATTATTGTCATTCAATTTTCTCAATATGTTAGTCTTCCTAGAACTTTCATCACTATTTAGGGTGAAATTGTAATTACTATGAAAATAGGTTTAGTAAAGGTGTTGTAAGGGGAAAAAAAATTGTGTTGGAATGATAAAATGACATATATTTTGCAACTTAAGAAAAACAAGAAAATATAAAAACATTTAAGCTTTTACTATTACTCCGTCTCCCTCTATTTCAAAACAGAAGTCGTTTAAAATTTTTATACGAAAATTAAAAAATTTAATTCTCATAAATTATAATAAATTTAAAAATAATTTGATTAAATTATTATTTATCTTAAAATTAAAAATAACTTGTTAATGTGATTATCATATCTAATATAAATAAGAATGATATTAAAAAAAATATAATTTATTACTTTATAAAATACTCAAAATAATTTATATTTTGAGATAAAACGATCACCTAAATACTTTTTTTTATATATATTTAGGAAGTACTGTCATTTTATTATTTACATTAGAAGGGATTGCAAAAGGAAGAGTCTGTGTTTAAGGAGCCACGTAATTTGCTGGAAAGCGGAAAGTTCCGCATGCATGAATGCCAAATGTGCATTCAAGGACGACACGTGCACGATCCTTTTCATTTCCTTTCAACATTCCGAAATTGAATTTTTTTTTTTTTATTTTGACAAGTGCTAAATATATTTTTTATTTATAATATAAGAGTAATAATAATATATCCCATTAGAAATTTTCAACAACTTACTAAGATAAAGAACTATTTTTATTATTAATATTGTAAATTATATGAAACATTATATTTCTTTTAATATTTAAAATACACTGATTAAACAGTTGATAAAACAATTAATTTTATGAAACAGGTTTTAAATTAGAATATAGTTATTAAATATTAATTTAATTTGATAATAGCATAGAAAATTAAAATCTCTAAGGAGAAAAATAAAAGAAAAACTAGAATAACGCTATCATATATACATATTCTTTTTTTAAAATTATAATATTATACCAAAACAAATATGTTATAAATATTTGTAATATTATTGAGATTTCCTTAAAAAATAGAATTGTCAGAAAGTTAAATATATAGCATTATTCTAAAACAACCCGTATTTGATTAATATAGATCCTTATTCTATCATTCTCCTTTTTAATTTTTGATATATTAACTATTTTGCTTTAAAATATGCTAATTAAACTTGATTATTTAAGAATTAATTACTTTTTTAGCGTTTGCTAATCAATATAAGCATGCCACTAGAGAAAAACAACTTAATTCATTTAGTTTTTCAAATAATTTATTTTAATGCTTAGATTGTATATTTGAATTTTGAGTGAATATTTATAATTTTTAATATCTAAATGAAATAAAAAAAAGTTAATTAAATTATTTTAAATTAGTATAACTTTTTCTATCATCCACCATGGAAATCATTTAACCTCTCAATTAACAAAAAAACAATGTTTGAGTTTAAAAATTACAAGATAAATAAAGAAAATGACATAAACTTGCATAAATAGGAATGGAAAAAAGACAAGCAAGAAAAAAAAAAAAAAAAAAAACAATTAATCCAAACAAATTGGTTTTGAGTTTAAAAATGATGCAATTGTATAAAATAGAAGAAAAATGACATAAAAACTTGAAGTCTATATAAGAGACGCATTAGGAAAAAAAAGAAGACAAAAGCAAAGAAATAAAACGAAAATAAAAAAAAGTACAACAAAAAAAAAAAAAAAAAAAAAAAAAGTCAACAAAAGTAGAGGACTTTATTTCTAAAATTGAAGAAGATAACTCCATTACACAATCTCCTAATATTTTTTTTTCTTCATATTTATAGAAAAATTTTCAGTGGCAATACCTCAACTAAGAACTAAGACCGCTCATATGTGGATCAAGCTAGACTCATATAACTAGCTTTAAGCATGACTGAAATCTGCAAATTCATTTACTATAAACCCTGATTGTGATTAATTTCTCAAAAAAAAAAAAAATCTATATAAAATTGCAATAGATTGTAAAATTTAATACAATAACAGGGGAAAATAATTAGAAAATTTCGTGTATAATTATGTTTTATCTCTAATCGAAATACATTTTTTGTGTATTTTCTATTTAATCGATAAAAAAATCATTATATTGGAAATTTTAATTAGAAAAATTTTGGATAAGAGGATCTAGACATAATACCTTCCACATTAAAAGAGGAAAACAAAATAAATAATAAGGTAGGTAACATTAATAGCCCAGTAGAGATATACTAAGAATGAATCATAAAGGGGGAATTTGAAAACGTAAATTAGTTTATTGAATAGACATGTGCATGCATTTTTTTTTAAAGAAATATATATAATTTATATAAATGAATCGAAGAGGGTAAACAATTTTTTACATCTATCGGAGATTAATTAATTATATAAAATTGATTAATATACATCGAAAATGATCAAACTTAGTAAGTACTTACAACATCAAATTTGGTTAAGCTTTGAAAGTTGGAGAGTGGCTAACGTTTTACTATTATTCTTTTCTACCTTTTAGTAGTACTTAAAATACGAAATGCAGATGCAAAGTTTTATATTAACATCATGCATAGTTTCAATTTTCAAAGTGATTCTATCGAGTAAGAAATATTTTGTCAATCCATAAACTTAATAAAAATATTTTTAGCAATCTCAATATTTTTGACCTTTGATAGATGGATAGATCTATTATATAACGTATTATTTAGATACATAGATAAATAGATATATAGTAGATTTGACTGTATTGAGTAAGAAATATTTTCGATTTTATTCGGTTGGATCCAACAGATGTATATATAATGGTCACCCCTACCAATAAATAGCAAATTTTTATCACTAAAAACATGAAAGAAAGAAATTCAAAATTTTCAGAAATTAGAGACCAAGAAAGCTGACCTTTACTAGATCAAACCAATCTTGCACACAGAGATTTAATTACCCATAAAGGACTTTGATACTCACAAATTATACAAAGCTCTCTTCTTCCTACGTATGGAATTTTTCACAGCTATCAATCTCTCAAAACGACAGCAAAAATTGAATGCTGTAAAGTAATTACTCTACTAACTTTTGAGAGCCTAGTTGGTGTGTGCTTCCACTAACAAGCCACGATACTTTTTATAACCCTAACTATCTATATTTCACCTTCCAAATGTTAAATAGACCCTAAAGATCCTTTACACGTGCCAACTATAAGCCTTACATAGCACAGTCCTTTGGGGAAGAAGCTCTACACAACTTTCCATGCAACTACTTACATTTTCTTTATTTTGAAAGAAGTTGAAAATTATGTAGTATATATATTATACATACCCTCTTCTCCATTTCTTATTCTTCTTTTATATGTTTTTGTTTCTCTTCTCTTAGTTCTCTGTAATTCTTTTTTGTTTCTTCAAGGATATTACTGGTTAATAGAGAGAGAGAGAGCTATATCAGTTCTAAAGAATAGAAAATGAGGCAAATTAGTGAAGTTTTGCATGGGTTGAAACCAGTTATTCTAATGGTTTTGGTTCAGTTTATATACTGTGGGATGAATGTTTTTTACAAATTGGCTGCAAACGATGGGATGAATTTGAGGGTTCTTGTTGCTTATCGCTGGATTTTTTCCACAGTTTTTATAGGCCCTCTTGCTCTCATCCTTGAAAGGTATATAAAATATATATAATTTCTTGTTTTTTTAATCAATTTATTCCATTTTTTTGTAAAGCTTTTGATAGTTTTTACATGTACAGTTACTAAAAAAATCATTCCTTGTTCTTGTTTTAATTGATTTCTTGTAATTTCTAAAAGTTTGGCTTGTTAATTATTTATTAGGAGGAAAAGACCAAAACTCACCTGGGTTATAATTTGTCAAGCTTTTCTTTGTGGGCTATTTGGGTAAGATATTTATATATTAATCATAGTTTTTGATAATTATATTTTCTATAAAATACTTAATTAATTAAATTTATATTTCTTTTTGTTTGTTAATTAGGGGAACGTTAACTCAAAATTTGTACGTGAAAAGTTTAGTCTTAACATCTGCAACATTTGCTGCTGCTGTGAGCAATCTCGTTCCTGCTGTGACACTAATCTTGGCAACTTCCTTTGGGTAAATATATTTTTTTTTTTCTAAATAATACAATTTATTAAAGATATATGAAAAATACGTTTAGAAAATTTTATTTCAGGTTGGAGAAGTTGAAACTAAAGACAGTGGTGGGGAAAGCCAAGCTAATAGGGACATTAATAGGAATAGCAGGAGCAATGCTTATTACTTTCTACAAAGGAGTAGAAATAAATATTTGGTCAACAAATACTCATCTTTTGAAACACAGTCATGATGATCATCTGAAAAGTCAAAATGATTCAGTCAATCAAATTTTGGGTTCTTCTATGGCATTGGGCAGTTGTGCTTCTTATGCACTTTGGTTGATAATTCAGGTACCTGACTTCATAATTAATTTCTGCCCATTTGGTCAATAAAAAAAAATAAATATGTATTTTGTCTATTAATGTCAAAAGTCAAGGGTCAAATATATAAATATATATTTTTGTTATTCTTATTTTTATAATTGATATATAATTTTTTTTTTTTTTTTAAATTAATGTCAAAACGTCAAGGGTCAAATCATATGAAAATATATATTTTTGTTATCTTATTTTTATAAATTGATATATAATTTTTTTTTTTTTAAATATGTCTGAGGACAGGGACTAAGTGAGCCAGGGATATCCATGTCCGTATTCTGTCAGCATTAATGTCCGTTATGCTTTTTTTTTTTTTTTTAAATATGTCTGAGGACAGACTAAGATGAGCCAGGGATATCCATGTCCGTATTCATGTACAGCATTAATGTCCGTTATGGCCTCGACTCAATGTGTTATTTTATCTATAAGCATGGAGAGAAATTGGAATTACTGGAAATTGGGATGGAATATTAGGCTCCTGACCGTTGCTTACTCGGTACTATATTTTTTTATATATATTAATTAACAATTTTTTTTTAATTTTTAAATTACAGATTGTGTTAAATAATAATAATAATGCTAAGTGTTATTGACCGTTGATTTTGAGTTTATTAATTAATTTTTTTTCTATTATTTGTTTAAGGGAATTGTGACGTCCGGATTAGTTGTAACCCTAATTGCATGGTGTGTGAGCATGAGAGGTCCAGTGTTCGTGGCTAGTTTTAATCCTCTCTCCCTTGTGCTTGTAGCCATTATAGGCTCATTGATTCTGGAAGAACAGCTATATCTTGGAAGGTATATATATATCTATTGTTCTTATTATAATTATCTTGGATTTAATTTAAAATAGTGAAATTGTATTTTAATTACTTAATTGTGTTTAATTTGCAAGTGACAGCATATTAGGGTCAGTAATGATAGTGTGTGGATTATACATAGTGCTTTGGGGCCAAAAGAAGGAAATAAAGGAAAAAGCTAAGCTAGTGCCAACAACAAGTACACCCACTTCTCAATTGGTTGAAGTTGTTGCTGATGAAGATCACTCGACACTGCCAAAGGAGAACCAACACGATTAGCATATTTGAAAAACTTTTGAAAAGAAAAAAAATACATATATAGGAGCACAAAATAGGATCATTAATTGTAAGAGATTTTCGCTAAGTGTAGGCTATTATATATGTAATTACTTTTTTGCTTTAAAAAGCATGAGTTAATATCCTTTCATGCCACTTAATTTGTCCTATTGTCTTCCCAATTAAGGATTCTTCCCGATCGAGGATTCATTCGACAAATTAGCTGTTTTGATAAAAGTTAGTTGTTTTGGTAACATTTAACTATTAGCTATTTAAGTAGTTTTTCGTGAAACACTAAAAGACAAATTAGCTGTTTTGATAAAAGTTAGTTGTTTTGGTAACATTTAACTATTAGCTGTTTAAGTAGTTTTTCGTGAAACACTAAAAGTTAAACGTTATGTGGGTTAACTTTTCATATCATGCTACTTTAATTAATATTTAAAAGCTAATTTAAAAGCTAATCCAAACGCTATGTTATCGAATACTATAAAAAATAATGTTTAGTCAATGCTAAAAACTACTTAAAAAGCTATTGTCGAACGCCGCTTAAGTCAAAATTATAAATATTGAACGTATGTATTAATTTTAAAGCATTATAATTTAAAATTTAGGGCATATTTAACATTATTAATTTAGGGCATATTTAACATTTGTAAGGTTAGAATATGTATATGTGGCTTGTTAGTGGAACTGTGAAAGCACATGACACATCGAATTACTTTTTAGCATTCAATTTTTGCCGTGGAAATTATTACTTATATATATGTATGGGAAAGGGACAAACAAATTTAAGAGAAGAAATTGGAGCTATTGGAATTTGGGAATGCTCATTAAAAAAGAATATTTAAACTATGGGGAGAAATGTTCAAATAAAAAGTAGAACTCCAGCTGGGATGTGATTCAATCGATAATGTTCAGCCTGGGATGTGATTCAATTAATAATGCAGACTGGACATGTGAGAAGAGTACTCGAGTTCGATCTTTACTAAACACATCTGCAGAGAAAGGCGGAAAGCTTTAACTGTGACTAAGCCCCAAACCGAATTAATCGGTCCCTGATAATAAGGTCCGAGACTGATAGTTTAAAAAAAAATTAGCAGTTCTACCTTATTATTGACTCAAATTTTAAATTAAATATGTCATATATATTATTTTCTTTTTATAGGTTCAACCCCACTTAAAATTTTAAATTAAAAATTTTTAATAAGAATTTTAAATAAAGTTGTAAGCACTTGGTGTAGGTGATAAGGTTTTGTTTTTAACATAATGTGGGTATGCTATTTTTCCTTTTTTGATGCATAAAAATTTATATAAAGAAAAAAAAAATATGGTGCATAAAAGCATTACACATTAAAGCTATATATACATTTATATGTAAAAGAAAAATAAAGGGATTATATATATACTTTGTATTTTATTCTAATTATATTCATGAATTTAATTTGATTTTAATTACATTCACAAATTTAAAACTAAATTTAGCTATATATATATACCATTTCGTTTAGCTAGATAATTCAATTTTTGCTATAAATTCTACTAACTAAAATATAGAATTTAGTTATAAATAATAATTTCTTATTTAATTATATTAATTCCATAAATATTATATTCTCTTTTAGGATCCTCTTTAGCGTTTAAAATATACATACATGTAATTGATAAGTCCCACTAAACTGTGATTGGTTCTTTACTTTTTTATTTTTTTTTTATTTTAAAATGTAGTCCTATCTCGATTTTTAAAATAAGATAATTTTTGCAGTTTTTTTTTTATCCTATCCTTATCAAAGTTTGAAAAAAACAATTTATCGAAATTTCTATTTCTTATATTTCTAAATTATAAATAGAAAACTATGATTTAATTATATGAGTTATATTTTCTTAATTTGTGTGAAATTCAAATTAAATTTATTTTTCTTCTCAGAAAATAATCATATCTTTTTATTTACTTGTATACTTATTTACTTCTCTTGTGTCTTGTCGTAATAAATATTTACAACACGTGTGCGTATATATATATATATAAAAGCTGGTTTAGATAGATCTTAACGGGATAATTATGAATTTTTTGTATATTAATATTTTCTATTATTCATATTAAGAGAATATTACTGAACAAAAAAATCACAAATCACCATGTGCGAAATTACTAGCTACTATTTCTTAGGCAACTGTGCAGAGTCAACAATGGACTTGGGATTCTCAGATGCTATATCCTGTTACAGATACTCCACATGTAGAAACAGATCCGAAGCCATTTAGAGATCGAAATCCCGTTCCTGTTACACCATTTTAGTATCAACAAACTGCTCCTAAGTCGGTAGCTCTCGCTTCAAAAGCCGTTTTCTTATTTAAAATTTTTATCATTTTTGCTCATTCGTTTTTGGCAATTCTTTAAACTTGCTCACAGATATAAATCTTGTTACAAAGAAATATATATATATATATATATATATACCTTCCGATCTTGTTCTTCTTCTGTATGTTTTCGTTTCCCTTCCATTTTTAGAAAATGAAGCAGATAAGTGAAGTTTTACGTGGGTGGAAGCCAGTTATGGTAATGGTTTTTATACAATTTGCATATGCTGGAATGAATGTGTTTTACAAATTGGCTGCAAATGATGGAATGAATTTGAGGATTCTTGTTGCTTATCGCTGGATGTTTTCCACAATTTTTATTGGCCCTCTTGCTCTCATCCTTGAAAGGTATATAAAATATATATAATTTCTTGTTTTTTTAATCAATTTATTCCATTTTTTTGTAAAGCTTTTGATAGTTTTTACATGTACAGTTACTAAAAAAATCATTCCTTGTTCTTGTTTTAATTGATTTCTTGTAATTTCTAAAAGTTTGGCTTGTTAATTATTTATTAGGAGGAAAAGACCAAAACTCACCTGGGTTATAATTTGTCAAGCTTTTCTTTGTGGGCTATTTGGGTAAGATATTTATATATTAATCATAGTTTTTGATAATTATATTTTCTATAAAATACTTAATTAATTAAATTTATATTTCTTTTTGTTTGTTAATTAGGGGAACGTTAACTCAAAATTTGTACGTGAAATATATATATATATATATAGGTTTTCAAATTCAGTCTGATCGTCAACTCTGTAAAAGTATAGGGATAAAATTAAGAGTTGAACCGGAATTAAATTTAATACTATATAAAAATTTAAAATTGCCAAGTTTTTTATATCTCTCTTTGGTTGATATTTACAGGGGAACTGCGACTCAAAATTTATACATAGAAAGTTTGGTTTTAACATCTGCGACATTTGCTACTGCCATGACCAATCTTGTTCCTGTTATGACACTAATCTTAGCAGCAGCATTTGGGTAAATTTTCTTATATATGTATATTTAATCTATCAAAGTTATTTGCAATATGGTTACTAAATTTTATTTCAGGTTGGAGAAATTGAAACTAAGAACAATAACAGGAAAGGCCAAGTTAATAGGGACAATAATAGGAATAGGAGGAGCAATGCTTATTACTTTTTACCAAGGGGTAGAAGTAAAAATTTGGTCAACAAATATTAACCTTTTGAAACACAGTCATAATGATGAGCTTCATCAGAAAAGTCACAATTTAGTTGGAAATCGTATTGTGGGTTCTGTCTTGGCATTGGGCAGTTGCATCACTATTGCACTGTGGATGATAATTCAGGTAAAATTACATTTCTACCTCTTTTGATAAATTAAATAAAAAGTAATTAATATTTAATTATAGATTTTAAGTTGTTGTTTGATGTGTTAAGAGCAGACTAAGATGAGCAAGAGATATCCATGTCATTACTCGAGCACGGCATTAATGTCTTTAATGGCGTCAATTCAGTCGGTTATTTTATCGTTATGCATAAAGAGAAATTGGAATGAGTGGAAGTTGGGATGGAACATTAGACTTCTTACCGTTGCCTATTCGGTATCAGAATACTTCTGTTTTACTATGAAAATTAACTTTCAATTATAATAATAATAATAATTTTTATTGTTCAAATAATTCTTTTTTTTTTTTTAATAGGGAATTGTGACTTCTGGATTTGTTGTAACCCTAATTGCATGGTGTGTAAATTTAAGAGGACCAGTTTTCGTGGTTAGCTTTAATCCTACCTGCCTTGTGATTGTTGCCATTGCGGGCTCTTTATTTCTAGAAGAAAAATTGCATCTTGGAAGGTATGTCAGCTATTACTACTCCCTCACTTTCATTCAATTTGCCATTTTTTAACTTTTTTTCTAACAATTTGTACGTATTTATGTATGATTTTTTTTTTTTTTTTAATGCGAGGAACAGCATATTAGGGGGATTGGTGATAGTATGTGGATTGTACGTGGTTCTTTGGGGTCAAAACAAAGAGATAAAGGAAAAAGCACGACAATTGCCGACAAATGAACAAGTTGAGGTTGCAACTAACGGAGATAACTCAACAGTAAATGCTTCTTCAAGTGAACCCTAATTCCTAACATATATAATTGAAGTTACAAAATTCAATTAGGAGACTGACATACAAATTGATTACAAATTATGGAATTAATCTTAGAATTTTTGTTACTTATTTCAAGTTTTTGCTACTGTCTTTATTGTTCTTTTTTTTTCTCTCATTCTTCAAATATTTAATTTACTTCTTGCTAATTTATTCGAACTAGTATCTCTGTTTCATAATACTTGTCACGTTAAGAATTTCACGTCTCTCTAAAAGATCGTTAAATTTGTTTAAATTAGGAAGTAAATCGACTTTATTACCTTTAATTTAATACTAATTTTCTAAGTTATATGAAGTTAATATGTAGTTGCTGATTTGGTGTTAGCAATAAGTTTTATTTTTAAGATATTATGTGATATGCATATTTTTTTTCTTTTCGTATCTGGTGCCATTAAGGGTTGCTGGTGCCATCAATTTACTGATGTATTTCATCTATATCTTGGACCTGCAAAGTCAATATGGTGTTTTGGCATTCCTATTTTTTGGTGTTTTGGAATGGGTGGAGTAGGAAGATATACAGGTAAATAATATTTTCTTTTTATTTATTGCAAAGTCAGTATGATGTATTTATGTTTTGGTGTTTTGACGAATCAAGAAACCGGAAGGCTTGGTTCAATAGCATGGGGAGAAGAGGAAAAGAACAGTATCGGTTTAGTTCAGTAGCATGGGGAGAAGATAAAATGAACAGTATTGTGAAGACCGTCACCTTCCGAGACGGTAATCCATTACCAGGTGAAATTATCCGTGAGTGTTTGAAAATCATAGTGGACGAAAGCGTAGCTATACCGTGGTAGAGAGGTGATGTTTTGTTGCTTGATAACTGGGCTGTTCTTCATGCCCGGAATCCGGTCACTCGGCCGCGTATCTTTGTACTTCGTCATGATAAAGTCTGAACTAGTAAGAGGGTAAAAAAATTTCACCCACTCCTGCATTAACCGAAGTTGCTTCTGACAGAGATAAAATAGTAGAAGATTACACGATTCGTATTGGCAAACTTGTAGGTTTAAGCTTATGAATGTAAGTAAAATCTATACTTTAATTTATTGATTCGAAAAAAGGAATTCTTTGATTTTATGTGTGTGTGTGTGTATATATATATTTATGACCGGTGCGGTAGACGAGGTGGATGTTTTCTGTGTTGCTTAGATAACTTGGGCCTTTGTTCTTCATTGCCCGAATCCGGTCACACTACGGCCGCGCGGTAAATCTTTGAGATACTCTATTTATCGTCCCATGAATCTCAAAGTCTGAAACTTTGTAAAAGAAGAGGAAAAAAATTTCTACCTAGGGCCAACACGTGTGGAACACCTCACTTGCCAATATAGAAAATACCCCGAGGTTAATGCCTTTCTGACACAGAGAATAAAAAAAATATTAGAAAGAATTTTACAATGACACTATTCCGTAATGTTAGAGGCAAACTCTTTATTTAGATTAGGAGTGAGGGAAGGGCTGTAATCGAAATAGTAAGGTAAATATCTATACTGATTAGGATCTATTTTAAATATGAGAATTCGGATTAATAAAAAAGGAAAATTTACTTTGATTTTATGTGTGTGGTGTGTGTATATAGTAATAATATACAGCCATATATAAATATATATATATGATAGCTAGAAAACAAGTATACATTGTTATTACCAGCAATTGTAGGGCCATGGGGAAAAAAAAAAAAAAGAGCATCGCCTATATAGGGTAGTTTCGCATTTAAAATATTAGAAAATGTTTAGTTTAAAAAAAAAAAAAAGCATACAATAAGGAGGACATCAAAAAATTGAGACCAAGAAGCAATCATATGCTGTGGTTTCATTTCACGCATGTTTCTTCTGTATAATAATATGGGATTTATTTGTATGGTCAGTATCACCAATAAAGTCCTAATTTACAACACAAAAAACAATAAATATTCGAGCTAAGTAAAAGATTTATGAACGAGCCGCCAACCAACATAAACACAAACTCTTAATTACTAAATACCCTAGTATAAACGAAAAAGACTATATATGTACATAATTTCCTTAATGTCCAGTCGAAGAATAATAAGTGCTGCTAAAGCATTGTCCAGTCCTCCCACTCGTGTATAATGACTGGCTAAGAACGCTTGAAAGAATCCCCAAGATTTCTCAATCATAAGTTGGGCTTTGCGAAGTACTTCCAACTTTCTTAAACTTTGCTTATCCCCTGGATTGCAAAATAGATCCCTCGAAACGCATATCGGATGAGCAACTCCCACTATCCTTGGATAGCCGTAAATATTAAATTGAATGTCCACACGATTATATGGATACCACGAAAGAATTGGCCTGCAAAAAAGGAGGACGAATAGCTGAACATATAATTTATTACCGTAATGGAAAAAAAAAAAAAGAGCCATCTATATAGGTATTGCATTAAAATTAGAAATTTTAGTTTAAAAAAAAAAAAAAAACATACATAGGAGCATAAAATAAGACAAAAGCAATAATGCTTTTATTTCATGTTCTTGTTAATAATATGATTTTATTTTTGTCAGTCCAATTAAGTCTAATTAAACACAAACAATAAATAAACAATATAATTTATGAAAGGCACCAACATAAACCATAATTATATATAAAGAAAAAGACTATATAGTACATAATTTCTAATTCAGGAAGAATAATAAGGCTGCTGCATTCCAGTCTCACCACTCTGTATATCTGTAGACTTGAAAATCTCAGATTTCTCAATCATGTGGGGCTTGCGAATCTCCAACTTCTTAAAACTTTGCTTATCCTGGATTGCAAAAGTCTCGAACGCATATCGGATGAGCAACTCCCACTATCCCTTGATAGCCTAAATATTACTGAATGTCCACATATGATACCAATGTGCAAAAGAGGAGGAGATGATTGGAACAAGATTTGTCACATCTATGAAATAATCATTGAAGGCAAACACATGCAATTAACTCAATAGGTTGAAAGTGAAATGAAAAAAATCCCCAACTCAAGAAAAGGTATATTTCTTCTATATTAAACAAATGCATTAAATTAGTCTAACTAATCAATGTATTTACTAAATAAAAAAAGATAAAATTCTAATTATGATCAAATTTCAGGGGCTAAATAGTTATTTACCCATTAAAATAAAACAAAAAACGGTCGGAAGAATTTTCTCAACCGTCAACGGTCAAGTTAAGTTACTAAACAGAATTCCGAAGGGTTGCAGTTGCTCGCAAATTGCAAAGCTGCAATCTTTCCCCGTGTTCTGTTTTTTTGTTCAATCTCTGAAACGAACAAAATTAACATGTAAATCCTAACAATAACCAATTAACCATTCTAAAACCAAAACCTTTAAAAGCTACCTTGAGATGATGAGGCTGCTTTCGAACACATTCCGATCCATAAAGCCTCATAGTTCGATCAAATCAAAATCATCACCATCACCATTACCCGTATGTAGAATATCACCGGCAAAATCGAATTCGAGTTCGAGATCAAGATCTTGGTGTGTTTATCTTATCCTTTCTACCAACGCCCCCATCAAAACCTATGTTGGTGTAACCAACAATTTCTCTCGCCGGTACGTTTTGTCTCTTTGATTCTGTTCTCGTTTCATTAATTTCAACGTGAATGCTCAAATGGGTTATATTCATATCACTTGATAGCTATTAAAAATGATGGGTTGTATTCATATCATTTCTAGGATTGGAAATTTCAGAACTTTTGTCGCCAATGGAATTTGTGTGAGAGAATTGTAAATTCCGTGTATTATTTTGGGTGAAGGAAGCTGCTTGAAGTCTGTTTTATCATTTGGTCTCTAATTTTGTAATGTAGAGCGGATTTGGTATGTGGGCATAAACTTAGGGTTCAGAAAGGAGGATTTGAAAATTCCAGAGTTAAATAAGAAAGTTTTCTAATTGGTTGCTGAATTCTAATTATGGATTTGACATTTGATGCATGTCTTTGAAGAGGAAATTTTGCATTACCTAGTTACTTGGATTCTTGGTGTCTGGCGTTGGAGGCAATATTGACACAGTCATTTGAAGAAAAAAGAACGCAAAAGTTTCAGGCTTGCAACCAAGGGTTTTAATGATTTAGATTTGAAGGCAGTTTGTTCATGTAAAAATTGCCTAAATTTTTCACAATTTCCTAAACCCTATATGATGGGATATTTAACAGATAATGAATAATGACCCAGTCAGTGCTTATTGCAATGGCTGGAGAGGAGTCTCGGTCTGTGATCTAGAGTTTGCAGGTCCAAGGACTAAGAATATGTATGGAATTAACTATATTCTAACTGGAATTGGTACTTCTTCTGCAGCTTGAAACAACATAATGGTGACCTTAAAGGCGGTGCAAAAGCATCTCGTGCAGGAAGACCATGGATTTGTGCATGCTTGATTCAAGGGTTTAGTGACCAAAGTGAAGGTAGTGCTCCAAAAATCTAATTGGTCTCCACCATCTAACGGATTCAAGAAATTGGCCAGAACATTTTTGCACTTTTTTAAATTTGCGGGATGCATATGCGCATGTTTCATCATCTTATTCATTATGTTGTTCTGATTTTATCAAATTGCAACTTTCTTTGCAGCAATGTTGTTTTCCAGTATATATTCCTATTCTTATCCTTCTCTGTTCCTTGGATACAGTTATAATATTGGTCTAAATAAAAAATTATTCTATCTTTCCGTTGTCATTTTCTAAACTGTTGATGAAATTGTGGGACACTAAGCATTTTGCAGTTTGCCTACCGAGTTTATATTCTTAAGTGCAATATAGTTAGTCACTAGAGTAAGTCTTTGTTTCTTCTTGCCGTACTGGGAGATTCAAATAGTTTCAACTGGAAGTTTGGACATTTCAAATGTTGGATCAATATGCTTATCATACATTTACTTAGGTAGTTCAATGTGTTTTTATGGATAACTATGAAATATCATTTTCAGGGAAAATCCGTGCCAAGATAATGGTAATACTTGATTCGATGTGTCAGATTTTCTAGATTATGTGCAACTGTGGTGATAGAAGCATCCAATCGATATATCTGCATTTCTTTTTATCATGGTTGCAAGCTACACTATTTAATCACATACATTTGATTATCCAAATAGATCGCCTTGTTTTAGTTGTTTTTGATGAAGTTGTTACAAACTGAACACCCTTGTTAGTTGAACTGTCCCAATTAACTGTTGCCCCCTTCTATAGCATGGGGAACCTTAGCATTCTTGGTCGCTCTTGCGTTTTACCCGACATTTTTTACAATAGAATTTTGTTTGTTGATTTAGTTTCTACTATGTCTTAATTGCAGCTTGTGAGTTTGAATCAAAATGGAAAAGTTTGTCAAGAAAATTGCCTAGAAATAGAAAGAACGATGACTCAACGAAAGACAGTATCAATGGATCACATGCATTGCTGCAGCACAGGCAAACAGCTCTAAGCAGAGTTAAAGGTTCGCTGAATTGTAGTCACTTAGATATTAACTGGAAATTGAATCCTTTCTAATTTCATCGGGGGCATGAGAGAGACAGTGGTTTACCCTGTGGCGGATGTCAGCAGTTCGAGTCCGCTTATCTTTCAACTCGTGAACTTAGCCTGTATAAAGCTAAACGATAGCACCCAATATGATCCAATCTGCAAGGACCATGATAAGGAATTGTTTGATCGTCAAAATACCCCTTGATGTCACAACCATATTGCTTCAAAATAAGTTTATAATCTGATTAACATTTATGGTAGTCGTGTATAATTTGTTTAACGTTATTCTGCTAATATAACTAATTAGCGGATGATATTCGTTGTATATTTGCCAATTGTAACAACAAAAATAGGAAGAATTTAGGGAAGTTGGAAAGCAAAGTCCTGTGCCTGTTGGTAGGTTTGTAAAATGCACCGTTTATGTTTTTCTTGGTGAATGAGAAGCATGTATATGGAAATATACATATTAAAGTGCTGCTTGTAATGAACCTATTTTTCCAATTGAGATTCTGCAATGTTGCTGCACCAAGAATCATAAATTTTATGCTTTTCCTTCTCTTTTTTTTTTTTTTTTTTTTTTTTTTTTTTTTTTTTTTTTTTTTTTTTTTTTTTTTAAAACCGTTAATTTGACTGCCTAATATAGACTTAATTAGCGGATGAATAAAGTTCGTTTGTATATTTGCCAATTGTAAACAAACAAAAATAAGGAAAGAGAGAATTAGGGAAAAGTTCGGAAAAGCAAAGTCGTTCGTGCCTGTTTGGTAGGCTTTGGTAAAGATGGCAACCGTTTATGAGTTTTTCCTGGTGAAAATGAGGAAGCTATGTTATAATGAAATATAACATATTAAAGTGCTGCCTTGTAAATGAACCTATTTTTTCCAATTGAGATTCTGCGAATGTTTGCTCTCACGGCATCCGAAGGATCATAAATTTTTATGCTTTTCCCTTCTCTTTTTTTTTTTTTTTATTGTTTTTTATTGTTTATTTTTGTTTTTTTTTGTGTGTTTTTGTTTTTGAGTGGATTACTTTTTTTTTTTTTTTTTTTTTTTTTTTTTTTTTTTTTTTTTTTTTTTTGTGATTCAAAAAGAAAGAGGAAGCTTGTGCTTTAGCTAATGGATTTGAATTTTTTGTAATATGATTTTTTTTATATAAGCTTAAAATTGATTTTGGAGAACCTTCTAATCAACTTTTCTTTAACATCACATTTGAGTTTGTAAAAATAATATTGGAGCGATTTATTATTGGTTGGCCCATTAAATAATTTACATTTTCTATTCTGCTCCCAAATATAAAGTTTTCTGTTTTTAAATTCTCTGCAAAACCCAAAAAAGAAACCAAAAATTATAATCATTAGTATTAAATAATTTTATGTAATATGTTAATAAAATTGTAAGTTTTCACATAAAATGTAGGATAAAAGAACAGTATTGAGAATTTTAATAGTACTCATCAATGTACATAACATAATCCTAGGAAAAAAAAAAGTTAAATTAAAATATATTCACAAGCTGACATCTTATATATATGAATCACGTCCTAAACCATCACAAGCTGGAGAGAAGGTGCGTAGACAAAGCTGGAGATAAATTGTTAACAAACGTGCCTAGTGCTTCGTACTCCTCAACCGCCCTAACGTCCATCCGACATTGGTTAATCAGCTGGGGAAAAAAGAGCCAAAACCCAGTGACCATCACAAAACCAATCGTTAAAATACAGGAAATCATCCTTGGCAACCGCCACTTGTCCTTAATCACCACCCTCTTAAACAAAACCTCAACCACTAAACAAAACCCATGTAAAATAAAGAACCACGTCACCTGCCATGTCGGCCTCGCGCGTCCCAGATAGAAAAATATAAGCTCGTGCATGATTGCTGACACAAAAAAGGTTGCCAGAATGGCAAGGACTCGGGCACAATTTCGACCAATCATACGTGTACTGATTTTAAGGGTGGGATCGTGCACGGATGAGCGTAGAATACTACTAATAATTAGGTTCCATCTTCTTCCCCAGAAGTCTTGTAGCGAAGTAGACAAATATGGCTCGTTGAATGGTGGCTCCAGCTCCATTCTCAATATGGTTCGAACCAGAGATGCAACCATGGCTAAGATAATTTCAAGAGCGAAGTATATAACTAAACAATAAATGCATAAAATGAGTTTTGGATGGATATATTCTTTGTAAGTATGTAGATAAGCCAAAATTGTTAAAAGTGCAATTTTTGTTGCACAATTTAAATGGGAAATAGATTTCTTGACAGGTTTTGAAATTTCAGGAGATGGGTTTTGGTTATTTTGTGATTTTGGATATGGGTTTTCTTGAACCGTGATTGGAAAGCAAGAAATAGCAAGAAAAACGGGAAGAGAAATTGATGAGTTAGAAGATAAAGGACCTTTACCGAAAGCGAAAAGTAAAATCTTGAAATTTGCAAGCCAAGCAATAAAAAAAGCTGTAATTCCACCAAGAAAAACGGTAGAGAGATGTAGAGGAAGGTAAAAAAAGAGGCAAACAATTGGTAGTAGAAAGAGAAATCTTGTTTTGCCTTCTGGGATTTTCTTGCCAGTTTCATAACAATACACTAAGGATACAAAGACTGTAAGCCATACCTTAAAGAATTTGTTAATCTCATCTCCCATTGTTTCTTTTTTGTTTCTTTTTTTTTTTTTTTTTTTTTAGTCCAAGCTACATAAAAAAGAAAAAGCCTGTAACTTCCCACCAAAGAAAAAACCGGTGAGAGATGTATAGAGGAATGAGGTGTAAAAAGAAAGGCAAACAGGATATGAGTGAGTAGAGACATGAGAGTAAATGCCTCTAGGTTTTGCCTGTCTGGGCGATATCTTCTCTTGCCAGTTTCGCCATAACAATACACTAAGGATAAACAAAGACCTGTAAAGATCACCTTTAAAAGAACTTTGTTGAATGCTATCTCCCAATTGTATTTCTTTTTTTGTTATCTTATTTTTTTTTATTTGTATATTTTTATTGATGTTCTGAGAGTCGTGTGTTATCTACTGTAGCCACGAGATGAGAATATATTTGTCGTTATTGAACGAGAATCTTTGGAAAATAGAAAAATACAAAAATGGAGAAAGTCTATTCTAAAATTTTTTTACAATATGCTAAGTGGATAATGAATATAGGACGGAGAAGAAGAATCACGTTATACTTAGGAGACAAGTTCTGTACCATACTCCGGTTTTATAAACTGTTTTCTCAACCCGAATGAGTTATATACATTCCATTATGTATTGCGTCTTAATTATAGATGCTAAGATCAACCTGCATTTTTTATATATATATAACTTTAATGCATAATTTGGTGGCGACTCATCTACCCGCCATGCATTTTTGGTGGTGATAATCTGTGAGCGCGAGAAGAGTGCGTACAACCGAGAAATGGTGACAATTTCTTGCAATTGGAGTCCAGAGAATTTTTTTTTTTTTTTTTTTTTTTTTTTTTTTTTTTTGTGTGTGTTCTTGATGATATATTGTTATTGATCTTTGGAAAATAGAAAAATACTAAAAATGAAAGTTTCTAATTTTTATATGCATGTAATATATAACGGAAGAGAATCACGTTTACTTGGACAATTGTCATACGTTATAAATGTTCAAACGATAGTTAATACATTCCTATTATTGTCTTATTATATCTAGTAACCTCCATTTTTTATTATTACATTTCATTAATTTGGTGTGACTTCTCATGCTTTTGGTGATCGTTATCCAGAAAGTGACACGAGAAATGTAAATTTCTTGCATTGGATCCATGAGATTTTCCTTTGTTCTTTATATTAGGAAACACTAAAAATTTAGTCTTTTTCCAAATTAAAATAAATACATTCTCAAAAAATTTTAGATTTGTAGTTCATATATTTTCCCATTCTAATCGGTGGAAAAGAACATTCTATGTGAATATGAAATAGAAAACTCGTACAAATAATATTCTAATCTCTTAATTAGAATTAATAATATTTAGATCAAGATAGTTACCTAAGTGAAATTGATTAGCATATGTTTGAGAACTTTTAATGATGTAAAATAGTAATTAAACAACTAATATATTGAGTATTATCGAGCAGTTAATTAGGAATTTTGAGTTTAAACTTATTAATTTCTGTTTATATTGACTGTGGTTAATTATTATAATTGTCGTTACCATTTAAAACAAAAAAAAAATAATTTCATAACTTTAGTTAATGTTTATAAAACATATATTAACTATATTTATTAAATTAAGTTTGAATACTATTATAAGTTTCAAAATGATCTATTTAGAAATTAATTATATAATGAAATTAATTTTTACTAAAATCTATTTGTAGCACAAACATATATAACTAGTTATATAAAAATGAGGAAATTGGATTGAAGAATATAGTTTTATTATTTGGCTAAAACATCATTTGTTGAAATTTTTTAATTTATCATTATTAGGATAAACAAATCTTTCATCCTTTACAGAAAATCCAATTTATTTTCAATGAGTTTTCCATTTCTCCAAGGTCTAAAAACATGTCTCCATCCATCTACCTTATATGACACATGTACAATATCACCATCTTGCAATGCCCATTATAATACTCCAAAGGAAAATTTTTTATTGGTTTATGTTTTTAATCCAAAAAAGTTCCTCCACTTTACCCTCTTTATATATACTATACTAATAGTAAGTCGATCACAAAACAAAAGATCAAGAACAAGAGAAGTAAAAAGAATGGAGGGTAACCATGAAATAGATAACTTCATTAAGGTATGGATTGCAGTATTCATTTCTTTATGTTATTGTTATGCAATTAGAAATATTATTCCAAAAGGTACAAAAAGACTTCTTTCTGTTCTACCAATTGTTTGCCTCTTTCTTTACCTTCCTCTAAACCTCTTCAGTCCTCATCTTGGTGGCTTTACTGCTTTTTTCATTTCTTGGCTTGCCAATTTCAAGCTTCTTCTCTTTGCTTTTGGTAAAGGTCCTCTTTCTTCAGATCCATCAATTTCTCTTCCTCTTTTCTTGGTTGTTTCTTGCTTACCAATCAAGATCCAAAAGCACCCACCATCGAAATCATCCTTAAATGGTCAAGATAAAGAAAACCCATTTCAAAATGGACAAATTCAAGAAAACCCAAATGGTCAGATACAAGAAAAGACATTTCCAAGAAAATCAAGGGAAGGTCTTTTAAATTATGCAATGAAGGGTATAGGTTTAGCTATTTTGATTCGTGTACATGACTATAGTGATTCTATTGACCAAAATGTAATCTTCGTCCTTTATGCCTTCCATATCTACTTCTTTCTTGAACTCAGTCTAGCCATATCTGCAGCTCTGGCTCGAACCATCTTTGGCATAGAACTCGAACCACAATTCAATGAGCCATATCTCTCTACATCACTACAAGACTTCTGGGGAAGAAGATGGAATCTCATGGTCACTGGTATTCTACGCCCCACTGTATATGAACCCATCCGAAGCCTTTTCTCACGAGCAATTGGACGGAAGTGGGCTACACTCGCCGCCGTTTTCGGCACATTTGTGGTGTCTGCAGTTATGCATGAGCTTATGTTCTATTACTTAGGGCGCGTCAAGCCCACATGGGAAATTACGTGGTTCTTTCTTCTACACGGATTCTGCGTAATGGTCGAGATTGTTTTGAAGAAGGCGTTAGACGGTAAGTGGCGGTTGCCGACACTGGTATCGGGATTCTTGACCGTTGGATTCGTAATGGCCACGGGATATTGGTGGTTTTTTCCCAAGTTCGTACAGTGTCAAATTGATGTCAGAGCGTTTGAGGATTACGCGGCTGTGGGAGCGTTAATGAGGAACGCGGGTGAGAGCGCATTGCGTTTTTCGCGGGGTCATGCTTTAGTTTCCCAGCAGCTGTAGTCAACGGTTTTGATGTAGAAATAATGGTCAAATGTGGAGCAAAGGAATGAAAATTTTCGATTTTTGATTCCTTTTTAGTGTAAAAATTATTTATTTATGAAATTTCTATTCTATACTTATATTACAAAAAGTATATTTTTAGCTTCACGAAAAAAATAAATATCTTAATTTCTTTCAACAACTTATTTATAAGTAGTAATTTATTTAGTTAATTTTAAATCTAATTATTTATATTTAAATATGTAAAATCTATCTCTAAGGAAAAATATGATCCAAACATTGTTTTTTTTGTTGCTATAAAATATTTTTATTTGTATTTTTAGAACCACACAAATGGCTCTATCGGATCCATCAACTCAACCAAAAAAAAAAAATCTAAAGAAATAGAAAAATGGTACAAAATTTTTTTTGTAATGGAAAAATAATATGATTAATCAAAATAGTAAAAAATTAATTAATTCTACAGACAGATAATTCTTTTTATGATGTATTAAACAAAACTTGTAGATGTTAAAATATTTATTTTTTATATTATGAAATATTATAGCATTAGATCATGAAGTTATTAATTAACATCATTAATTAAATATTATAGTTTGTGCTTTGATGTGGTAATTAATTAGAATACTTTTAACTTTTTTTTTTTTTTTTTTTCACCTCTCTAAGGAAAATATCAATGATCCAAACATATGTTTTTTTAGTTGGCTTAATACAGAAAATATTTTTAATTTTGATATTTTTAGACCACACAGAAATGGCCCTTTCTATCGATCCATCAACTCAACCAAAAAAAAAATAATTGTCTTAAAGAAAATTGAGAAAATGTACAATTTTTTATGAGTAAACTGGAAAATATAGTGAAACATTATCAAATGCCGAGTAAAAAATTAATTAAATTCTACGACAAGATAATTCTTTTTTAAAATGAATGTATTAAACAATTGCGTGTCGGCCGGTGAAACTTGTAGATGTTTTAAAGATATTTATTTATTTTAAGTATTATAGAAAAAGTATTATAAAGGCATTAGATCATGAAAGTTATTAATTAACATCAATGCTAATTAAAATATTAGAGTTTTTGTGCTGTTGATGTGGTAAATTAATTAGAAATACTTTTAAGTAACATTTTTCTTTTTTTTTTTTTTTGAAGGGGAAATAAAGTGTATTTAAAGAAGATTAACATTAAAGTTCTAAAAATATTCTAAAAGCCAACCAAATAGTGACCAAGAAACTTTTTCTATATAAGGTAGAAAAGATTAATTCTTTAGGTTTGGACAATGTGAAATTGGGAAAGGAAGCAAACGTTGTTTGAGGGAGAGATGAATTGTTTTTGAATTGTCTTTGATTCATGTTAACCTTGTGAAGAAGAAGGTGCCGTGACTTATTGTGAATAAAAATAATTGGAACTTTTAATATCTGAAGACCTAAAAAAAAAAAAAAAAAAAAAAAGGATACCTTGCAATTTTCAAATTATGATTTTCATTTTCTCAGGAGAAAAAGATTGGGCCACTGAGCCTTACGAACAAAACATTCTTGTTTCTTGGGCCTCCAAAAAGGCATATGAGCATCTTACTTCATTCATAATTTTGGGGTAATTTATGATTATATTTTTTTAAAAACATTTTTGATAAAATTTATGTCAGGCTCGATACGAGTGAAAAAACTGTAATGTCTCTAATTTTTTTTAATAATTTAGATATTATTTATATCACACTAATAATATAATTATAAACATAAATGGGTTGTTTCCGACACAATTTATGTCAAAACTTTCTTTTTATTCCTTTTGGAAGAAAAATATTTTTTTTCTCATATCAAAGGTTGAAATTAATAAAAAATGGAGATAAAACTTGATTATACGATGATTAAGAACATAATTACATCATTCATAATTTTGCAATGTGATGGGTAATTTTTATTATATTTTTTTTCTAATTTCCTTGGAAGAAATACAATTTTTCTCATATCAAAGGTTGGAATTAATAAAAAATGGAGATAAAACTTGATTATACGATGATTAAGAACATAATTACATCATTCATAATTTTGCAATGTGATGGGTAATTTTTATTATATTTTTTTTCTAATTTCCTTGGAAGAAATACAATTTTTCTCATATCAAAGGTTGGAATTAATAAAAAATGGAGATAAAACTTGATTATACGATGATTAAGAACATAATTACATCATTCATAATTTTGCAATGTGATGGGTAATTTTTATTATATTTTTTTTCTAATTTCCTTGGAAGAAATACAATTTTTCTCATATCAAAGGTTGGAATTAATAAAAAATGGAGATAAAACTTGATTTTCCAATCATCTCCAATCAAAAAATTGGAACCCCATGTGCTAATTTCAGAGAAAGTATAATTACCCTTTAGGGTGGTTTCAGTGGGTTTGGGTTGGTGCCCTTTGAGTTAGGGGGTCCAAATTCAAAATGAAGTCATATCTTATATGTGGGTGGGGAAGAGAATGGTTGGTGTGATTGGTTTTCATTTGGGCCTCCTTTGCCCTTCTTTTAGTTTTTGTTGAGAAAGGGACAGCCAACCTTATGCTAAACATAGAAGCCTGCCAAAATATTTCCAGTCTCTCTCTTCAGCTTACATTTCTTCAATTGTGCTATGGGGTTGGATTTCTTGAGAAGCAACTTTTTTTTGACAAAGTGATTTAAAAATTAGTAGAGAGAAATTTTGAAATTAGGGTTTTCTCTTGCTTTTTTTAACAGAGATAATATGCTATATAACAAGTGATAATTATTCTATTTCGTAATATTTCATTTTTGTTTGAATGACGTGGTATCCACACTTCAATCAAAGTGTATTCGGGTAAAACTTTTTTTTTTATACTGAAAAAACGAACAGAACTCTAATGAGAAATTAACAGAATTACAATGAACTAGATCCAAAATTGACGTAGGAGGATGATGAAATGAAATGTTGAAATCTAAAATTCAATTTATACATAATGTTTACCATATATTAATAAAATGAAAATTTCAAGTCTTCAAACATCTTTAAGGAGTACTAAAATTTAAGAGTGGTAAGAAATTCATGAACAACAAAAGTGTTGCATCTTAAGAGTTATAATTACTTGAAGAAGACAATATATTACTATACATGAAATCCAAACAAATTAATAATCATAGAGAAAGTGGTCAGTCATAGCTTTAAAGAGTAAACTTCCAAGCATATGCTAACAAAAGCATAGCTTAACATATTATTGGATATCTTTTCAATTTAAAATAAAAGGAAACAAAATTCTATAAATTTTAAATTAAAAGTGAAAGCTATCACCCTTGATATAGTAAATTTCATCTAGCAATTTTATAATCCTTCTACATATATTTAAAATGTCTTAAGAGGTGAAAAATATAGTATTGGAGTATTTGTAATTTGTAAATTGGTAGAGTTGAAAGGTGAGAGGTGCCATATTTTATGGCATGAATAAGGCATTGGGATTCCAATATGGTGGGCTCCCTATGCACTACCCAACAATTTTTCAATATCCTCCATCTCATCATCTGCCACAGACGACCACAGTGCCATTTCATGTCAACCCCAACGAGTTAATGACTTACCTTCATAAACCCATCTTCTTCTTCCAACCCTCCTCTCTTCTTTTTTCTTTCATGCATCAAAATCTTGAATTTTCTTGATTCATCTATTCATTTTTATTAAAGAATCAAGAACCAATATCATAAACACCTTCATGGGATACCTTTCTTGTAAAGCAGAATCAGCCATTGCTATCTCCACTCCAGTTTCTCAAGTTAATTCTTGTAAAACCACTCAAAATAAACAGGAAAAACCCATCAAGATCCAGCAATTTCACTACAGTGATCTTGAAGCAGCTACCAATGGTTTCTCTGACCAGAAATTGTTGGGTAAAGGTAGCCATGGTTGTGTCTACAAGGCTGTTATCCGTGGACGCCACGTTGCTATCAAGAAACCGTCAAAAGGTCTTGAAATTGGGCACGAAGTGGATAATGAGATCGAGATCTTGTCAAAGATTCACAGCCCAAGATTGGTAAACTTATTAGGCTTTGCAAATGATAGTAAAGATAGATTGCTTGTTGTTGAATTTATGTGCAATGGTACTCTTTATGATATTCTTCATTCAAATTCAAGAACACCCAATTGGGGAAGAAGAATTCGATTAGCTTTACAAATTGCTAAGGCTATTGACATATTACACTCACAAAACCCGCCAATAATTCATAGAGATATAAAGTCTGCAAATGTTTTGATTGATAGGAATTTTAATGCAAGATTGGGCGATTTTGGATTGGCATTGAGATGTGGTATTGATGATGATTATAGACTTAAATCAACCCCACCTGCCGGTACTATTGGTTATCTTGATCCATGTTATGTTACTCCAGATAATTTGAGTACTAAAACTGATGTCTTTAGTTTTGGGATTTTGTTGTTGGAGATTATTAGTGGAAGAAAGGCTATTGATGTGGGGCATTCACCACCCTCTATTGTGGATTGGGCAATTCCACTTATAAAGAAGGGAAAGCTTGGTGCAATATATGATCCAAGAATTGCTCCTCTTAAAGATCATATGATTAGGAGGCAATTGGCTTTGGTTGCTGCTAAATGTGTGAGGTCTTGTAGGGAGAGGAGGCCAGCAATGAAGGAGGTTGTTGATTGGTTGACTGCATTGAGTAAATTAGTTCCTCTTCATTCATGGAATGGATTTAATAATCCATGTATGATGGTGGAGACAAAATTAAGTTTCCTTTCATTCATGGAATGGATTTAATAATCCATGTATGATGGTGGAGACAATGGGAAAAGACCGGTTGAATTGAGAAAACACTCAGTTTGTTTTGAGACCAGAAGGTGTTTTTAACAGAAGAGAATTGGATGGCAATAGATAGTAAACTTTGGTGCACAATCAGTCAAGGATTCTCGGAGAGTATATTCAGGCTTGGGGTTTCGGAGCAATTGATGGAACTTATTGGCGGGGTACAGAAGAGAGAGTCTCAGATTTTTTTGGGGTGAGGCTGAATTGCAGTTGAATCAAAGTTTGACGTTGGCAAAGCGAGTTTCTAGTTTGTACAGATTTTGGTAGTGCAAGATATGGTATCAAAGGAGGGAGCTTCAATCGAAGATGTCCTGGTAATGAGAAAGGTCTCCTTGAATGAGAAGGGAACCAATCTGCTGGGGTGATTTCAAGAACTGTTCTCAAAACAGAATGACACAATTTACTCGTTTCAAGTTAAGTTTACCGCGGATTGCGATTGAGATGTAGTACATTGTAAAGATACATTGAAGCAACTCGCATAGCAGAGCGAAAAGCTCAGGCTCTGTAAGCATTCTTCTTGCTTTGTTGAATGAATTTCACTGATGAGATTCTTACCTGCTCAGTTATTTGTGGATTTCCAATTAATTTACAATGCTCATTCAAATGTTAATGCTTGTTTGAGTTTTGTTGAATTTACCTTTATAGGGTTGTTTTTCTCTTTTTCAATTTCTATATCTTTAGTAGTGCAAAAGCTGATTGTATGATACAGAATTGCTGTTGAATAAATGCATTAAAACTGTTTCACATTCTTCAATTTCATATTAATTATAATTTGTCTTCAACGTATTCTGATTAATTGAACACTACTGTAATTACTGTAATCAGACAGTAATTTTGAAATTTAAGACTGAAGAATATTTGTCAACAGTAAGGTTTATTCTTTAGGGACCACAACAAGTTGTGAACAAAGCTCACTTTGTCAAGAGCCAGTTTGATTCTCTCTGTCAAATTGCTGTTCGAAATTGAGGATAGTAATTGACTGTTTGCTTTTTTGAAATATTTTTGGAAGAAATTCCAGAGAATTATTAAGCTGTATCAGCAACCAGCCAATTTCTTTGCAGTGTTGTCAATGTTTGTGACTATCTCTCTAGAAAAGATACTGGACTTGCACAAAAGATGCTATTTTTCTATCCATTCAGTGCTCATTCATAACAATGGGTATGTTTCTTTTTTTTTTTTTTTTTTATCAAGTATGATGGCTTTTTTTTTTTTTTTTTTTTTATCAAGTATGATGGCCCCATTAGAAAAACTAATAATAAAACTGCGGAATCCATAAATTTGCCCGTGAAGTTTGCACTATTTGTCTTATGACCTCAAGTCTGTGGGAATCTATTATGACTATATACTTTCACATGTCAAAATAAAATGTTAAAGTGCAGGGGCATAATTGAACTCTTATAAAGTTATTTAGGGAATAGTTATTATTGAAATGTGAAACTGTAAGATTATAATAGGTCTCCGCAAATTTGAAGGTGCCACAAAGTAAATCGCATAAACTTTAAATTCAAATTTATGCATTAGTCCGTAATAAAACAGTAGAAGCTTTCTACATTGTGTCTGGTTTTTCTTGAAAAATTCTGCAGCAATACTAAAATCTCTCCATTTATGCTCTTAAATCTTGATCTGCTTTGATGGATGATTAACCAGTTGTCTTTCTTGGCCAACTGGGCATATAAGAATTGTGCATTACTCAAACATGATTTCTTGATATAATTGTATTATTAGTTAAATCTTTTTTTATGATTCATTTGGTCAAGTAGGGACTATCTTTTTCTGATTTAAAATAAATCATAAATGCACCTAACTAAGATTTAAAAATCTATAATCCTTCTTGGAGGCCAACAGCATTCCCTTTGTGGGCAAACCAAAAGGTTAAAATGGGATATGACATTCTTTGGGATAGCTGGTGACTTGTTTTCACTTTTAGTTAAAAGGAAGTTACCTATTTTCTCTTTATTGTCTGGTGCCATGAATGCCTCCATGGATGTGATGATGGGTTCAACAATTCTTGGTCAAAAGAACTAGAAATAAAGAGATATAGAAATGTATGGCTAATTAAGAATATCACTCAATTCTTGTCTTTCTATTTAAATGTCACATTTTCTAGACCAATTGAAGCCAAAATCATATGGAAATATTACTTTCTTATATGTTAGGTAGCTCATGTACCCATAGATATTTGGTTTGGTTTGATTTAAATATTGAAGTTTTTTTATCCTACATTGATGATTTGTAAAATTGAACTAAATTAAACCAAAAGAATTTTAAAAAATCAAGAGTTTTTTCGGCAAAATTAATTGTTTTGGCGGTTGTACTGGTTGTTTTGATAGCGTTTAATTGTTAGCTAGTTAGATAGTTTTTCATAAAACATTAAACATTACATAAGTTACTTCTTATAAAATATTACATTAATCTCTAAAACTTAGTTCAAACCTTATATTATCGAATATTAAAAGTTAATTAAAAAAAATTATTGCCGAACACTATCTAAATTAAATAAAATAAAGTTATTAATTTTATAGCATTGGCTTGCTTTTATTATTATTATTATTTAATTAGGATTTCTATTGAAGTTCAAACTTAATTTTCTTAACACTAAAAGCCAATTCTAATATCATTGAATTGAAATTGAATGACTGAAAATCCTTTTTTTTTTATATAAAATAAAAGTTAAAAGTAATGCAATAGTATGATATAGGAATCCTATTTCATGTACTTAAAGGAGAACTCAAACCTCTCATCTAATCTTGATAAAAGAAAATTAATTATTACAATGAAGCAAGAATAGACAAGACAGGACTTGAACTATGATTCATACAAAACAAAACAAATATTTAATCATTAAACTATATATTAATCCAATAGCTTATACTAAAAATCCATTTCCTTTTCTTACATTTTCAATAAACTTAAATGCAAATGGACAAAAAAAGAAAAAGGAAAGGAAAAGAAGAAGAAGAAAAGAAAGTTTGCATTTGCAAAAAATCAAAACACCCTTTATGTGGAGTGATTTTACATTGCTAATAGTTATTTAATCTATATTTTTCTTTACCATAGAGACAAGTAAACACATTTTTCAAACAATAGCAATAGTCCCTGCCCAAGAAAAGGACTACACAAACACCAACTCCATTTAGCATAAGATTTTATCAATTAAGACAAAAACTCTCTTTGGCAAGACAATTTGAATTTCAGATATCTAAACTGAGACTCAAATAACTGGAACAAACAAACATGTATGGTGTCTTTAGCTGTTAGCAGTATGCATGAAGACTTATATTCCTGTCCACATACCAATGCTTCCACATACCAATTCCTGTTCACATCTCTTCATATCACATGTGCCTCTCCTTTTCATATACTGAGGCAAAATATTTATTTATCTCTATCAGTTAAAAAAAGTTAATATGGAAAGATAAAAACCTTTTTTTTTTTTAATAATGATGACATTTGAACTTAGTGGCCTGTTCTTTTGTCCATATACTATTGGTTTTGTTGGATGGATTGGATCCTTTCTCTTACTGTTCGAGTCAATGCATGCCATACATTTATAATTTCCTGTGAAAGTAAATAAATTATCGTATAATAAATAAGAATTAGCTTTATTTGTCTCACCAATTATGATCCCACAGTTCTTTTTTCTGTGCTTCTCCCTCTCAAGGCTGTTGCTTGAACCTTAGTCCTTCTCGATTCACCGGATGTTCAATACATCCTTGTACAGACAAATAAGAAACTTTATGCTTACATGGGAATGACGACGGGGCACTCGACGGAAGGTATAAATATAATACTTAAAATCTTGTTATTAAAACTTTATAAATGTTGATATTAATGACAAAAATCACATGGGCAATACAAACTGATTGCCATGCACAACACAACAGAGGTGACATGACAGCAGCAGATCTCATAATGCTATTGAACTTCGCACCAAAAATGAATCTGTATAGAAACAAAACTATAATTTCTGAACACTACAAATATAAAAGAGAACAAACAATCAGCAACAAGTTTAATTGGATGTCCTGAAATCTATCCTCGCTAACTGCCTGAAGATCGAGAATTACTTTTGTTGAGATTTTTGCAGGACTAACAGCCTGCAGACTGATCCAAAACCCTTTAGTTGCAGTCCAGAAAAAGATGATCTTGTGTACAATGAAAGAAACAATCAGCGGCCAAGTAGACAGCATTACCACACCTGTGAAATGGAAAATGCAAAGTGGAGATCGCAGTATAATTGGATCATCTTTGTGTTTAACTTGATCTCACACCTGCACCCTGCCTTGTCTTTATCATTCTCTTGAGAGTTGCAAGCCAGAAATTACACTCATCCCACTCGCTCGTCGTAAGAAGTACCTAGAACAGGTTCAAAAAAATGACTTAATTCAGGTACAGGGGCTAATAAATATGTCAATTTAACTGACTTGCTGAATTTTAAAAAGCATACCTGAATTTGCAGGGCCGTACTGAAATCATTTTTATCTAATGCCTGGCACAGCTGCACAAGCTTATCAGAAGCATTTTTTGATATATCTCCACTGTTGAGCTTTGCAAACAAGGCACCAATTTTCCTTGAATTGTCTTCTATTTCACGCTTCCTAGCAGGATTCGCCCGTGAACCTCCCAAAGCTTCTGATGTCTCGTTAAATAGTCTTGTCAATGTTGAAACGACAGGTCTATGATGAGCTGCAGCAGATTATGCAAAAACAAGTTGAACATATCAGGAAATACAGGTATTTTAGAATCATAACTAACAAACAAGTTCTGGGTCCCAAAATATTGTGGCATAGATCAACATTGAAGTGAATGCTACACCAGTCATTAACAAACTCATTGACGAATTCTTATAGGCATCAAAGCACTTTCTTTTCCTTTATCCAAGTGCTTCCCAAACAATTTAAAAATATAACCATAATGTTTTTGTTTGTTCAATTGTGTCAACAGTTGCACCAATTATGTCAAACCTATAGTATCCATAATGGAATGAACTCCTAGAAGCTACCATCAGACATCCAATGGAGTCTGAATGCCACTAATGACAGTATCAGCAAACAGACTTGCACTTCAAATACTTATCAGAAAAAAGCTGTGTATCACAAGTAAATCTTTCCATAAAACTAGAAGCAGCCAAAAATTCCATGAAAATACCAGGCACATTTGAAGTATCAACTGTCTGTACTGTGGGTGGTGGAGCAGCAGGTGCCACAGCCGGTTGTACATTTGCTGATTGAGTAGGACTGGGAGGTTGCATTGAACTGATCCCAGGCCTTTGAGCAACCCCTGAATTTGTTACAGGCCTAAATCCCATAGGTGTTGAAGTGGGAGCCACAACCTGTGGTATTTTATTGCCAGAAATTGGACCCACTTGAGATGCAACAGGACCTGAACCAGCTGGAGGCTGCACAGGTTGATAGGCGGGATTAGCACTCCCCTGAAACAAAGACACAAAAGCACATCAATCGCAAAACATGCATGTGTCACTTAACGTGAAATCCATCATGTCAGTACATACCGGATATAACTGAGAACCCAATGTGGGTTGCTGGTACTGCTCAGCATTTCTCAAAATAGGAACATTTGACGGAACAAAAGTCCTCACAGCTTGTTGTGTGGGGGCATGAGGTGGAGCAAAATTTGCCTAAAAGGTGAACCATAGTTAGTCATGGAATCCACATTATTAAAAATAAACAGCAACTCAACAACAGTGTTATTACCAACTAGAATAAAATAATGAATCCACTTAAAAGATTCTGAGAAACTAATCAAACATACAGATAGTTCAAACCATGCTCTGATCCAGAGGGCTCAACATCAAAACCAGCTTAGGAACTAAGTTTGGATTTGTTTCTCTAAGATAATAATATTTTCCTAATTAGCTATATTTCACATCAAAATAAACACAATGACAAGTACCTGAGGAACCTGAGGTGTCTGAGATGGAACGAACATTCCAGGCTGTGTGGTTGGCTGATATGGAGCAGGCTGAGGTGCAGGCTGATATGGAGCAGGAGCACTATATCCTCTTCCATATGAAGGCATAAGAGGTTGTTGATAATTTTCACTGTATGGGCTTCCAGGAACACTTTGATGCAATTGTGACGGTGCTGTTTCCTAAGCAATCAAAGGCATCTAGTTAAAGCAATAACTTCATTCACAGGGAAACAGCACTCTATCCTGATATAAAAAATAAAAAGGAAAGGTATTGGTGAGAAGCAAAGTGCATGAGACCACACCTGATAATAGTGTTGAGAAGCATCAGTAACGCCAAAACTAGATTGTTCAGCACCATATACTGACCCACCTTGCTGTTGCCCATAATTCATAGTCTTAGCATCTTTCTCTACATCATACATAAATCAAACCATTCAACCGATACACATTTCAAAGGCAATATCATATCAGAAATGCATAGCTCCCACCACTAATATCAGAAATGCATATAGGAAATTTATCATATGAGTGAAATTTTTGTCAGTATCAGGAACATTTTCACCCCACATAAAGAACCAAAACAATTAAAAAAGGCAACACCCTGAACCACATGATATTAATACAATAGTCACTCATAAAATAATGAACTAAGGATAAGCAGAAATGGAAGAAATGTGGGGTAGAGAGAGCATGAGAGTGAACGCATGTATGCATTGAGCAAACCATTGAGAATTGTTAAGTTCAGTAATGAAACAGGACTGCATTCCAAATCAGCGTACCAGGTTCTGTGGAGAGGGCAATACGATCTCTTAATATTACAAGTTCAGGAGACAATTCATCAGACCCCAAAAGATTCAAGTATTCCATTGCGGTCGTTAAAAGCCCCTGACTGGCTAAAATTTCAGCATATTTCTCAACAAGCTTCCACAAAGATGCACTAAAACGTTTCTGCCCACTTGCCAAAGCAAGGACAATAGTTTTCTCCATCAAATCCTAACAGAGCGAAGAACATTCATCAAGCTTCAACAGAAATGACAAAATGGTATATCATCTTAGTTGCTGTAAGCTTACCTGAAGAAGTTCAACATATGATTTCCCTTCACGCTCAGCTGTCAGGTTTCTTGACCAAATTTCAACAGTTTTGTCTATGTTTCCCGCACATATATAACACAAAGTTGCCGCCAAAGTATTGCCAGCAACCATTAGTTTTGATGCGAGTGAATTACACAGTAGACTCCATTCCTCATTCTGTGCGAACTGCTCATCCATTATGATGAAAAAATTACTTACAATGTAAATAAGACGTTGGAGATTTATTCTAAAGAGAAAACATCTGCTCCTTTCTTTTTGCCCATCCTTCCCAACACCCCCCCCGGGGGCCCCCCCAACCCAACCCAAAAAAAAAAAAAGGAAAAAAGCCCTTTTTATTAGAGTTACATACAATCCATCCACTATCAATAGGAGCAAAAGAAATCAAGCGATGATTCAAATAGCATGAAATTACTACTTGCAAGAATAAAATGTCCACAAGGAACAAAAAATAGTTAATTCTAAACAGAATGTCACCAATATATCCTTTTTTTTTTTTTTTTTTTTAATTACTTACAATGTTAAAATAAGACGTTGGATATTTATTCTAAACGAGAAAACAATTCTGCTCCTGTTTCTTTTGTGGCCCATCCTTTCCCAAACCACCCCCCCCGGGGGAACCCCCCCAACCCATACCTCAAAAAAAAAAAAGGAAAAAAAAGCCTTTTTATTAGAGTTACATACATAATCCACTCCACTTTATCTAATAGGAGTGCAAAAGAAATCACCAGCCGATGATTCAATATAGCATTGAAAATTATATAAACTTGGCCAAGAATAAATGTCCTACTAGGAATCAAAAGAAATAGTTAATTTCTTAAACAGAGAAATGGTCACAACAATATTCACTTTTTTTTTTTTTTTTAATTTTGCGAAGATATAATGTAGTTGTCACCAGCAAGAAAAGGGTTTTGAAAAACTTACTGTTACATAGAAGAGCAAGTTGTTTCTAATAATACAGTATCGGGCCGGGTGCTTGACAAGGGCTCATTAAGGATCATTGTTTCACCATTGGCAGAAACAATCTGAACAGAAGAAATTTTTTTTTTTTTTTTTTTTGCCGAAGGATATAATGTATTTGTCACCAGCAAAAGGGTTGAAAAACTTACTGTACATAGAAGAGCAAGTGTTTCTTTCCAGTATTTCAGGGGCCGGGTGTTGACAAGGCTCATAAGATCATTGTTCACCATTGCAGAAACAATCTGAACGAAGAAATGGTAAACTGTAAAGTCATATCCCTCTAAGAGGTTCATGATAGTCATCCAAAGTAATTATAGAGATAATTGCATTTTCATAAAACATGAATAGCTAATATCCATTAAAAATTTTCATATGGTCAGTAAATAAAAAAAGTCAAAAATTAAACTACCTTCAAGTAAGGTGAACGGCTCATCTTAAGGTATTGATCACGAGTACTCTCCCACAAGGAAGTACCACCAACATGAGCAATAACTAAAGCATCAGCAATTTTGTTTGCAGATATGCACTGTGCAACAGCACCCTTGTAATCCCCCACAACCAAAGCCCGCTGAACACTATCATCAAATGATGGATCAGAACTCTCCTCCAGTGTATCTGGTTCCTGTTTTATTTCTTCTGCATGAGGAACAGAATTTCTAGGACTGAAGTTATCTCTAGAAGTAAATTTAGGTGTATCAGCTTTGGGGCTCGGGAGATTGTTAAAGAAATCTTCTCCATCATCTGCAGAGAAAACTGTGGGCTCTTTAACACTCTCATATCCCACTTTATCTACTGTTGTATCATCAAGCCGAATGGCATCAATTTGTTGGGAAATGTCACCCTGTACAGCCTCCTTCTCTTCCACAGGTACACTAAAACCAAGGTGGGTAAGCATCTTTGTCCTTGCTGTCCCATCTTCTTCAAACATAACCTTTAAGAAGCCCCAAGTTTCACGATCATCCTCTGATCTGTTATAATGATTGACCGTAGACAGGTAATGAAATAGTTTAATTTGCTTGAAACAGAAGATAGTGAAGAAAAAGAAAACAATTTTATTTCTTGAAAGGCAAAAAAAATATTCCAAATCTCAGAAAGAAGACATACTCAGCCTCCTCAGATTTTTTTTCACATATTGCTTTTAACGAAGACTTCTCTCCATTTTGTATGGCAGCTTCAAATTCAGAGGACCGATGCACCAAACTATGTTCAGTAACCAAGTTATGCAAAAGGACCTGGGATAAAAGAGCAGAGGATAGAATCAATCAAAAAATTTTTAATCAAAGAAAAAGGAGAAACCTCACATACAAAACATACCTCTGAAACATTTGTAGTAGATGACTTAGGGTGAAAAGATACGAGTTTTCCACCAAAGCCAAAAGATACCCCAGCTGGACGTTTATACCATTTTGGAGCTCTTAGTGTGACTGTATTCATAGAGAATATATAAGAAGATATGCCAACAAGTTAAATCTCAAAAAAGAAAATTAAAGCAACTCGGGGAACAAGAAGCTGGTGTTATAAAACCAAAAAAGGGTTGATTCATCTGGTGCAAATAACTCATTATAGCCAAGTTCAGATTATATATTATCTGAATCAAAAGCTAATAAAAAAAAGGTACACTCATAAAACACTTATGAGTTAGTATGCATCAAAATAAGTACATTCACAATGCCCCCAGAGGAAACATTACCTGCTCCAAAATCACCCTCAATGGCACCATAGTGACTGCAACCCTGCATGGTAAGATCCATGATAAGAGTTGTTTTTAGTGTTGTTATTATTATAATATTGGAAAAGCATATTAGCATCATAGTCCAGGCTCAATTAAAAATTAACTGAATTGCAAGTGGAAATATATTCCCGGTTCAACTTGCTTTCAGATACCAAAATCTGTCTTTAATTACAAGGTATTCTAACCCATTCCATTATTAACATATTAGTTTGAGCCAATCGTAGTCGGATTTCAACCATTAGCACATGCAAAGTAGCAACTAGTTATGAACTTGCTGCCAGTTTAAAACACAGATAATAAAATAAATGTATACCTCAATGTTGTAAATGCCAATCTTTCCATCAAAAGAAGATGCTGATATAACTCCAGGAATCTTTGGATACCAATGTACATCAAAGTTCCAGTTGGCTCCTGCAGGCAATTCACGGACAATCTATGCCAAATTCAAAAACAAAGCATAAATAAATAAGTGCCATGGTGAACAAATACTTAAAAAGAGAAGCAAAAAATACATAAAAGTTTCAGAAAAAAAATCTTACAACTAGCAAAAAGCAAAGTAGATATCCATTAATACCCTACCTCTCCGGTTGTAGTGTTCCAGCAAATAGTTCTATTATCTTTAGCACAGGTAAGCAAATAGGAACTGTCATTTGGACACCATGACATTGCAATTACACCTGGTAAACACACAAAAAGAATAAGAAACTAGAAAGTAACAAGCACTCAATAAATTCTTATGACAATAAATGGTTCTCAAAGAACAAAAGCATTAAACTTCAAATAAAATTGCCAATAAGAATTATGATATAAGAGCCAAAGCAGATGAGATATGCTAGACATCCGAAAACATATAATCTAAGTTCCCAAACAAATATGGAGATATTATCTAGAAATGGTGGAATATCATTTCCCATTAACCTAGTTAGCATGTTACTTATCATTACATGTAGAACCATGCGATAAGAAATTATATCCAACCTGAAACTGCTAAAACATACAAGAGAATGTATAACATCTAGAAGTTATAAATGATGGATCGCACTGCAACATACCCTTAGTGTGACCCACAAACTCTTGCAAAGGTGTCATTGTGTTTCGCATATCCCAAAGCTGCTTGCAAAGAGTTTCGTGAATTAGAATATCTTTTGCACACAATAATTCCAAATAAAACTATTATATGTCAGGTCGTTACCCGGAGAGCAGGAGAACTGTCCTCATCAGATGCAACAATAAGCTGAGTGGCAACATCAGGATGCCACTGCAACACAGAACACCTTCTTCTAACTGAATCTTGAAAACTGTTGAATTACAGAAACTTTATTAGATTGTCATGAGCATAAACCAATTATATAATCGGATTGTATCATGCAGAGATTGCTAAACAATTGATAAAATAAAATGAAAGCAACTTACGATATCACTGGTTTCTGCTTTTTTAGGTCCCAAACAACTGCAAGATCCATGAAACATTCAGTGCTCCAAGCTAAAATAACGTAATGATTGGAAATTGACAATAACTAAGCTCACTTTGCTATCTCACCAGTTATTCCATTGAGGGAAGTGGATGCCAATATGTGTTGAACTTTGCTATTCCAAGAAATATAGGAAATTTCACCTTGAGCAGCAGAACCGCTACCCTGCAAAAGATTCACCAGATTTAGTGTATGAAAATAACAAAAATTATCTACTACCAGAACTCAAAAAGTGCAAGAACAAGAGTGAGCCTTCTAAATTGAACCAAATGTGGAGAGATGGAGGAGAGAGGAGGGAAAACAATGACATCGTCACTTCCATGATGATAGTACAATGCACAAAAGATGTATAACAAGCAACAACCGCACAAGTTTTAACACCACCACCAATGCCTCAACAACTGTAAATGCTAATCATTCACAAAAAGGATTTTTTCAAACATAATAAAAGGTACAACCAAATGAATAGGGACCTCCACGGAACCAAGACTAGTTAACTGATATTCCAAGAAAATTCATAGCATTTTTCCAAGAGATCTTCTCTCAGGAGCTTCCAACAACTAGCTTACAACAAGAACCCATATGTAATCATGCTCCAAGACATGCAAGTCACAAGATAAAATTGTAGTTTTAACATTTGCCAAGTCAAATAGGCCCCATCAATAGCTCCATCCACAATTTGCCAGATGAATGCGAAACAAGTTTAGGCGAGTTTGTCCAATGTTCTGATATTACAACATCATGAACTTTGATAAGTTCAACAAATTAACATGCATTGCGATTCTATCAATTTAGATTGCTTATATGTAATCATGCTCCAAGACATGCAAGTCTCAAGATAAAATTGTAGTTTTAACATTTGCCAAGTCAAATAGGCCCCATCAATGGCTCCATCCACAATTTGCCAGATGAATGTGAAACAAGTTTAGGCGAGTTTGTCCAATGTTCTGATATTACAACATCATGAACTTTGATAAGTTCAACAAATTAACATGCAGGGTTAATTGTGATTCTATCAATTTAGATTGCTTCTTGCTGTAGAGTTGTCTGGTTATCGGCCACAGTTTTCAGTATCAACTGAATATTGTTCAATTATTTAGAAGAGCTTCTCATCCAATTTGGGTAAGCAGGTTTCTAGATTATGTTAGCCTTTAGTTCTAAATAAGATGCCATCATATAAAATAAGCAACCACATCCAAACTAAACCAAGAGTCATAAATAGCGTCAATGAGACTCTTAAGGTTTTCTCCTTCCTACCTCCCTTCCCAATTTAGACTGCAATGAGACCACATTTCATCCATATCAAACTTCAAAAACTATGACAAATTAAGGTACCTCATAAATTGTTTCTTTTACAATAGTAAGAATAAGAAACAAGAAATATCTCGATTTAAATAAAACTATTTGTGCTCAAAAATAAAACTTTTAATTGCTTAAAAGCTTCAAACTACATTTACCTTTAGAGGTGGGAAATGAGAAGGTTCTGCAGGTGCAGCCAAATCCCAGATGCAAATTTCACCATCATCAGCACCAGATGCAAGCAAGTTAGGTGTAAAGCTGTTAAATGCAAGACCACGAACCTGATGTAAAGAAACAAATAGCAGGCACCATAAGCGCAGGAAACATAGAGCCAATCACTAACAGATACAGCTTATTGCAAGGCAAGGAACTTACAGGTCCTTTGTGTTTTGAAAGATGTCCAACAAGAGCACTTTCACTTGTCTCAGACCTGAGAAAAAATTACAAAGACACAAAATAAGGATTAAGGACTTCACTCAGCAAATTGAGAAAGTTATATCATTTACTCCCCTAGTGAAATAAGACAACTAAATAATGCAGATGGTATTAATTCCTTATATTTTTCAGTGAATTGATATAAGCAAAAAACCTTTAAGCCAAAGACATAAACATCAATTTTGTACCTGACTTGAATATATCATCAAGATTAGTTCAATGCCACAGATCCAAAAAATGCAAAGAAAATAGCAAGCACTACTAAAGTTCAAAAAACAGCCGGAAGATTACAACAGCAAAACCAGTTCTACCTTCTAAGCTGCTTACGAAAAAATAATAGGTAATCCCCCATAATCATGAAGTAAAAGCTCATGCTCTTATTTTCTTAATACTTATTACGGTTAAGATTCTCAATGTCTTCTTCCTCTTCCTTTGACTCTTCTGATCTACCACTCCCCATTTACAGTTTTTTCATAGAGTCACCTGAACCTAGAAGACTTACATATGAAGCTATTCTAGATACCCGACTTAATTGGGAGAAGTTGCAGCACCAAATCAAATTTGATTTTCACATTTTAAGAGTTCATAATAAATATTGTACATATTTTAATATCACCGATATTATCATTAAATAGTTAAAGCAAATTACAGTGGCATAAGTAAAAGATCCAGTGATATAAGCAAAGCCAAAAAAAATAAAGAGTAAATATAAAGAATCCCTCAAACCCCTAAGTCACATGCTGAGGTGCCCGTAAAAGGCATATGCTTAAGTGCCTATCACAAGTAATTGAAATTTTAGTTTTAAAAAAAAAAAAAAAAAAAAAAACTTTTACGAAAAGTTATTAAGGGTAGAGGTAAATCCCCCATAATCATTGAAAGTAAAAAGACTTCATGCTCTTTATTTTTTCTTAATCCACTTATCTACGGTTAAAGAATTTACTCAATTGTCTTTCTTTCCATCTTCCTTGACTTCTTGCTGATCTACGCACTCCCCGATTTTACAGTTTTTTCATAAGAGTCACCGGCTGAACCTAGAAAAGACTTTACACTATGAAGCTATTCTAGAAATACTAAAACCGGAACTGTAATTGGGAGAAGTTGCAGCACCAAAGTCCAAAAATTTGAATTTTTCATCATTTTTATTAATGAGTCATTAATAATATCATACATTATTTTTAATATCACGATTATTTATCATTAAATTAGGTCTCAACAGCAAATTACTCAGTGGCATAAGTAAAAGAAAGTCTCAGATTATAAAGCTAAAGCCCAAAAAAAAATAAAGAGTAAATATAAAGAATCCTCAAACCCCCTAAGTTCACTCATTGCTGACCCGTGTGCCCGTAATATAACTATATCCGCTTAAGTGGCCTATCACAAGTAGTAATTTTATAATTAGTTTTAATAAATAAAAAAATAAAAAAAAAAAACATGAAGCAATGCTTATCGTGTGTACAAGGAGAAAGTTGGCTTTAAGGTTTTGCGCTCTCAATAGATATTGAAGACTACTTGGAATTTCCAAAGAAGGATCAGAAAGGCCAACATGTTCCCCATTAATAAAGCCTCCTTTAAAAAAAAAAAAAAAAAAAAAAACAGCATCTTATTCGTGTACAGGAGAAAGTTGTTAAGGTTTGCAGTCTAGATATTGAAGACTACTGAATTCCAAAGAAGGATCAGAAGGCCAACTGTCCCATTAATAAGCCTCCCCTAAATTGTCAATAATTTGGTGTCTATACTCCAATTGGAAAGGCTTATACAGGGGTTTTTTTTTATCAAGTTTTAGTTTTAAACTCCTCTAAATACCTAATCAAATTAAATTCCAGCTTACAGCAGGCTGCAATCATCCTACCTGCAGCGAGCCTTTGAATTTCCCTACCAATCTAAGTATGCTTTCTAATAGTGCCCAATCACAACCTGTCTAGCAAGTAGCAACCCAAACCACAAGAAATCCAAAATCCTGCTCATTCCCAAACCACATGCTATCAATTTTAACACAAAACTTAAAATATCAAACACAATCAAGTACAGTCCAAAAAAAAAATAATATTAATAAAGGGAATGAAGTTAGAACATGAAAGTTGAGATCATGTAAATTATGCACCAATTTGCCATCTCAGTGGCTATGCATGGGCCATGTAAATCTCTAATCTTTGCTCTCCATTGAGCAAAAAATCTAAATAACGTTTCCACCAACAATCCAGATGTTATTTTTTTCAATTTAACAGTTAGGTTCTGACAGATACCAAATAGACTCAAATCAAATTTATTTAAAGGAAATGCATGTCCAAATTGAATCATACCATAGTTCAAATTTATCGAATTGTTATTTATTTACATAGCTATCTATCACCCAGGTACCACTCTCTCCTTTTTCTCAAAACTCTAGAAGTCGGTCAGTCTGCAATTATATAAAATGGGGGAAAGAAATTCCTAATCAGCATTCATAGACTATATAAAGCCTAAATTACGCTCATTTTCAATTTCACACCCTCAATAATCAAGTTCGAAGTAGCTGGAAATGAAACTTAATTTAAATCAAAGAATTCCAAATTTCAGAGGCTCGAGGTATCAAAACACAGATTTCAAATTCATAAACACTAAATAGACGATGTCACAATCAAGTTTTCCAATTCCCCGTCATAATCGAGTGGAGCTTAATATAAACTCGGCCATTTACTAGCCAGATCTCATTGTAATCCCAAACAGCCATCCAATACCCCAAAATTATCCACTTTACTAGCAATTTCAATGTCAAATTCAACTCATACAGCAGTTCAATTGCAACACATTTAAATTAAGAAGCTCAAAAAAAAAATCCTGAGTAAAGTCTATCCTCGAATTACCGGATCAGAGACAGAGGATTCCAAATATCGATACTACCATCAACAAGCCCACCCGCAATGAGCCCAAGGGAGTACTGGTCAGACCCGGATCCATTTCTACCCCAAGCAAGACGGTTAAATCTCTCAGAGCTCTGAAACTCGCCGACCAAAGGAAGATCACGATCATCCGATTGGAAATCAAGCTTGAAGATCTCAAGACTAGCCGACGAGCTAAAAGACAGATCGACTGCTCCCGCCATCGTCCCGGCTGCCATGTACGGTGCATCCGGCGCTAACGCCACTGACGCCGATCTATTCACCGACTTTATACACGCCATAATAAATAAACCAACAATGAAAAGAATTCTTTCTTCCTACAACGCCAATTGTAATCTAGAATTACAAAGATACGAACAGAGACAGAGAGAGAAAGTGGATCTAGGTTTATAAAGAATGAAAATTTGAGAAATGAGAGGCCAAATCGAAATTAGGGTTTGATCTGGAAATTATTTTTTGAGGGATTTTTGAATTGATTTGGACCTGAAAGTGAAATGTACACTCGCCTTCTGTTCTGTTTCTTCCTCTCTCTGTCTCTCTCGCTCGCTCTGTTTCTGTATGTGGGAGATATTTGCGCTTTTTGGTTTTAGTTTACGAGCTTCGGTTCTGAACCGGACGAAATAGGTTATTATCCTCTACATTGCGATTCTTGCCGTCGTGTTGTTCGTTAGGATTTAGCAAACGTAAGGGTATTTTTGTCCGAAATGTACTTGTAAGAAATATAGAAGACTTCTGTTACTTGTCATGAGTCCAATTGGATTATCCCATGTGTTAATCAATTTTTTAGTTTTTCAAAAGACGGAAAAGCCCATCGGTAATGAAAATCAGTTCGTTTCAAGAAGCCCAGATATGCGTATGTGAACTGTGCGTGGTTCGTTTGCTAAGCCCAAATGTGCATATGTGTTCAAGTCCAACAAATATATAGTTTATCCTTTATTTCTCCAGTAAAAGAATAAAAAATAGAAAAAAAATCGAAAAACAAATATTTTTTATGAATAAAAGCTGTGTTTGACAATAATACTTATTTATAGAGTGATTTAAATTAAAAATATTCAATATAAATAGTTTTTAATTAGTTATTTAACTTAAAATAATAAAAAAGAAATTAGCTAAAAGACAGAGTATTTTAATATTTCTATCCAAACCCTAAAAGCTGTTGTCAAAATTAAGTTACCGAACGATGTAATTTTGACTTTATCAAAAATTAAAAGCTACTTCAAAAATTTTTATAACATTTCTATCCCAAACCCTAAAAACTGTTGTCGAAATTAAGTTACCGAACGATGTAATTTTGATTTTATCAAAAATTAAAAGCTACTTCAAAAATTTTTATAACATTTCTATCTCAAACCCTAAAAGCTGTTGTCGAAATTAAGTTATCCATCGATATTATTTTAACTTTATCAAAAGCTAAAAGCTACTTCAAAAATTTTTATCGAATATGAATGAAATAAAAAATGCAATAAGATAATGATATAGAATAAGATTCAGATTACATTTATGCGTTCAATTTAATAGAAATAAATGAAAAAATTAAAATTGAAAAAAACTAAAAATCTCCACATTAATAAATTGCTATGAATTAAATTACTTAATTATCATTTTATTAAATAAGAGTTATTCTTCAATATAACAATATAATTAATTTCAATTCAATAAATTATGAGAATAAATGTTTGTCAAACTATAAAGTTTTATTCCTAATAAATTTTTTTAAAAAAAATATTCATGAGTGAATATCATAGAAAACCCAATAACGCAAATTTTATTACTTCCATTTAAAAGTATACATAATATTTTTATATAAAAATCAAATAAAAATCATACAATATGATATTTTCTAAAATTTTATTCCTAATAAATTTTTTTAAAAAAATATTCATGAGTGAATATCTTAGCAAACCCAATAACGCAAATTTATTACTTCCATTTAAAGGTATACATAATATTTTTATATAAAAATCATACAATATGATATTTTATAAAATTCCATCCAATAAACAACATCCCAAAAAAAAAAAGAGAACCTGTTTTAAAAATAACAAAGGGCACCTATAGCTTTTACAAAAAGATAATGAGGATTCAGAATGCCTATAATCACACAATTGACAATTCTATTTGCTACTATACACACCCTTACTTACTAATTACTATTACAACAACAAACATAAAATTGCAGCCTAATAATCCTAATAATTGTAAAATGGAAAGCCAAATTTAAGATTTTGGTTTCAGTTCTAGTTCTGATTCTTGAGCGTCTGGTTCTGGTTTTGCTTCCGGTTTTGCTTCCGATTCTTGAACATCTGGTTCTGGTTCATCCCCATTTGATTGCACTTCAACAGGAGGAGTATGTCTATCCATAGGAAGCTTTATTTTGCCAAGAGAAGCAGCAGGAACAAGCTTAAGATTCTCACAATTACATATCTCAATCATGAAACCATCTGGGTCATTGAAAAATAATTGGTCTATTTTTGTCCCATGTTCATCTACTGTCCTTTTCATGTACTTGACATTGAACTCCTTCAATCTTTTCTCCATTGCTTCAATGTCTTCGCACTATATTATAAGAAACCCAAATTAATAAAATTTAAGTAATAATTTGTAAGTATATACATCAAGAGATTGATGATAATATAGAAATTGCATTTAATCTTGAGCTAACAACTAAAAAATACTTATCTTTCACAAAAAAAATAAGCTTTGTTCGGCAACTTTTAAAACTTTTTTAAAGTGTGTTAAGGATTATCGAAAACCATATTATAAAATGTTAAATATTCTAGCGTTTAGTTTTAAAGTGTGTTAAGAATTATCGAAAACCATATTATAAAATGTTAAATATTCTAGCGTTTAGTTTTAAAGTGTGTTAAGAATTATCGAAAACCATATTATAAAATGTTAATAAATTAATTAAATGTTTTTAATTAAGAAATCATACTAACCTGAAAAGAAATATGGTTGTCCATGGGATCCAAATTGTGGTGAGGATCAGGAAATTGATCTCCATCTTTAGCTTGCACAAGATGAATTCCAACACCATAATTGAACAACCAAGCACCATCAAAGTCAAAAGCTTGAGGCCTTTCAGTCAAAACCATGCCAAGAACATTGGTGTAGAAATCAATAGACTCTTTTACATTCCTACAAAGCCTTGAGACATGATTTAACGCCATTAGAGGAGGTTCATGCTGCTTCTTTTTCTCCTCATACTCTTCTTTCTTCTCCATCCTTTTAGTTGTCTTTCTGGAGAGGGAGGGTTTTGTTTTGTGCTGGACTTTGTTAAAACTAAATATATTCGGTAGACGATGCTGACACGTGGGGCATTAGTTACACGTGGGGATGGAAGACTGCATTTAGAATTTGTACGTGGAACAATCTTCAGTAGACGTCTGCACTTTTTCCTAAATAGGCCAAACATTAGTTACCTGTGATACGAAGGATTCAGCAGATGGAGTCGTTTGTTTGAGCATAGAAATAAGGGTGCAAAAAAAAAAAAAATATATTAAAGCTTAAAAATTCATGAAATTCAAAAATTAAATTAAAAATTAAATCGGTTTATTCGATATTATAAATAATTTTGCATGGTTTTATTTTATCTATATAAAAATATAATATATTTTCAAATTTTTGAATCTACGAAATTTGGATATATAAATTTAAAAACTTACTATTTACTTTTATTAATTAGGCTTTCATTGAATATTTAAATTTACAATTACATATCCTAGCAAAATAATTCTTATTATACAAAATTAAAGTTTATATAATTTTAAAGGATACGGGAAAAATAATTAAATTATATTTAAAATTTTGATTTTTTATAGGTACCGTGTCCTTCTTTGTATTCAAAAAAATGTAAATTTAATTTTATTAATAAAAAATATATTGTTTTTGGTTATAATTTAAATTTACAGCATTAAATTTACTCTTTTTAATATGATAGGATTAATAATATTATTTAATTTTATAATTTTAATATAATTAAAAAAATAAAAATAAAATTTAATGTCAATAAGGTGTTGATTGCGGTGGAAATTTATTATAAAATTATAGATATTTTAATGACTGCCTATAAGTTACTAAAAAGGTAAAAATCTTAACACTTGAATTATAGTAATTAATTTGATTTTAATTTGAAAAATATTGAATTTTTAGATTTTATAAGTATAAATATAATTATTAAATTTATTTTTTGTTTTTTTTTATTAAAGGAGATCTAATGGTTGCTTTAAACAGCGACAATACAAAGTCAATAGGCTCATGTCGGTTGAAGTTGACTTCTCCTTTTTACCGGTGATGATGAAAGGTTAAAAATGCTCTCACCACAAGCTTCCTCTTTGAGGGAGAAGAAGACTTTATACCGCTAGTGACCCACATAAACCCACACGCCCAAACAAGTGCAAGTCACTCTTCTCTCTCTCAACCAAACCAAAACCTCCGCCCCCACCTCAACAACGACAGTTCCACCATCCGAACCACCACCACCACCAGTACCACCATTCCATTGACAACCACACAATAACAGTGTCTCCAACTGTCTGTAAACCAGAACTCTTGATCAAACAGAGAGAAACTCAAGATGTACAGGGACGTCTCTAGCTGCAATACTTACAATTACGGCGATTCTTTGTATTGGGATGCGCGCTATGTGCAAGAGGCTGGTAGTTTCGATTGGTACCAGCGTTACTCTTCTCTTCGCCCATTTGTTCGTCGCTATATCCCGACTTCCTCTCGCGTTCTCATGGTTGGCTGTGGCAATGCCCGTAACTATCTCGTTACTCTCTGCTTGTTTTTGCTCTTGTTATCGTCTTGTCTGCGTTTGAGTATGACTCTAGTTTGTTTAATTTAGTGGAGAATGAATTAGGTCAGCGATATGCTTCTGATTAGCTCGATTTGCCTTCTGGGTTGGTTAGGGGTTTCATTTTCAGTTTCTGTGTAGGCCTAATCTGCTAGAAGGAAAGGAACTCTTTGCTTAAAAATATGATTGACATACACTTTGAATTAGTATGGCCTTCAATGTTTTTCATTATAGAAATGGGTGCCCTTGGAATTGAGTTGTAAATGTAAAAAGTTTTGTGCCTATTTCAGAGCTTGTAAGGATGGAAATTAATAATTACAGAAAGTATTGCGTACTTGGGACTGTTTGTGTGCAAGAAAGAAATACTTTTTTGCTTAGAAATCTGATTGACATGCATTTTCATGTGTAGTAGTCTGGCCGCCAATGCTTTTTGAATATAGAAATAAGTAACCTTAGTACTTAAGTGTGACCTGTTTTATTGTCTTATTAATGCAACTGCCCCATGGTCTGTACTTGTTGATGGAACTCAACCGTAGTTAAATTATGGTAAATCATTTAACAGTATCTGAGATAGTTTTTATGGTCCTAATTTTGAGCTCTGCATATGATGGCATATTCAGAGGGATCATTGTGGTAAGATTTGTGATGTAAAAAAAAATCTCTTGGATCTGTCAATTTTGCAACCTGCAAATTAAATTGTTGATACCCCCATATGAAAGTTGTCACTTTCCTATTGAATAACTGAAAGGAATTTTGACCCAAAATTCTCTGCAGACTGTCTAATGGGAATTTTCTTTTTTTTTTTTTTTTTTTTTTTTTTTTTTTTTTTTTTTTTTTTTACCTTAAGTATTACTTAAGTGGTGACCTTTTTATTTTATTTGGTCATTTATATAAATAGCGAGAATGCGCGCCTAATGGTCTGTGACTTGTTTGATGGAACTGGCTACAAACACGCCGTAGTTAAATTCATTGGTATAAATCATTTACGTTGTTAACTAGTAAATCTTGAGATATTTTATTAATATGGTCCTAAATTTTGGAGTCTTTCGTGTCATATGTGATGGTGCATATCTCAGAAAGGATCTTTGTGGTAAGATTTGTTTGATGTAAAAAAAAAAATCTCTTTGGATTCTGTTCAAATTTTTGACAACCTCAAAATTTAATTGTTGATACTCTTATAATTGTTTTTTTTTCCCCATAATAGAAATTTGAGCTCGTCCTAATTAGAATAACTGAAAGGAATTTTTTGGTCTCCCACTAATTCCTCTGCAGACTGGTTTTAATGGGAAAATTTTTCTTTTTTTTTTTTTTTTTTTTTTTTTTTTTTTTTTTTTTTTTTTTTTTTTTGCTTCTTTTCCATTCCCCCATTCATTGTAGTCTATGTCAGAGGATATGGTGAAGGATTGGGTAACGTAAGACACTAACCAAAACATTGAAATTTTTATTTCATCAGTGGCTATTGACATGGATGATAAAAAAAAAATACGAGACAATAATCCCTAGCTACTAAATGTAATCCATTTAAAGTGAAAATTTTCATTAATGTTGTGAACATATAATATTTTTTTTCTTGAGTTATATCTTATCTCTTTTGTAAGTCGTTCCTATACTTATTTTAGACATGCGAATGTGTATGTTATGTAGATAGAGTTTCTCCTCAGATGGATTCTTTTGATTATGTGGTCATCGGACAAGGGTTGGCCTCGCCTATTGCCATTATTTTTTTATTTTATATAAGGTTATTTTGTAATGTAAAATACCGAATTGATATGAAACAAAGCATTTATTTAGAAGGGACCGTTGTTTTAAAAATTTGTATCAAGAAGCACCGTTTATTTTTATCTCCTATTTATTAAGTTTAAATGGTAAAAAACAAACAATTAATTTAGTGAAACAGAAAACACCCAATAGTTAATTGTGTATTCAAAACTTATAAAAAAGAATTAATAAAATTAAAGAGAGACATCTCTTTTAATGAAAACATATTTTTAAGACGGCATTTTTTTTTTTTTTTTTTTTTTTTTTTTTTTTTTTTTTTTTTTTTTTTGCTTTCTCCCCCCCACATTGTAGTCATGTCAGAGGATATGGTGAAGGATGGGTACGAAGACATAACAAACATTGACATTTCATCAGTGGCTATTGACATGATGAGAAAAAAATACGAGCATATCCCCCAGCTCAAATGTATCCCATTAAAGGAAAATTTTCAATTAATGTTGTGAAACATATATTTTTTTTCTTAGTTATATCTATCTCTTTGTAAGTTTCCTATACTATTTTAGACATGCGAATGGATGTTAGAGATATGAGTTTCTTCCCAGATGATTCTTTTGATAGTGTCATCGACAAGGGTATGGCCCTCCCTATTCCATTAGATGCATTTTATAACGATGTGCTTGACTTAAGTTGGTGCCTTTTTGTGTTGACTTTGTTTCTTGCTGATCCTTGACTCAGGAACTCTTGATTCATTAATGGTATGGCACATTTTCCAATGTTCTCATAACTTCTTCTAGCTTTAGGCTTTTCTAATTATTCGTATTTTTATTATTATTTATGCTTGTAATTTTAGTGCGGGAATGATGCTCCGATTAGTGCTGCTCAGATGTTGGGGGAAGTAAGCAGGTTCTGCTAAGAAAAACCTTTTGTAGCTACAGTTCTGATTATGTTTGCACTCATACTATGATTTACATTCATTGCAATCGTCTTCACCATCCCTTTTTCCTCCTTTTGGCTTTGCAGGCTTCTTAAACCTGGAGGAATTCATATGTTGGTAACCATATACCCAAAAGAAAAAAAAAAACTTTATTCTTTTTCCATTCATCATTGACTTTTGAAAGTTTTTAAACCATGATGTGTTTTTCAAACTCTTTTCAGATAACCTATGGTGATCCTACAGTAAGGATGCTTCATTTGAGCCAGCCTGTGTACAATTGGAAAATTGTCTTGTACATAATACGTAAGTTTCCTGTCCTTTTGAACTTAAAAAAGATTTTCACTCTGTGGCCAAGTCTTGCAGTAGATAGATATTCTTTCTATTTACCTGGAAGTTTTAGCCTTTACCGATATAATGTGATTCTTGTATGAATAATTATGCTACTGATTCTTTCTTACTTTTATCCAGATTGATTTTTAAGTGCATAATCATGGGTAAGATAAATGTATTTGATGGAATGAGTCGTGATAAAATTTACTGTTTTCTTTGTCCTTGTGTTTGATAAATTTTTACTTGTTGTTTTAAAGCATATAAAATTACTAAAGTTTGTTGTGCCATGATGATCTTTAATTGGTCCATCATCAAATTTACACAAGACCTTAAAGAACTTCAAATGGCGCTCTAGGCTATCCATTTCCCACAACTGAATAATTCTTTTCCATCTCAAAACCAATCTGCACCATGAAAAATGGAGTGAGCAGGTTGTGCATGGAAAAAATTTTCCTACTTTATATTTCTGATTGTGTTTGTGTTCAGGCTATGATCTATACTCATTGTGGTACTCCTTGCTATCCCTGTTTTCCTCCTTTAGTCTACTAAACTAGATACGGGTTACAGCGAACTGAGTGATAATTAGCTATCTTTGTATCCAGGGGACTGAACATGCAGTTGCTGCTGCTCTGCCTGCATTATCTTAAATCATTCTTAAAACTGAGAATATGCTTTACATTTTGAAGAGAAATACAAGGATTTCATATTGTTTTGGTATTGATGATTATATGTCCGTTATAGTAGATTCATGATTGATGCATTTTTTTTTCTGTCATTTTGAATTGTTTGGAGTTTGAGCCCTGAATCCAATTTTTCCTCATTGTTTCTGTCTTTGCCTCATTGCTAATTTTTGTGCTAATTTAGAGCTTAGCAAACAGAATTTAACTTTAAATAAGGAGGCTAAATTTCTTTCGATTTACTAATCCCTTTTTTGTGGTTTTGCAGCCAGACCAGGATTTGAAAGGCCTGCAGGTGGTTCATCATCACGCTCATTTTTGGAACCTGTCCCCATAACTGAGAACGGGTTACTTCGGGCAGATTTCATATTAGAAGATCCTGATTCTCACTTTATATACGTCTGTAAAAAGATGGATGAAACAACAGATCTTCATAGCATAACCCACTGCCCACTAACGGCTGATGTTTCCTAGGATTTAGTTACAGTCAGGCATTAAGGTAGTGATTACCTTGTTCAAGCTTCAACATGGACCATAACTGTTTGTATGAATATCACTGCATGTACCACAAGGCCTGGTCATTGGCAAGCTTTTACTATTTGTTGTGAAAATTGTTTTTGTTTTGCCTGATATGTCAGATTAGAATCTAGATGAGATGAAGGAAAAAGAACAAGAAGAAAGAATCTTGTTCTAGATGAGTCGGTGAAATAAGCACTTCAGTTTATCGCTCTTTGTGCATCATCTGAAGTGCCTTCAGATTCCAAGTTGAACATTTTAATTTGCTTTATTCTAAAACATGCTTAATTCTATTGTGGAACTTGTTCAAATGGAGGAGCTTAACCGCCCGGTTTCTCTTTATTCATTATGATGACTGTTGATGTATGCTCAGCTTATTCTATCTGCCTCTCCAGTATTCGTTGGTGAACTCAATTCCAGCATTAATCTTATTTCTTTGCCTTTTCCATTTCTTAACCGATTCTATATTATGGCAGCTTTCCTCTTATCTCTTGTTTGATAGCTATGATCCAGTAATTGGATTATGAAGGTGATATAACTAGTTTTGGAGGCCTAGAAAGAGGTCTCTGGGGTTGAGTCACTGCTATTTATATAAGTAGCTTCAGTAGTAGCTCTTTTAAGGCTGTTAAAAGAAGAAAATTTCAACTTTAGATATTAACACTATAAAAATGGCATCAAGCTTTATTATTATTATTGTTATTGAACTCTTTTTGGTGACATTATTAATGAACTCCTTTTAGGTACTCTTGTTTATTGGTGAACAATAGCAAAATTTATGTGAGATTGGAATTGGTGTAAGGCAATCATTTTCAACCTAGTAGCTTTTTATTAGGAGTATAGCTTCCACCAAGACTTGTTTCCTTTTGCAGTTGTCTAACTCTTCTAGATAATAACTAAGTTTCTATTTATAAAGGTGAACAAGAGAATCTTAACCTGTAAATAGAATGCATGCCTGATTGGGTTAAGCTCCAACTAAATCATCAATAGACTGTAGGTTCCTTCCTATCCCACTTTTTACCTTCAACTTGTGTTCTTCAATCTCAAAGATTTGATGCATTTAAATGGTCAGGGCATGGTTTTTTAGTAGCAGCCGAAAGATGTAAATGAGCCGAGCCTACTTGCGAGCTGTTTGAGTTTGGCTTGAAAAAAGTTCAAGCTTTTACATATACATATATAATATTTATTTTAAATTTATTAGAGTCTCAAGCCAAATTCGAGTTTAAAAATTTTTTAATTAAATTCAAGGTTCAAGTCAAGTTTGAACTTAAAATTTTATAGTTCACTGAGTTTCGAGCCAAGCTAAATTCTATTAAATCTAATAAGATCAAGCTTGGCTCAACTCAATTACACCCCTAGTGACAACAATTCTTTGGTTTCTTTTGTCGATGTTTAAAATTTAACCTCTAGTTCATAAGATAAACACTGAACTGTTTAATTATAGTTATACACAAACTATTATCCAATTTATTATCTTATAAATAATGTGGATATCACCTTGAATTTTCAAATCTTCCAAAGATAGAAGGACAAGAACTTCATTAATGCAAAGAGATAACGCAGGACAAGAAGTAATTACTTCATTGATACTGGTTTCTTAATACTTAAAGAATACCTCAAAATGGTTGGTCTTGCTAAAGTAGGTGTCAGAGGCTTGAGTAGTGTGTAGGAAAGCGCTATAAATTGAGCAGATCTTCTGCTCTCTGTCCTAAATTTTACTAAATCTGAGTTAGATTTCATTTTAGAACCGTAACTATATAAAGATATGTCATGTATTGACCACGTAATTCACATAAGGTAATAAGATAATTTTACATTTTACATTATAGAAAAATCATGTCTTGGATGCTATTGTTTGAGTAGTGCATGTATTCAGTTCTACTTTTCTTTCTCCAAACCCGTTATTCTTAATTTTTTTTAATGATAAAAATAAGAAAGAGCAAAATAAAAGAGATAGGTTGTGCTCCACAATCAATGTCTTGATTAAACGTTATTTTTTACAGTGTTCGGTAACATATCGTTTGAATGACTTTTAGAAGTTAATGTATCATTTTATAAAAAGTTAACATTTATAACATTTAGCTTTTAGCGTATTATGAAAAGTTACTCAAGCATTCTATGAAAGTTATTCAAACGATCTATGAAAGTTACTATTAGCTAAACAGATAAACGCAAACAACTACCGAAACAGTTAATTTTGTCGAACAAATTCATAATACCGAACAAATCCATAATACCGAACAAACCCATAATAGAAAGACTCAAGATTTTGAACTCTAATTAACATGATGTCACTATTAGAAGAGTTGCTAGAACTTAATATCTTTCATTATTCACTAAAAACTTTAGTAAATGAGAATTATAAGTAGCAAGCCAAAGTGACTAAATCTGGTAATTAATTGGAAATTTAAGAAACCCAGTTGAGACCAAAATTCCCATTTATGGCAAATATCAGTTACAATTACAAAGTCCTCAGAGGGCTCCAACCACTCTTCCAAAACAGCAAAGAAAGTTGAAAATTACTATACTGCCACTACCCTATACACTATCTCTATATATGGCAGATTGACAGTACCTTTACCAAATGTGGCAAAAATAACATAGTATACAAAAACCATCAATCCTTCATATGTGGGTCCATAGCTGCTCTAGAAATAGCAAAAGTAAATAAAATAAGTTAAAAAACTTATCTTCTCTATATATGGTAGTAGATTTACTAAATGTGGTAAATAATAAATGACAGATAGAGTAAAAAAAATTTTGGCAGCAAGAAAGATAATTTTGCAATTAACCTTCTCTAAAGTTGGCATTTCTTTTGCTAATTGTAGCAACTACTAAATCCAGAAACACAAGCAAATGCTATTGAAGTAAAAATATACACAAAAACAAAAATAGCCATTACCCACTTAGCTTTCTCTAAAATTGGCAGAGGCAAAGCTAAAGTAGAACAATTTTTTTTTTATTCAAGAAATATATATAGAAAAATGTAGCTAAATTAAAAGAAAAAAATAAGAAAAGAAATCTAAATACACTAGAAAACAAAAGGAATAGGTTCTTTGAAAGACCAATGAGACTAAAAACAAAGACTCATTAGACCATCCACTCATTTTTCCCTCTCAGAACAAGAAAATATATGTAAAATAGGATGCTAAATTTAGCAAAAGGAAATAAATCAAAAATTGAAACTTCCAAAAAAGGGACCCACTCATATCCTACTAAAGAACAAAACTTTATGGGTCCCACAATGAGAAAAGAGGAGACCCACCATTAGCACCCAACCACTCCAAATGTGGCAAAAGAATCATGCAGCACACTCTAATTAGTATACAGAGCCATGCAAACTTGCCGTTTCTAGCCCCTCTATCTCTCGCCATTTGTGTCAAAAAAAACGCTCTCTTTCTCTCTCCCTCTATCTCTATCCCCTTTATCTTCTCCTCTTTCTCTATATTTAGCAACCCCAAATAAGGGCCTTCTTATTTTCTCTCTGCCTATCTATCTGAAAGAAAGAAAGCTCCTTGCTTTGTTTTAAAGATAGAAAATTGAATTTTGAAAGAATAAAAATTTCCCCCTTTCTGTTGGTTTTTGTGGGTTTTGATCAGTTGGGTCTCTGTTGTTGTTTGAAGAGGAAAAATGGGTAGAGGGAAGATTGAGATCAAGAGGATTGAGAATGCAAACAGCAGGCAAGTTACATTCTCTAAAAGGAGAGCCGGGCTGCTGAAAAAGGCTCAGGAACTTGCCATTCTCTGTGATGCTGAGGTTGCTGTTATTATCTTCTCCAACACTGGCAAGCTCTTTGAGTTCTCTAGTGCTGGGTATGGATAGTATTTTATTTTATTAATTTGTCTTTTCATTCTAAGCTCGTTTGTTAAGGAACAAAATTTCGTTTTTGGGAATCTTTTCTTATAATTTTAATGAATATTTTGAGGTGATTGCATGTGCTAAATTAATGGCTGCTCTGGTTTTTTTGTAAATGTTTATGGTTGGAATGGACTTTTCTGTCATTTAATTTAAACTTACTAATTTACGAAGGGATTTTGAAATTTTTTTTCAAAGTTTCGTTTTAGAAGTTTTTGGATCATTGCATGTGTATGTTTTTTTTTTAATCATATCTGGATGAACTTTTTTTTTTCTTTTATTATGGTTTTTAACGTTCACTAAGTTTATCTTTTTTTTTTTTTTTTTCCCTTAACTACTGTTGAATTTTTTTATTGGATATGTTGAAGTGACTTTTATATTTTATTTGAGAGCTTTTTAAAATTCTTTTCAGTTTTCAGCAATATTCTTCCTGGGTAAATGTTCCTTTCCAGTGATAAATTCTTTTCCACTTGACTAGGTTCATGCGGGTTTTGGGGGTTTATTGTTTATTTTTCTGCATGTAGCTGTTGATTAATTATTGATAAAATCTAGGTGATGTGGGGTTTTACCCTCTTTTTTTCTATTCAATTGACATGGTTTCATGAGCTTTAATTTTTCTATTGATTCGTGTTGTTACTTTTTCTAGAAGATATTTCCAATTTCACCGAATTTGCTAATTTGATTTGAACTTTGTTTGTGACAGGTTGGGGTATGATGGCTAATGTCTTGTTTTAAGTTCACTTTGATGGATGTCTTGGGTTATACTTATTTATTTGTTTTCTGCTGAGGATTTGACTGAGTGATTTGCATTTTTTAGTTGATATCTGTCATAAGTAATCTGTTCTTTTGTTTTTTTTTTTTTTTTTAAGTGAAGTTTTTAATGTTAGAGTAGTTCAGAGAAACCAGAACTTTTAACTCCTTAGATGTCCTTTTTATGGAAATAAGCATGAAGAGGGAAAAAAAGGTAGGTATCTTTTCAAATTTACAAAAGAGAATACTGAATTCTTGGTGATGGATTATTGAGAAACTAATTTCTGGAAATGAAGTGAGAAAATACTAGACCAAGAGAAAATAGAACCAACAGAGCAGAAAATATATATAATGCAGAGCACCAAGTGATTTCTAACTTCTTGCGACGCTGTTAATCATAAGCGTATTGAACTAGCAGGGACTCCCTCTAGTGGATGGAGCTTTGAGTCCGAAAAAATAACTACCTTTCACTTCAGACACACTTAGCTGTCAGCAAGACATATCAAGTAGTTAGAGATACAATAGATGAAACTCCAAGAAACTAGTATTGTCCTCAATTTTTTAGCCAAGAAACATTTTTTTTAGGATCACAATGCACTTCAGTTAAGCAGAAGCGTAATACAATCATGCCTTATCCCAATCTGCTTAAGTTTTCACTCCAATGGCATATGCCGTAGAAAAGATTTTATAACTTGTCATTGGCCTGTGTCGACAGTCTACTTACTTATGTTTATATTTTTTCAAGAATCATGTAGCAAGAATGAATTTGACTGAAAATTTGATGCACTTCATCTAAAGATACTAACTTGGTACTAACTCATGCTTATTCGCTCAAATTTTTGTTTCTACAGCATGAAGAGAACACTTGCAAGATACAACAAATGCCTAGATTCGTCAGAGCATATTAAAGTAGAGTACAAGGCAGAGGTAGCTCTTAGTTCATGTGTACACTAGCAAAATATGTTCTTTTATGAATTTGTGCATACAAGTGTCCTGCAGTGTGTTTTACCTTATTTAAGGGTCTTCTGATACATTGTTCCGCTTTTCCCTTTCCCTTTCCCTTTCTCTTAGGAATGTTATATATATTTTGTTAAATGCAAAAACATCACAGAAGAAAACATAAATAGATATCCATTCTTCCCATTTACTTGCAGACTTTCTGTGGGTATTCTGGAATGTACTGCAATTTTTCTGCTTTGAAAAACAGTTTTGAACTTGCGGGAATGGGGTGATTGTTGGTATGGGAAGTAGGGAGACTTGCTCGTTTGAAGATAAAGTGATAAACGTCATCACTCATATAGGCTGACCATTGGGTTCTGGAAAGACATACATAAGAAAGGCAGAGCCTTTACACAAGGGTCTTTGCTGTCCAAATCTTTTTTATTCCTCAGCTTCATTACTATTATGTGGGAGAGTGAAAAAAGAATTCCAACTTTTTTGATGAAGTTTTGAGAACTTTTTTCCACATAAAATGCATATCACAGAAAATTTGAAGAAAACTATTTCCAAATGGTAGAGCAGGAAGCTGATATGGTCCAGTCCATGTCCTCAAGGGCGATGGGGTTCACATTGTAGGAAAAATTTATCAAATGACATTTTTCTTCCATTTGCTGTCCTTTTTCACCCAGGCACTTTTGAGAACCATCCATCACTTGTAGATGGTTTAGACAACCATAATACTTTGTTTATGTCCAATTGAAATTTTTGACTATTCAATTTGTTGAACTTTACTCATATGAATAATCTCCAATACAAGTATTGGTTGATGTTTCCATTTGCATGTCTTCTTCAGAAACAAGATTTGAAGGAGGTGGATGTTCTAAAAGAGGAAATTGCGAAGCTACAAGTGAAACAATTGTATGTGCTTTCTGCATTATTTCATTGCATTTGTTAAATAACTATTGAGATAATGCAAAGATCTCTTTTCTATGTGTATTCATGATTCTGTTTCAATAGGCGGCTTTTGGGCCAGGACCTGACTGGCTTGAGCTTGAAAGAGTTGCAACTGTTGGAGCAGCAATTAAACGAAGGGTTATTATGTGTGAAAGAGAGAAAGGTTTTGCGCAATATCTTTGTTCTTGCTTTTGTTGTACAATTTTAATCATAGAAAGCAATAGAGGCACATTGTGTTGTTTACTAGTTTCACATTTCAAGAGCTTTAATGGAAATTTTATCCTTTCAGGAAAAATTACTGATGGAACAACTTGAACAATCAAGAGTACAGGTAATTGAAGACATAATTATTACATGTGTATTTCCTGTAACTATTTTGTTGAACAATGTTCATTACAGCATTAATCCTAAAAGAATAATGCGACCACTTTACAAATGTGTCAATTTTGGTTGTAAATGTTTGAAGTTACCTAGACATAGCCCTGTTGGTAATTATCTCCCTCCCTTAAGGAGGAGGTTTTTGATTTGAAATCCCCAATCCCTAACATTATCCAAGAAGAAAAAAGGTTTTGTATTTGCGCCAACATTTCAGTTAAGTGGTGAAATATGATTTGTGCTAACAGAGTTCCTCAGCTTCTGCCAGAGAAAGAAATTGGAACTGTTTTTTGACTGGGTATTCAATTTCTTGTTACCAGGAACAGCGAGCTATGCTGGAGAATGAAACTCTGCGCAGACAGGTAATCAATACACTTCTTTGAACAATGTCCCAAGTAAAATGCAATGCTCATTTTTGCTTGTTGTATCATGAAGGTTGAAGAGCTTCGAGGCTTCTTCCCATCAACTAATCACTCAGTTCCAGCTTATCTTGAATACTATTCTATAGAGAGGAAGCATTCCCTTACAAACAATGGTTCTGCTAGTCCAGACGTAGCCTGCAATTGCTCAATGGAAAAAGGGGATTCAGATACAACCTTGCATTTGGGGTATGCTATTTTTCTTGTATCACCCATCCTTCAGTTGATTTGCGAATACTTCAATAAATTGTTGTATAAATAGCAGTAATGCCTAACTGTACTTGCTTGCTAAGTTAATATTTTTAACTTTTAAGTCGGCTCAGACCTTATAATCTTACTGCTCTGGTATATTGCTTTGATAATGCCTAACTATTCTCATATATATTTCCTTTGTTGGCCAGATTGCCAACTGATGCATATCGCAAGAGGAAGGCACCAGAGGGAGAAAGCCAGTCCAATGATTCAGAGAGCCAATTAGTCTTGATGTGATCATTTGGTCATTCTCCTTTCCTGTTAATAGAAACAGAACTGAAATGGTAGAGTAGAGTTGGTTCTTGAAGTTTGTCGAGGCATCGGTTTAGCCAACCGTGAGAAGTTATAGTTAGTGTTCTTTCAGTTATAGATGTTTCTATTGTAGGAGAAAAACTGGAGTTTCAGGGGACAGAGATCGAAACGAGTCGGTAGTTAGTGTTACCCATTTTTAGTAATGGTTCATAGATCCTCTCTTTTTTTTTTTCTTTTTTTTCTTTACCTGTATCAGATTAGTGTATGTTATCTAGGTGTTGGTTATGACCATCCTTTTCTGATTTAATCAGTAAATAGGATGATGAATTTCATTTCCCATTTTCTCTTAGACAAAAGTATGTTACTTGGCATCTTCTTTAGTTCTTCACATGTTCAATACCTAACTTTCTGAAATAAGATTAAGCAGACATTTCTTAACAGATCTCACAAATTTGAAGCTAATCAACAATTCATTTATTTCTTTATAATTTGCTTTGTAGCTTTTACAATCAATCCTAAAAATAAAAAAAAAAACAATCCTTTTTTCATTTTATAATCTATATACAGAAAATTTAAAAAACAAAAAGTTAATAGTACTTAGAAACTTACAAATCTTGTGATTATGGTTTTGTACTTCGAATTCCATTAAGCAAATCATTTCTCCCAACTAATACTTCATTAAAGAGACAATCCACCTCTTTTGTTAAGCTATCCAGAAGCTTCCCAATCATCCCCAATCTTGTCTGCAACTCCTCTGCTGCATTTCTACTGTTTCCACTGGCTATGGCAGCTGCAAGGCTAGCCGCTGCATCATTCAGCTCTTTAACTTCCTTTAACACACATCCTTTTTTCATTACAACTTCCAAAATAATTGAATCCAACTTAATTAAAGCAGGGTTAGATAAATTCCCTGCTAATTTTCTCATCTCCAAGAATCCCTTAGCATCACCACACAACCCACCAAACAAAACACTGCATACCCAAAATCCTACACTCCTTAGTTCCATCAAAGCTTGAAGAATAACCCATTCTTTATCTAAGCAAGATCTTTCTTCCTCAGCTTCCTTATATTCTTGGAATTTAAATTCCTTTCTTGGATTCTTGAACTCGATTGCCTTTAATCGTTCTCTTGCCAGAGAAGGTGAAGTCTTCACAAGACTCAGAGTATGAGATAAAGAAAGCTTAGCTTGTGCAAGATAAGACATTGAGGAACTGAATGAGTTGAGAAAATCAAGCAAGTTTAAACTATACTTGAAATATTCTTCACTTGTTTTGGCCTTCCATTTGCTCATATGATAGTCAATCTCCATAACTAGCTTTCCAAAGGCTTTATTGATCATGGGTAGAACATGAAAACATTTCTGAATCCATTCCAAGGATAGGTTCTCCAATCCATCCTCCTGTTTCCAATTCAGTGACAACTTGGTTACTAAACTTGAAATTTCGGATCGAAAAACCCTTAAAGGAGCTGATATATTATCAGCTTCTGCCTGATGGTGGTCGTAGTGGTGGTGATGGTGATGATAGTTCTCCAGTTTGGAATGTAATTTGGCAAATCTCTGTACCAGGAGTACCATTGAGAACTCAATAACAAAGGGAGGTTTGAAAGTTTGGTTTTTCTTAAGAAGTTTTAGGTGGTAGGTTGGCTTTTATACAAGTTTGAAATGTTTGTTTGTGTATTAAAATAAAATGGAAAACACTAGAAAAAGCAAAAATCAAAACCAATAATGTTTGTTGGAACACGATAAATCTGAAATAATATAATAAGTTACGCAATAGAAATAGTCATCTCTCAAATTCACTAATTCGAACTCGGACTAATCAGACCAAATATGATATAATCAACAAAAATAAAAATTTTTAAAATTCTTCCTACTTTCTTTTCTAATATATATGAATTATACTTATCACAAATATTACTATTTCAATAAAAAAATATTATTTTTATTAATTTAGTCCATTAGCGACGGGACCGCTTTATCCAAATGAATCATATGTTTCTATGGTCCATAGTAGAATTATTATTAAAGAATAAAAAACAAAAGAAAAGTGGTAGCAGTCAAATGTTCTTATCCATTTGTGAAAATTAATTCATTTCTTTAATTACACTTAAACACGTTATGTTATGTTAAGTGTGCAAAATAAAAAGGTGACCAAAAACCACACGCTTTGAGACAACTAGGCCCACTTGGAACTAAGCAAATGACCTACTTTTGCAAGCAACAGATTGGGAACAAAGATAAAAGGAAAGGGATATGTACTTTCATAATAATGCTAGCTAGCTGCAAATTTATGCATGGAGCTTCAAGTTGCTTGCAAAAAGAAACGTTTGCTTTGTTTAAGTTTTTATATTAAGAAATATTTTTATTCAATTTATAAGTAATAATTTTCACATTTTTTATTTTTTTTTATAAGTTTTAAATATATTTTTGTCAAAATATAAAATTAATAATATTATTTTTTTATCTCGATGTTTTCTCTTTATTCTCACCTTTATTTATACTAATTTTCAAATCGTACTTTGCAAATTATGTATATTTATTATTCATACTTGTGATTTATTATTTCTTAATAATAAATTTAAATTTAAATATGAGAATTCTTAATTGAATTTAAATATTACCCCTTAGTAATATTTATCTTTTTTTGTTAAATTTTGATATTAAATATCACTTTTTCTTACCTTTAATTTGTAACCCTGTCGAAGAATTCTAAATTTTTTATAAAAATAATAGAAAAATGTTACAATTAAATATAAAAATTACACGAAAGAATATTAAATTTTATATATAATAGAGTTTTATATCATAAATAATTCAATTTGGCGGGTTGCCACGTAGTACTAAACTATTTTATAGTTAATTAACTTTTTAAAAATGATTTTAGGCTTTTAGCCCAAATGCTGATGAGTAGTATAGCTGGCATAGCCTGTCAATACGGCCCACTGATTTTGGTCTACGGTTTGGGATCTCGCAGTCATAGAATAGAAGCAAATTGTTTTGATGAAATCAGGAAATGTAATAACATTTGACTTTTCCACGTCAAATTTCAATTTCCTGGTTTTCTTAGGGATTTTGGTCAACTATTAATTTATTAAAACTCATGTCTTTCGTCATTAATAAATTATAAATTATTATTTGTATCATTGATTTCATTTTTGTATCAAAAATATAGTAAGAAAATATAAAATTGTAGACATAATCTGTCCACTGAATTTACAATTTGTACAATGAATTGAGTATTTTAAGGAGTAATAAAAAATATTTTTTCAATATTACTTTTATTTTATATTAAATATAATAATTATTTTTAATTTTAAAATAAATGACAATTTCATCAAATTACTTTTAATTTTATTATAATTTAAAAAATTTAATTATTTATTTTTAATCTATATAAAAATCTTATACCATTTATATTTTGAAATAAATAACTGGACATTCGTTTTCGTCAAATTTGTCTTTGTGAGCCAACCCTTGACATAGTTGCACGTGAAACACCATTGCCCGTTGGTTGAAAAGAAAAGGTAGGAGGAAGCAGCATTTGCTTGAAAGCTACGCCCGCGTATGTTTCGTAGCTTCTGTTCTAATCCATCTGGCAACCATTAGGAACCAGCATTTTTTTTTTTGTTAGAGACGTTGCTCGTGTGGACTTCACTGCGAGAAAAAACGGTCAACAAATTCTTTTAAATTAATTTTTTTAAATAATTTAAGAAATAATTCCTCATCCAATGAGCTTCCACGATAAACATTAGTTAAACAAATAATTAACAATAAAAATTAATATAAACATTCCGACAATGCATTGATTCGCATTGATTCAGATTATAAGTGATCTCGATATCATAAGAATGTAAATATAATACGATATTTTCCCCTGTAAAAAATGTGAGTTGTCTTTAATTAAAGAAAATAATTGTCAACTTATATCGAAAAAAAATATCAATATAAAACTACAAATATAAATAAATTAAACTTTAAATCTAAGTTTGGAGAGGTGTCAGTGAACTTAATTGTCTATGCTTTGTAATAAAAAAAAAAAAAAAAAAAAAAAAAAAGTTAATCGAAAAAAAATATCAATATAAAAACTACCAATATAAATAAATTAAACTTTAAATCTTAAGTTGGAGAGGTGTCAAGTGAAGCTTAATTGTCTATGCTTTGTATAAAAAAAAAAATAAAAAAAAAAGAAAAAGTCAAAAGTCGAAAAACATGGAAAAAAAAAAAAAAAAAAAAAAGAAAAAGTCAAAAGTCAAAAACATGAAAATTTCACTTGAGATAGAAACAAAAGTCCTTCCAAGAAAAACACTTCTACTAACTAATAACTTCTATGAAAGCTAAATAGGAGCAATGTGGAATACCGTTGCTTGTAAGACTCTTATTAAAATAAATATGCAATTTTTATGACCACACATGCATTTTTGCTTTAATTGACCAAACCCACTAAGAACATTCTGGATTGTTTCAATTTCAAAACCCAAAAACCCAAAAAAAAAAATAAATAAAAAAAAAATAAAAAAAAAGGAAAATGACAATTAACTTGGTGCATATACATTTTGTTAACTAAATATGTTGTCGTAGGTAACATGTAATATTTCCTTTTAAAAAATATTATCTATAGCATGATAAATTTTAAGCATATCATATGAATTGTGTCGGTAATACCACAAGATAATTTTCACCTCTATTTACAATTTTATTTTTATGATATATATCTTATCTTGTAATATATAATTTTTTTCAAATAGAGTTTGATTGATCTTTTCACTCCTCGAAAATAAGAATTTTTGCTAATTTAATGAGTAAAAAGAGGACTATCCTGCTGTGTAGCCATAATATTTTTTTATCTGTTGGGCCTCCCAATGAATATAAAAAAATGTATAAATTTTATTATGAGGCTATAGAATCTCTTTGATTAAAAAAAAAAAAAAACATTTAGATCCAATATGGAAAGGAACCTCATCTAAGTTTTTAGGAAGGTTTGATCCAAATTTTCTCTCTCTCCAATGCATTTGCTGTCATATATTTGAGGCTGTATATACTGAAGCCCAATGCTTCATCATGGGCCAGACAGAAAGATATTGAGAGTATGGATAATTACTAAATGTGCTAAACCCAAATTAAAATACAATTTTATTATTATTATTATTGTTATTTTATTTATTAATTGAATTTTAATGATTCAGGCCGTCAAATGGAGGAATCAAGATTAGTCCTGAATTGGCCGGTTCGAGTTGTAGGATTTTTTTTTGTTTGCGCGCGCATTAGACTACACTACAGGTGTATTCAGTCCATTGAATTCAATATATATTTTTTCCATATATATGTAAAGATTGATCACTCAATCTCTTATTTAAGGAACCAAATCTTTTTCATATTGACGAATCTCGGTTGATAAAAAAAAAAAAAAATTACAGTTTTAACCTCAATTTCAATATGGTTTTGGTGTTATGCATCTTTTTCCTCTAGAAAAAATATAATGAGAATTTGAAAAAAAAAATCATCAATTTTACTAATAAACAAAAAAAAAAAAAAGAATCATAAAGTTTAATAATAAGTCAACCTTAATAAATATAGAGAATTAAATAAATTTACAGGAGAAAAAGAAATCAATTTGTTTAGTAATTTGATATTACAAAATTAAAAATCTAAGAATAAGAAAAAATAAGGAATCCCAAATCTCAATAGATATAAAAAATTAAATATATTTATTAAAATAAAAAATTAATATATGTTAGTAACTAGAAATTAGAAAATTAAATTTTTAAAAAAAATTTAAGGAAAAAATAATTCTAAAATAATATATTTTTAATATTTATTTAGATGTGATCACTTGCTTCATCGATTTTGATAAATAAAATATAAAAACTTATTATTCGAGTTGAGCTTAATTGTCTAGTTGTGGCCTAATTAAGAATTTAGGCTAATTAAATTCCATTTTCACAAAAAACGAATCTTTGTCTCCTTAATTGGGTGATTCAATTTACATTTTTTGATTTGATTGTCTCTTTTTTTAAAATTAGTAGACTCGTATATACTTGAAATTTCATATATGGACATCCTAATTCCTACCTATCATTTTGTTAGAATTAATATAGAATATATAATTTTAAAATCAATTTGCAATTTCTCGATTTTTGCCTATTTTTCTAAAAAAATCAAGATTAAACCCACAAATAGAATATTCCATCTTCTTCTTGCTATTGTATTTTCTTGGTTTTGAGTGGTAGTTGCAATATTCCATTTCCAAGAATGAATGTATTTAATTAATATATCCAACAACTAAAATACGAAATTTGATTCCTTTACAAGATTTGATTTTAATTTATAATTACATTGCAATAAAAAAATATATATATATAAGGGAAGCTTCGTTGTATATATAGTTTGGTTCATTCACTTTTCATATTCTCTTGGACTTTATAGGATCATAAAATTGCTTATAATGTAATTTTTTATTGTAAATTACCGGTATCCAAATCCTGTTATCAGGGATCGACTAATACTATTTGGGGTTCAATCATAGTTAAGACTTTTCACCCTGTTCTGCTCGTATGTTTAGCGATGATTAAAACTGAAAGCTCTTCTCACATCCCAGCATACGTTGCCAACTGAGTTACAACTCATATGTTAGCTTATAATATTATTAGTAACCTAATTTTAATGCTCATTGCCACAAAATTAAAATTGTAAATACCTTTTATCTTCATTCGAATATTTATCTCATATTTATTCTTTTTATAGATAAAAAAGCCGATTTTTTAATGAAATATAAATAACCTAATTTAGTTCAAATTTAAAGTAAATTTCAAATTTATGCTAGAAATTTTAGAGTAATTTCAATTTTTTTTATTTATTCAATGTATTATTATTTATCGACTTTTACCTCTACATTCTGAAATGATTAACATCTCTTCATTTTATTAAAAAAAACCTCCTCATTTTATTAAAAAAATTATCAAATAAATCTTTTTTTTTCTGAAAAGATAAAATAAACTTTTGAATCTAGGATGTGACACATGAAGTTGATATTGAAATCTAAACTTTTGAAAATTTAAAATAAAATAAACATTGTACCAAGAAAAAGTAAAATATAAAATAATATTCTAAATAAAGTAAAATAAAATAATAAAAACATGGACAAATTAAAAATTATGAGAAGAACAGAAAGTCCAAACATGAAACTTCTAAAATAAATCAATCACGAATGTCACGATCTCGTAAGGAACACCAAAACCTATATGCATGTGCTCCTAATTGACCAATCACTATTTATGCAATATTCACATGGCATAACATGATTGGTTCGTCATAATAAAAATAAAATAAATTACTCAATAAGTATTCATTTGTATTTGCAGTATAAAAATTCCCCGAATTTAATGAATTCATGCCAATTCAATGATTGCTGAATCTTTTTTTATTATTATTTTTTTAATTTTCTTCATTTATTTTTGCCAAAAATCTCGTGGAAATATTTAAAATTTATACTATTTCAGCAAGATTTTTGGATCTAAATTCCATAATTAAGTCCAAGAATTATTAATATTTATCCTTTTTTTTATACATTTGATTTTTCTTCTTAATTTTATTTACATTTAATGGTTTGTTTTGTAGGGAGAGAAGGAAATGAAATGCATTTCTATCACTACAAGAAAAAAATAAGTTAGCGACAAAAATTTTATGGCTAATTGAAAATATTTTTCCTTCCAACCAAACACAATTTAGAAATCATTTAGGTATTTATAATTGTTATATTCCAACCTAACACATCCAAAAAATCAAATTACTAAAATAAATATACTTCAAATATGGTATTATATTAATCAAATTTTTTATAAAAATATATTTGATACACTAATTTATATTATAAAAATTCATTATATATAAAGTCATTTCAAAAAAAAAAAAAAAACATTTTTAATCAATTTTTATAAAAATAATATCTTGTACTACACTTACATTCTTTATTATAAAACAACTTCGAATTACGTATATAACAGTCACTTTCAAAAAAAAAAAAAAAAACATTTGAAAATAAACACCTTTTTTTTTTAATTGTTATTCAGACTAAATTAATAGGTTATGTTATTTATTTGATATTTGTACTTTGGATAAATTGATTATGTATTTGATATTTTATTTTGGATTAAATTTGAGTCTATGGATGATGATATTGACTTATCTAAATTATAATGATATTTTATTTGGATAAATTGAGTTATGGATGATGTATTTTGACTTATCTAATATAATTTTAAATTAAAATAATTAATAAATAAATCCACCAGGAGGGGCATTGTAGACATTTATGTTAAACATTTTCACATATAAAAACCCTTCACCAGGCTCTCCACATTGGTGTGGCTGGATATTATTATACCAAAAATGAAGAACAAGTTTGTTCTTGCTTTCTTTCTCATTCTTTCGTTCTTTCTTGTTCAAATCTATGGCAGAAAGAAGCAAACAGAAGCACTTAGCCATCTCTCCAATGCCAAGTTCAGAGGCAATTCTGGAATAGACATGAGTCATTTTAAGGCAGTTGAACTTGTAAATTCTAAATCCAAGATTCATTATCATCCTGATGATATTGGCTCGAAAGAGAATGACAGAATTGTGAGATTGCCTGGACAACCTAATGTAAGATTCTCTCAGTACGGTGGTTATGTCACCGTCGATAAGTCCGCCGGCCGGGCTTTTTACTATTATTTTGTCGAAGCTCAGCACTCCAAGGACTCTTTGCCTCTTCTTCTCTGGCTTAATGGAGGTATTACTAATTTCTCTTAATTAATTATTTTCTTAGTTCAGTTTTTTTTTTTTTTTTTTCCTTCAAAATATTTGGAATCCTTTTGGATAGGAATGATAGGAATCTCTCCTGTTCTTTTGGGTGGTTGCTTTTACAAGAAAGAAAGAATATACCATTCAAAAATATCTCGAAAGCGATGTAAAATGGAAAAAACTTACTTATATCAAATCATTAATTTATTTATTGGCATGAATATATAAAGGGGATCATTCGGAGAGTTTGATTCGAATTGAAATTCTCGTCAGTGTATTTATTACTGCATTATGTATGTTTTTTTATCCGAAAGTATTTTTTATATAAAATATTTGGAATTTTAATCATTATTTTTGGCAGTTTTCTAAGAAAAAAAAAAACAGAAGATAATTATTGCACATACACTAGCTATTATTCCATGCAATAATTCTACTCACTAGAGCCCACACTTTTGTTTGTCAATTTCTTTTCTGCTTAGGCTATAGCTAATTATTAGAAGAATATTATAATCACATTGCAATTATAAATTTTTGGTTAGTTACAAAAAGTAATTTTTGTTTAATTTTCTTTTTACAATTAATATTATATGATGAATCATCTACCAAAAAAGTATTAACCCACCTCTTTTCTTTCCTTAAAATAATAATAAGAAGAAAAATAAAAAAATTGTAACCCCACATGGCCAATTGGAATGTTGCCACCAAATCTTGGGTTCCAATCCCATGCTTCACTCCAAAAAAGTTAATAATTAACCCCACCTACTTCATATTTTTCTTTCCTAAAATATAATAATAAGGAAAGATTAAAATAACAAAAAAACTCTGTATACACTACCACATTTTTGGCCACATTGGAATGTTTTGCCAACCTTAATAAAATCTTGGGCTTATCCCTTGCTTCACTCCTAATGCAAAGATTTAATTTAATTAAACTAAGCGTGGTTTGGGAATACTATAATCTAAATACATACCATTACAGCATATAAATTTAAGATTTCCATTAAAACTCTCATAAACATTATAGGGATAATTAAGAACATTATGATTTGTCTTTTGATGATTATAATGTAATTTGGTCTATATTTGCGTTGTATTAGCTTTGATGGTGATTGTGGTTCTTAAGAAATTCGAAAATTTTAATATTATAATTACTCACTATATTTATGATATTCATAAAGAAAAAAAGTCTTACCGCGTTCGCGAGAGTTTATTTTTTTAAATAAGTGTTTACATTTGATTCCAAAGTGTTATACCCTTGTTTCCATATAAGAATTTTTGTTCTCATTGGTGTTTGCGATTCTAGGTTAAGTTTGTTTTTTATTCCCTGTGATTCAAAAGCTAGAATGTATGTGGAAATAATAATTAAAAACATAATACCCTCCAAATGATTTCATTTTATTTTTATATAGTTTTTTTCTTCTAATTTTCTAGTGTCTGTGTTTGTCATATCTCCATCTCGGCTTTGGGGCTATGAAGCAACTTGGACATTTCGTGTACCACAGTGATGGTCAAAACTACTTTACTCAATCACGATACTCACCGCGAGAGCTTACGCGTCACCTACGCTTCTCTAATCATAAATATTTAGATAGATAAAACCATATTTTTGTAGAAAAATATTCTATTTCTTGGCGGTTAATCAGGACCTTAGATATAATAAAAAAAAAAAAAAAAAAAAAAAAAAAAAAAAAAAAGATAATTATTGCACATACACCAACTATTATTCCATGCAATAATTGCACATACACCAACATAATATACTCTAATAGGACATCGGATTATGATAACAATGGAGACAAAAAAAACAGCAGAGGATAATTATATATTCTTGGTAAATTGGCTGAAGAGATTTCCTGAATACAAAGATAGAGCTTTCTACATTTCTGCAGAGAGCTATGCAGGGCATTATGTTCCACAACTTCCACAAACAGCAGAGTTAGCCGTTATAAACTGTCAGACCAGTTTTTTTTTTTTTTACCATTAAAGGGTATTATTAGTTAACCTTTGCTCCTCTTATTTTCTCCCAGTAATCATTGATACATATCATACTATCCTAAATTATGTTCTTGAAATCTAACACATCAATCGATTGTCTCTTTGTAAATAAATTGCAGATTGGGAATGCAGTGATTTATTTATGACCGTATACTGATAATATAGGAATGTATGACTAACTTTGGCCTGGAGAAATGCCCTAGTTTTCAGAAATGATTTCTAGCTGTCAACAAAATAATTAAGAAGCTATTGCGACTTCTCCCCCAATGCCATTTTTACTCAAGCGCTTTACTTGTGCTTCAGCTAACTAATCAAATTGAAAGCAGTACATTTTCTCATCTTGATTTATTATTACAGGGACTTTACATTTTAACTCCTTGTGCTTCAGCTCGGGACTACTATCATAGCAAAATTAAGGACACGCCCAAACCCAGATTGCTGTTTCAGTAAGCTAAATTATTACTTAGTGTTTTGTAATTTTTTTTTTTTTAATGGTATAAAGTGGAAACACTTTATTATTGTCTTCTGTCTGTAAAAGACGGTCTGTGCAGGTGCTAATTAATTTTTGTAAATTATTAAATTTTGTATCGTGCAGTTTGGAGATTTTTGATCCATGCCAGCTGACTTATTTTTTATGTGTATGTTCTTATTTTTGAATACACCATGATTGTGTACACCTGAAGTGCAAGAAGCTATGCATGCCAATGTAACAAAACTTAAACATGATTGGGAGCCCTGCAGTGACGTCATCAGCCAATGGTTAGATAGCTCTGCTACTGTTCTTCCACTTCTACAAGAGTTCATGGCCAATGGACTTCGTGTCTGGATATATAGGTAAGTTGGTTAATCATTGCTAAGTGTGTGCTTTTTGAGTAATGATAAAATTATTCGAATAGTGACCTGAAAGTTATGGATGCGAAACGCGCAAAAACTTTAACCTGAAAGGTCAAGGGTTCGACATATGCAAAAGCATAATAAAATTACTCTAATTCGTAACCCAAATATCATGGGTTCAAGTTGGGTCACTTTATTTAATGATGCAAATCTTTATCGGTTGTTATGCAGTGGGGATACAGATGGAAGAGTACCTTTTACTTCAACTATATATTCTATTGATAAGTTGAATCTTCCTATCAAAACTGAATGGCATCCTTGGTACCTCAAGCAGTTAATCCCTGTATGTGTAACGTGTGCAATCGCTACTTAATAATTCTACTCTCCGATTCTAAGTCTCTGATTATTTCTATCCAAACTCGCATGGGCATCTTTTGGTACCTCGGTCAAAGGAGAGGTAATAAGAGTCAAATTTGTTTTTATTGTGTATTGGTGAGTAGTTTTCGATGAAAGCTATTCTTAGAAGAGAAGTTAGCGATAAATGTTTTTCTTATATAGGGTGATATTTTTTTCGTTGTTCGAAAGCGTTGCTTTGAGGAGAAATATGAACAAAGTTCTCACCAGAGGCAGATTTAACATTATAGCTTCTACAGATTTTAGCAGGGCTCAGGGCATGAACGTATACAAGCTTTCAACCATCTTACGCAGCAATATTAATTCCACATAAGTAAGGCGACTTTGTCCGCACATAGAGACACACCTTTGCCTGATATACTAAAGATATTTAGGCTTTAAATTTTTGATTTTCATTCGCTTAATTAGAGATGGCAGTTAATTTTTTTAGGGTTTAGAAATATTTGTTATTTCTTGTGATGTAATTAATGTTCAGAATTTGTCAATTTGTTACTATTTCAAATATTAGATTCTTTATCTGCCAATTTTTAGAAAAGTACTCTTCCAATTATATTTTAGATTTCCATAAATTTGTACCAGAATCATAATTTTTAAATTTTTGCACTTTGAATTATGATAATTGGAATTATCATGCGGGAGATACTTAATAAATTTATTAAATTAATAAATAATTTACAACTACATTTGCACAAGATAAAAATATATATAAAAATACTATATCCATATTATTCCAACCTTATAACAAACAAACAAATAACCACGAAAAAAAAAAAAAAAAACAATTAACACCTTACAAGAGGAAATAAAAAGTTTCCCATAACATATTTTTTTCCCTTTGGAAAAAGGCAAATGGTAAACCACTTAAAGGGGTCTTAATGAACAAAACCAAGACGTCTTAATGACAAAACCAAGAACTTCCATTTGCTTTTCTTGTAGTTCTTCCTTGATATCATTGAATTAAGACGTTTGTTTTTTGAAAATAATTTATCTTTTGATTGAATAAATTTTTCAAATGATATATTTTCATGGTTTGATTGTAATATTGAAAATTAATTCAAAATATTAAATTCTTTAACTCATAAGACCAAATAATAGAAATTTTAAAAATTTTTATTCTCAAATATGAGAAAAATGCAAAAAAGATAAATTATAAAAGCTAATGGTGGTGGCCGATAGTTGGTGGCGAACGGTAACTGGTGGTAATAACTATAAATAATTAATAAATTAAAAAAATATGGATATATAAGGTTATCATAGGTTTGACAATATTTGGAAAATGTTCTCTCTAAAAATTGGAAAGTCAATTTCTTTAAAAATGAGTAAAATATTTTTCGTTGACTTATTTTTCTAAATGCCTCAAACAATGGAAAATCATGAAAAATATTTTCCTTTAAGTTATTTTATAGAAAAAATAGAGCCTAATAGCCCATTTGCCCATCTTAAAAACAATAATGAATCGATGATTGTTAGAATTCATTTCCTAAAATGAATTTAAAGTAAAATTCATTAGAATGGAATTTTTTTCATGTTTGGGTATGCTACAATTTCAAAATAAGGATTCAATTGAATTTCACAAATTATGTTTGGAATAAATTCTTAAATAAAAATTCATTTGTCTTTATTTCTTATAACACCCTTGACATAGCAATTTAACAAAAAATAAATAAAAAACACCAATTATATTTATTTGTTACAATATAATAACTTGGTCATCTTTTTTATAAAATATAAATAATAAATTTATCATATAAATTAAGTACAATATTCCATGCTAATTAACATAATTGGTATAACCGGCAGTAATATTAATCAATAAGAATTTTTTTTTAATTATGTAAAATTTTGTTGATCTTAAGAAATTAATTTGGAAACTAAAAAATATTAAAAAAAAATATTAAAAATGCTACTATTATTTTTAATTGCATTTGAAAACAATTGTTGTTGTTGATACTCTGTTTTTATAGTTTCATAATAATAATAACTAAAATTATTACTATACTTAAAAAAAAGGAGAAAAAAAAAATATAACCTAACGTTATTATTGGATTAAAAAAATATTTTTACAGTTTGGAATTTTCCAAAGAAGTATACAAAAAAGGAAAAAAAAAGGTAAAATAATTGAGTTCATAGTGGAGGGTAATTTTATCAATAAATATTTTATGGTCAATTTTAAGTTAGTCCTATCCAATTCCATAGAATTCAATTTGTGGAATTCAAATTAATCTGTATTTTTTTTGATTCTAAACACAAAATTTTAAATTTTCAAATACATTCCACAAAATTTTGTGAAATTCATTTATTCCAAATCGCTTTTAAATATTAATTTGCAAATTGTGCTGGATTTGGGTGTCTAGGTGTATAATAAGTGATTCTTTTCTTCTATTTCTTAATTGGTATCATTGAATTAAATATTTGATTTGCAAATTCTCTGGATTTTGGATTCTTGAAAATCTGGGTGTACTAGTAGTGATGAATATATTTAATATTGATTGAATTAAAAAAAAGGAGTAAATGCATTGGTCAAATGAGTCAAGTGTTTGATATGGAAAAATTAAGCTGTAAGTGAATATAAATTTAGGAACGGTGTATGGATATACGGTAATAGTAGTAAGTAGTTTTTAAAATTTAAACAGTTAATAATTAATTAATAATATATCAACTAAATTAGGAAATTAGAAAATAAAATTCTTTTAAAACACTCTCTTGATCACATATATATGTAACTATAGAAACTTGCTTAAATCAGATCTATAACCTTTACGTATAGACCAAATTGATGAAAATAAAAATTTTAAACAATTGTTCTAGTTTATTTTTTTTATCATTTTTATTATTTAATATATCAAAGCCATAGCAAGGGAAAATAAAAGTCCAACATCTTATATGGAAAAATAAAGCTGTATATTTTGACAATGACTCGTTTTGGAAAATAGGTTTTCTTTCCTTTTTTTTTTTTATTTGTTTCAAATTATAGTTATTTTCTTTTTTGAAAATATAACTAATTTCTTTATATACTCTTATTTAATAGTCCTATTATTAAAATTTTTCTCGCTTAATTCTTTATTTAAAATTTTTCTCGCTTAATTCTTTATTTGAAGTGATTTCTAAAATTATCAATAAGGTTCTGATTGGATCGGTAAATGATCTCGATCTCCATAAGGGCGATAATACAAGTTCGATTTTCTGAAAAGATTTTCTGAAAACTCAATTTGCAAGAAGAATTAAAAACTTTTACCCTCTATTACCCAGGGGCTGATGAAAATTACACTACCGGATTATACTAGAAAAGAAAATGATATCTAATATTACAATAGAGGTATATCAAGAGAAATATAGGTCAAATTTATTATTTAAAAATATTAATTACATTTAATTAGTTTGTGAGAAAATAGAAACAAGCATAATTTTATAAGATGGAGGGAATAATAACTAATATTGATCTAAATTAGGAAATCAGAAAACAAAATCCTTCTATTCTATAGATACTTTCTCTCCATTGCACAAACACACACCCCTATACTTATATAAACACATAATTTGGATTCAAGAAACAAAAATCCAAAAAATCAAAAACCCTAAAAACTTTTCCTGCAATGGGGAAAAACCCATGTTTGATATTCCTGTTCTTTTTCATTTTTTCTTATTTAACATCTCAGAGCCATAGTAAAAGGCAAAGTGAAGTTCTTGGGAATCTTTACAAATCCAAGCTTAATGGGAATTCTGGTATGGACACAAGCAATTTTAGGACAATTGATTCTATTATTACTATAAATCAAGAAAATGGAAAAGATAAAGAAAAAGATAGGATCAAAAGATTGCCAGATTGGCCTGGCAACCTCAAGTTAGTTTTTTCACCAATATGGAGGGTGTTATGTTACTGTGGATAAGTTAGCTGAAAGCCTTATATTATTATTTTGCTGAAGCTAGAGAAAGTTCTAAGAACTCTTTGCCTCTTCTTCTGTGGCTAAATGGAGGTATTTAATATATTCTTTTTCCATTTTTCTCCCTTTTGTGTTCTAAATTTATTTATTTCCTGAAAATAGTATTCTTTTTATTATTATTATTATTAATGTTAAATTTTCAATTTAAATGTATAATATTACTGTCTATTATTTAAAGCAATCATTAATATTTTTACAGGCCCTGGTTGTTCATCTTTGGCTTATGGGTTGATGCAAGAGCTTGGACCATTTCGAGTATATAGTGATGGCAAAACACTTTACAAGAACCACTTTACAAGAACAGGATTTTTCATGGAATAATGGTAATTCTTTAATTATTTAACTTTTGGAAAATAACTTAAAGACTGGATTATCTGTTTAATTTATAATAATAATAATTTTATAAAAAATAATGAAAATTCCCTCTGATTTTCAAAATTTAAATTAATAGTGTGCCACAATTACATTTCTCATGCACATTTCAATAAATCTTTTTGGGCATATTTTAATTTTTAATTTTTCTTTTTTTTTTTTTTTCAGTTGCAAATGTTCCGTTTCTGGAGTCTCCTGTTGGAGTAGGCTTTTCATACTCAAACAGGACATCAGATTATGAGAATTCTGGCGATAGATATACAGCAACAGAAAATTATTTGATTTTGGTAAATTGGCTTCAAAGATTTCCAGAATATAAAGGAAGAGATTTCTACATTTCTGGAGAAAGCTATGCAGGCCATTATGTTCCTCAGCTTGCACATACCATCCTTTACTACAACAAGAAGGCCAACAAAACCATTATCAACCTAGGATTGCAGTATGTTGCATTTTCCACGACATAAGGCTTGGAAAGAATCGGTATGTTTATGCTGAGAAGTGTGAGAACGTTTTTTCGAACAAATAAAGTTCAGGCTGAAGTTCGGTGTCTAACGTAGAGTTATTGGCAATTGTAAGCTAACCGGTAATGTTATATCTGTGAAAATGCAGATTGGAAATGCAGTGATATGAAATGAAACAGATCTTAAGGAATGTAACTTTCTTTACAAAGACCATGTTTTATCTACACCAAAACACTGCAATAAAATATTAGAGATTCACTGTATATTTACTCAAGCGTAAGTATATTCAACATCGTCAAGAGTGCAGAAGAACTTAGCTGAGAAGGCTGACAGATATTCTCAAGCGTTGACATAATAACATTTATGCTTCTTTGTGCTTTGATGAGAATATGCTTGCCCAAGAGAGGCTTCAGTAAGTTGATAAGAAATTTTTTAGACAGATGCAGATAGAAGTTATATAGAGTAAATAACTAAATTTGTTTTGTTTATTTGTGCAGCTGGAGAATTTTGATCAGTCAGTGACTATTATGCATGCTTATTTGAGTAGGTGCTAATGTTGCAGAAGCTTTGATGGCACAATGTAGCATATAGGTGTGTGAGTAGTGATATATTGATAGGTGGACAGATAGCTTCAACCAACAATTCTTCCCTTGCTCAAGGAGTTCATGGAAAATGGAGTAAGAATCCTGGTTTATAGGTCAGTCTCATAAGAAAAAGAAAAAAAAAAAAACATATTATATCCCCTAACTAAAACTTGTTTTTTATTAGATAAGATTATATTCTAAGATGTATGGAAACTCCAAATTAATTAGGCGTTTTTGCATTTCCCAGTTTGTTTCATTTTAGTTTCCATGATACATAGATTATATCTTAAAACTTTTTGGGCAAAAACTTTTTAAATAGATTTAGTGTTTTGATCAGTTAAAATGCTAAATGCTATTATTTTTATAATTTTTTGTAACATAACGTTTGAATTAGTTTTTACAGGTTAAAATAGCGTTTTATAAAATGTTAAAAGCTAAACATTCAGTGAATTAACTTTTTATGGAAAACTATCAACAACTACTAAAACAATTAATCTTGCCGGACAGAACTTAGATTGTTATAATCAATCAAGGGTTGAAGAGCTAAACACTAACTGTCAGGAATGCAGTATTTAATGTAATTATCCTAAATAAAAATAAATTTAGGGTAACAAAAAGAAACACTCAACAAGCTAATGAATAACTGTTATTTTAAAAACATTTTAAACATTTACCATGCAGGTTGGTGATAGGATGGGAAGAGACTGTGTTCATATCATAACTCACTCGCAAGTCCTAACTTTAAACTGAAGTGGTAACCTTGGTAAGTTATGGGAGGTAAATTAAATTATATTATTAAAATTTAATTATTAATATAGATTTTATTAAATTGTAAATTGGTAATAAAGAATTGAAATAAATGGTTTTTCTGTGATTGAATGTTGTGTTTTCAGTTGGTGGGTAATAATCTGAGATTTATAAAGGACCTTTACTTTCGCTAATGTGGAGGGCTGGACATGAAGTGCTGCTTTCAGCTGCAAGAGCTGACTCTACTTATTTTCACTCAACTTTCTTCTTCATAATCTATGTACCTCAATTTTATTATATTTATTAGAATTTTATTGTGTTAATTTGTTATAAACAATAGCCAAATTATTAGGCTTAAGTTTATTGAATTTATGCGCAATAAGCCGTAATAGAGTGATGGTAAATGGATATACAACTTGACTATAAATCATGGTTCAAATTTCCCTCCTCAAAGCAAAAGAAAAGAAAATAAATTATTATTATGTTTTGAAACATACAGATTCTTTTGATGTAATTTTTTTCATTCAGAATCAGATTTTGCTCCATAAAGCCACATTGCCAGTATAGTTACTTATAAAAACTCAAATTCACTCGCAAATGCAAGTCATTTGCATCTTGGTGCAGACGACCTGTCGTTTGCATAAATAGCAAGTCGTTCGAGATCACTTGACTCTTGACTGGATGTTTTGTAGGAGGAACGGACCTATTCCATTTATAAAAAAAGTATAATTTCTATCTGAAAAATTCTCAACCAATTTCTGTAAACTTTCTTCACTTTAAATAATACTTCCAGAGCCTTAAGTCTGTCAATGAATAAACAAACATGCTCATATAAGTAGTTTGGGTAAATGCGTTGGCCAAACGAGTCAAGTGCCTCATATGGAAAAATTAAGCTGTAAGTGAATATAAATTTAGGAAATCAATTATTGGTTTGGTGTTCGAACGTACGGTAGATAATTATTAAACGGTTTAATAATCATTATAAAAAAAAAAAAAAAAAAAAAAAACAGAAGATAATTATTGCACATACACCAACTGTTATTCCATGCAATAATTGTACTCACACTTTGTTTGTCAATTTCTTTTCTACTTAGGCTATAGCTAATTATTAGAAGAATATTAAAATCACATTGCAATTATAAATTTTAGGTTAGTTACAAAAAAAAATTTTGTTTAATTTTCTTTTTACATTAATATTATATGATGAATCATCTAGCAAAAAAGTATTAACCCCCCTCTTTCCTTTCCTTAAAATAATAATAATAATAAGAAAAATAAAAAAATTGTAATCCCACATGGCCAATTGGAATGTTGCCACCCAATCTTGGGTTCCAATCCCATGCTTCACTCCTATGCAAGATTTAATTTAATTAAACTAATGGTGGTTGGGATTACTATAATCTATCATCTTTTTTTTTTTTGAAAGAGAATACTATAATCTATCATCATTAAGCATTAATGTATTCCATTAAACTCATACATTATATGGCCTTACTTATGGATTAAACCAATGAAACTAATGATTTTTTAAAAAATATATGGTCAGAAATACCTCTGTTTCAATAAGAATTTTTAGTCTTATTGGTTTGGATCCGGTTTAAGTATTTGAAAAAAAAAAACCATATAACCAACTCCAAAGATTTATTTTTTTATTTTTTTTATTTTTACAGGCCCTGGTTGCTCCTCTTTGGCTTATGGGGCTATGCAAGAACTTGGACCATTTCGTGTACACAGTGATGTCAAAACTCTTTACAAAAATAGATACTCATGGAATTATGGTACATAACATTCTTCTCAATAAATAAATGTAAATATTTGTAGAAAAATATCTAATTTTGCCGAACAAGAACTTAGTATAATGTAAGATCTTGATTTTCCCTTTTGTTTTTCAGCTGCAAATGTTTTGTTTCTTGAATCGCCTGCTGGAGTTGGTTTCTCATACTCTTCTTTACAATAACAAAAAGGCCAAAAAAACTATTATCAACCTTAAGGGTATTTTAGTAAGTTTCTTTTTCTCCCAAGTAATCATTGATACATATATAATTATGTTCTTGAAATTAATAATGATGTTCTTGTAAAAAATTGCAGATTGGGAATGCAGTGATTAATGACAAAACTGATAATATAGGAATGTATGACTACTTCGTTGGACATGCCCTAGTTTCAAATGAGGCTGTCAACAATATTAAGAAGCATTCTGACTTCTCCCCCAATGCCACAACTCAGTCTGCTATTTGCATTTCAGCTAATAATCAAATTGAAAGAGACATTTCTTATCTTGATATATACAATATTTATGCTCCTCTTTGCTTCAGTCCAACTACCACAGCCAAACCCAAGATTGCTTCAGTAAGTTAATTATTATTAGTGCTTGTAATTTTTTTTTGCTGGTAGATTTTATTTTTTTTTGTGGTCTAAGGTGGAAAATTACAGTTGTTTTGTTGTAAAAAGGAGGTTTGATGTAATGAATTGGTATGATTGTTTTGTTGTAAAAAGAGGTTTGATGTAATAATTGTATGATTAATTTTGTATTGCAGTTGGAGAATTTTGATCCATGCAGTGATTATTATGTGCATGCTAGTGTAACAAAACTTAAACATGATTGGGAGCCCTGCAGTGACGTCATCGGCCAATGGTTAGATAGCTCTGCTACTGTTCTTCCACTTGTACAAGAGTTCATGGTCAATGGACTTCGTGTATGGATATATAGGTAAGTTGGTTAATCGTTACTAAGTGTGTGCTTTTTGTATAATGTTAAAGTTATTGGACTCGTGACCTGAACGACATGAGATCGAGATATTTAAAAGTATAGTAAAATTACTGACTCATGACTTGAAGGTCATGGTTTCAAGATATGCAAGAGTGACTCGTGACCTGAAGGTCATGGGTTCGAGATATGCCAAAATAGAATAAAGTTACTTGTGACCTGAAAGTTATGGATTTGAGATATGAAAAATCATAATAAAGTTACTCGACTTTGACTTGGAAGTTATAGGTTCGAGATACGCAAAAATATAGTAAAACTACTTAACTCGTAAAAATGTAAAAATTATTTATCTCGTGACCTGGAGGTCATGAGTTAAAAAGTATATTGAAGGTATATTAAAGTTACTCTACTCGTGACCTGAACGTTATGGATGCGAAACCGCAAAAACATAAAAATTACTCGACTTTAACCCGAAAGGTCATGGGTTCAACATATGCAAAAACATAGTAAAGTTACTCAATTCGAGACCCGAAGATCATGGGTTCGAGTTGGGTCACACTTTAATTAATGATGCAAATTTTTATTGGTTGTTATGCAGAGGGGATACAGATGGAAGAGTACCCTTTACTTCAACTATATATTCTATTGATAAGTTGAGTCTTCCTATCAAAACTGAATGGCATCCTTGGTACCTCAAAGGAGAGGTATAAGCAATTTCCTTATTTCATTAATTACCCACTTTTTATCAAAAGTATTCAAAAAAAGTAGCATAATTTTTTCTTTTTGGGTATTTTTCTTTTTTGAAGGTTGGAGGATATACACAAGTTTACTAGGGAGATTTAACATTTGCAACAGTTAGAGGTACAAGTAACTTCAAAGGAATTGCAGTATGTGCCTTTCTAACCTATAAAACATAATTTTACTTGGAAAAACGGTATTTTATACTGGAACAGTGAAATGTTTCCGGAACATAAAACGTTCATGGCTAGAAGTTTCATACTGGAACAGTGAAATGTTTTCGCGGAACATAAAAGCGTTCCATGGCTAGAAGTTTCCGTGCAAAGGAATTGCAGTATGTGCCTTTCTAACCTATAAAACATAATTTTACTTGGAAAAACGGTATTTTATACTGGAACAGTGAAATGTTTCCGGAACATAAAACGTTCATGGCTAGAAGTTTCCGTGCATATAAATTAGTGAAATTGAAGCTAACCGTATGTTTATATCTGTGAAAATGCAGATAGGAAATGCAGTGATAAATGATGAAACTGATACTCTAGGAATGTATTCTTTCTTTACAACCCATGTTTTATCTTCACCAAAAACACTGCAAAAAATAAAAAAACACTGTAATTTCTCACCTAAGTATATCAACCATCCATCCAAAGAGTGCAGAGCAGCTATTGAGAAGGCTGACAAATATTCTCAAGCTGTTGACATTTATAACATTTATGCTCCTTTGTGCTTTGATGAGAATATCACAGCTCACCCCAAGAAGGCTTCAGTAAGTTGATTAACACAATTTTTTTATAGGTGCAGAAAGGTGATTATATATATATAACTAAAATTTGTTTGTTTTATTTTGCAGCTGGATAATTTTGATCCATGCAGTGACTATTATGTGCATGCCTATTTCAATAGGGCTGATGTGCAAGAAGCTTTGCATGCCAATGTCACTAAGCTTGATCATGATTGGGAACCATGTAGTGATATTATTGATAGGTGGACAGATAGCCCTTCAACAATTCTTCCCTTGCTCAAGGAGTTCACGAAAAATGGAGTAAGAATCTTGGTTTATAGGTCAGTCTCATAAGAAAAAGAAAAAAAAAACATATTATATCACCTAATTAAAAAATTTTTTTATTAGATAATATTATATTTTATGAAGTATAAAAACTCCAAATTATAAGCTTTTCGCATTTCTTTGTTTCTGCGTTTCCACGCTATTTCGTTTTAATTTCCATGAAACATAGATTATATCTTAAAACTTTTTGGCAACAATTTTTAAGATAGATTTTAATGTTTTGATTAATTAAAATGCTAAAAGCTATTATTTTTTTAGTATTCGGTAAAATAACGTTTAAATTAGTTTTTACAGGTTAAAGTAGCGTTTTATAAAAATTTAACTCACTGAACGTCTAGCTTTTATCATTTTATGAAAAATTAAAACAACTAATCTTGCCGAACAGACCTTAGATTGTTATAATCAATCAACAATTGAAGAGCTAAACACTAACCGTCAGGAATGTAGTATTTAATGTAATTATCCTAAATAAAAATAAATTTAGGATACCAAAAAGAAACACTCAACGAGCTGATGCATAACTGTTATTTTAAAAACATTTTACCATGCAGTGGTGATACGGATGGAAGAGTACCTGTTACTTCTACTCAAAAGTTGAAGCTTCCTATTAAAACTGAATGGTACCCTTGATACCTTAATGGGGAGGTAAATTAATTATTTATTAAATTTTAATTAATTATATAATTCATAAATTGTAATAAAGAAATTGAAATAAATATTTTTGCTGTGGATGAATGTTTGTGTTTCAGGTTGGTGGGTATACTGAGATTTATAAACAATAGCCAAATTATTAGGCTTAAGTTCATTGAATTTATGCGCAACAAGTCGTAATAGAGTGGTGATAAATGCATATATAACTTGACTATAAGTCATGATTCAAATTTCCCTCCTCAACGCAAAAGAAAAAGAAAAAGAAAATAAATTATTATTAGGTTTTGACACATACAGATTATTTTAATGTAATTTTTTCATTCAGAATCAGATTTTGCTCCATAAAGTCACATTGCCAATATTGTAACTTATAAAATCACAACTCCACTTGCAAATATAAGTCATTAACTCTTGACTAGATGTTTTGTAGGAAGGAAAGACCCTTTTCCATTTAAAAAAAAAAAAAAGGATAATTTTCATCTGAAAAATTCTCAACCAGTATCCATAAACTTTCTTCACTTTGAATAATACCTTCCAGAACGTTAAATGTCTGTCAATAAATAAACACATATACCCATAAGTATCTCAACATAGTCAACAGAATTCTTGTCTGATAAATTGGTAACAATGCTCATTATAGTCATATGTAGCAGAAACAGGATTGTAGTCTTTTTTTTTTTTTTTTTTTTTTTTTTTTTTTTTTTTTTTTTTTTTTTTTTTTTTTTTTGAAAATTAAAATTTATTATTAAAAACATCATCCAGGAAAACTTAACATAACTAATCCATCTAAACCCGACCAACAGGCCTCCCCCATACACCCCTCCTAGGATTAGATATGCTAAGTGAAAATATACATGGCTGAATAACATCTGAAAATAAAACATCAGTAGAAAATTTGGAGTATCTCACCAAACTCTGCAAGCTTAACTAATAGCAGTCTTTATAAAATTACAGTTGTAGATTGTAGAAACCAAAAACATAGAAAATAATCCATGAAAGTTTTATCCTTACCAGCAGGGATTGGATTTGAGACGATTATGACAATCTCAGACTCCTAAGCAGTCCCGGTTTTTGCAGACCTGTCGCTAAGCAGTCCGTTTTTTGCAGACCTGAAGAAACAACGCATTATTTGCATGCCCAAGATTTGATCATGGTATAAAATCAAGCTGCATGTCATCATATATGGCGAGGTGAAGATTCTTCAACTTCTAACACCTATAAGAAACTTTTGCGCAATTCTAATGCATTACGAGTTAGAAACCAACTGAAAGGCAGAACATGTAAATTCCTATAGAAACTTTTCCAATTTATGCATTACGAGTTAGAACCAACTGAACAGAACATGTAATTGATTCTCAACCACCAATTCATTCTCAACCGCCATTCTGAACAGAATGTGGTAATATAGTTTTAGCTGCAAGCAAAAGTAAAAAGATTAATACCTCACTGTATTTCAGGGCTCTTTTGTATGAAACTGGGGATATTGGCAATAAAGCGCCAATAGTCTCCTTTCTCTTTTCTGCATCGTCTTTCCAGGAGGGGACACTCGAAGATTGCCAAGCTTTCAAGCGTGCTTGGGAGGCCTTCCTTGGGAAAGGACTGGAGTTTAGGGCAATTTCGAATTACTAATGCATCAAGAGAGGTGAGATGGTGAATGCCCCTGGATATTGATTTCAGATTTTTAAAATCTCCGATCTGAAGAGAGGTTAGGGAAGAGGGAAGCAATGGGCCCTTCTCATCTGGGAAGGAATCCATATCTGTACTTGGACATGGCCCTGCGATTGTGAGACAGGTGAGAGAGGCGAGTGTTTTGAGTCTCCACTCTGAGATTGGCTGTTTCAGATTCTTGCAATTCGAAATTGTAAGACGACCAAGTTTTGGAGGTAAACCGCCATCTGGAAAGGACACCAGACCTCCACAGTTACACATTTGTAAACGTTGAAGAGATGTAAGATTTTGCATTTGATTGGGAAGAGATCTCAAATTCTCACACCGCAATATGGATAAAGAAGTAAGGTTTGGAGGTAAACCCTCATCTGGAAAGGACACCAGATCTCCACAACTATGTATCTCTAAATCGTGAAGAGATGTGAGATTTTGGATTTGATTGGGAAGCAGCCTCAAATTCCCACAGTTGCGGATGGTTAAACGGCTAAGGTTTGGGATGGCCAATCCACTTTCTGGGAAAGACTCCAACTCAGAGTCATATATTGCTAATTTGGTGAGATTCGAGAACCTATTATGAAATGAATCCAAAAGTCGAGTCGTCCAAAAGCAAATGTCAATATTTTTAATTGAATAGGGAAATTCACCAATTGGAAGCGATGTAAGAGATGGACATCCACCGACACTCACAACCTCAAGATGAGATATCTCATTCCTGGCGTTACTATCATGCAAAATGCCCTGAGGCAAGGACTTCAGAGAAGGACAATATACGATTTCGAGACTTTTAAGACTACAAGGTAAACCTGCAGATGGGAAGGACACAAGTTTTGGACACCAATGGATGCTCAGCCCTCTAAGAGATGTGAGGGTTTGCAACCCATTTGGCAGATTCTCCAATCCATCGCATTCCCATATTTTCAAAATTTCAAGATTGCAAGGCAAATTCCCTTCTTCTCCTCCTACCAATGACACTAGCCTCTGACAACCTACGATCCGTAAAGATTTCAAGCAAGAAAGTTTGTCTAAATTAGTTGAACCCTGCCACAGGTGTATCAATTGGCTGCAATTAACAACAGACAGATTTTCTAGCGCCACCAAGGACTGCGTAACCACTTGATGTAAATTTTCAAGCGCTGAAATACGCCGAATGGACAAGTTTTGAAGGGAACATAGGTCATGCACACTTTCGAGAATAATATCTTGACATCCACAAATGTCCAATTCCTCAAGGGAAGGAAGGGAGGTAGGCAATGTCACAACCAATTTAGGACAATTGAATATCGTAATTTCACTTAGTCTAGGAAATTTTCTTGTAACCTCTACATTGACGTCATCAGAGTGAGCCCATTGCTTCAACTTCAACATATCCTCAATTTCTAGAATCTCAAGAGACGGGGAAAGCTCAAGCCTTACTTCTAGCAGTTCATCCATGCCTTTGACAAGAGAGCGGGGATAAGCTCAGCCTATTATTCTTAATGCTAGTTTCATCCGCATGGAAATTTTCTTGTAACCTCTACATTGACGTCATCAGAGTGAGCCCATTGCTTCAACTTCAACATATCCTCAATTTCTAGAATCTCAAGAGACGGGGAAAGCTCAAGCCTTACTTCTAGCAGTTCATCCATGCCTTTGATGCTCAGCTTTTCAAGTTTAGGTAGTCCACCTAGTGGTGGTAGCAACGTAATATTCCGACAATTAGAGAGCTCTAGATCCACCATATTTGTGAATGCAGGATCTCCTATCCACAAAGGAAATTTCTTACCGCCATAAAATCGAACCAAAAGCCTTTCCAACTTTTGATGAGGTTCTAGCATGTTGAGAACCTGGAATTCATGATCCTCTTCGCATGGTGAATCACGCAATTTATCGGTCCATACCAAGGCCAAATCACCAAGATTCTCAATCTTCTTTAAATCAACGAGATTTGTACCTTCATTCCTTGCCACATTCTGTAGCTCTTCAATACGAAGTTGTCCTTCTAGATGAGGGAGGTTCATTAGCTCTCTAATTCCAAGGCAATTACTTCCTTTTCCCACCATAAACTTAGACAATGTTTGAAGATTTATCAAATTAGCTACCCCCAATGGCATCTCCTGCAAAGCCTCCGTACCTTTAAGATCGAGGTGCATCAACTTGATTAAAGCGCCAATGCCTGTCGGCAACTCAATAAGATTGCGACACCCACATAACTTCAGTGTCTGCAAGTTTTGAAGATTACTCAGTGAATTAGGCAATCTTATAATCCCAGTGTTGTAAGACAAGTCAAGATATCGTAAATGCTTTAAGGCACCAATTGAACTTGACAACTCTTCAAACCTGTATTGAGCTACTGATAGCACCCTTAAACGTTTCAGTTTTGGCACTATGTCATGCACCACTCTAATATATAAAAAATTATGTTCCCATTGATGAGTGGATAATGCTAAGAATGTTCGCAGATTACTCATCTCATAAAAGCCTTCAAATCTTTGGTACCTGTCATAGCGATGACAAGTGAATGCTGAATGGCGAACGTTTGCATGTGATTTTATGCCCTTCAACCCATCATCCTCCAAATGAAGGCATATTTCTCCACTTACAGATTTAGCTAGATCATTGACCAGGTCATGCATCACATATCGTGATTTATTGCCAGTAGATTGTTGAAAAAAGGATCTCCATAATAAATCATGGAAATATCGATGACCCCAGCGTTTCATTTGCTTCATTTCCTGTGCGTGCTGTAGAAATCCCTCTGCCATCCATTGTAGAACCAACTCATCCTCATCGAATTCGTAATCTTTTGGAAAAATTGCACAATAAGCAAAGCACTGTTTCAGATGAGATGGAAGATGGTGATAGCTCAACTTTAATGCTGGAAGAATGTCGCTTTTCTCCTCCCAAATGCCGCTGTTTAGCACTTAACTTTAAATGCTGGAAGAATGTCGCTTTTTCTCCCTCCCAATGCCGCTGTTTAGCAGGCTTGTTCTCCGCATGATCGGGAGTTGGTTGACCTCGTAAGAGACCTCGCAAATCGCTTTAGCTGGGCCAAAGGATAAGGCCTTGAGCACGCTTTCGCACAAATCTTTCACACCTTTCCACAATCTTCTTACCTATTGCCTCTAGATCCAAGTGCTCCTCAAAATTTGTTACTCCAAGAGCATGATGGGCAAACACAGACAGGCAATCATCAGTCTCCAACACTCTAAGTGTATAACTTTGAACAGCACCCATCGTCCGCGAAACGCCAAGATTGCGAGTTGTGACGATAATTCTACTTTCTTTTGCCCCATTCTCAAAGGGGCGAAGAAAGATTGTCCAATTGTCATAATTCTCGTTCCAAACATCATCTAGAACCATAAAAAACTTCTTCTCTGACAAGCTTGCCTTCAAGTTTAATTGAAGCGAATTCAAATCGTTGGAAGTAAGATCTCCACCAACCGACTGAAGAACTGTTTTTGTCAGTCTAACCACGTCAAAATCTTCACCGACAGAAACCCAAGCCGTCAAATCAAACTTCTTTCCAGCTTCATTAAAGATAAGCTGCGCTAGAGTTGTCTTACCAACACCTCCCAAGATAAGCTGCGCTAGAGTTGTCTTACCAACACCTCCCAGTCCAACTATAGAAATCAGAGCGACCCTTCTATCACTTGATTCAGAATTCAAAAGTTCAAGAATCGCCTTCTTATCTCTCTCCCTCCCATAAATCTCGGCATTATTCACCAAGCACGTCGTAGGAATTCTTTCCCTCAATGTACCGGTCCTTTCACTCAAATCAAGTTGATTTCTTCGTGAAGTGATCTCTTCTAAACGGGAACTAATCCCCTTTATCTTGGAAATCATCTCTTCACTGACTTTAATAGCACGCCTATTAACGAAGAGCTTTCGTACCCTACTTGAACCAGTCACAGGTTTAGCTTTCAACTTGGATCGACGAGCCTCAAAATCAAACTCATCAAGAATGTCCTGGATCGACGAGCCTCAAAATCAAACTCATCAAGAATGTCCTCCAAATCATACGCCAGGTTCCTCAACTGGCTTACCCACATCTTCACCGACTTGCTCACCATCTGCTTCTCCTCTGCATCCTCAAGAACGCCGTAGATGCTCTCCAACCTCTCCTTCCACTTGTTGATTTCAGTCAGCACCTGTCCTTCACGGGCATAATTGAGCAAGTCCTTGGAAGCCAACTTATTAAACAAAGACTCAAAGGCAGGTGCTAGAAGAGCACCTCCAATAGCAGCTGCAATTTCCATCACAAAGAGAGAATGATCAAAATTTTCAGCAGAAAATTCGACCAATTGAAGAATTGGTTGGTTATTGAAAGTGGAGTTGCAGTAATCAAAGACTCGAAGGAAGTTGTAATACCAAACACAAAATTGGCATGTGATTGAAACTGAAAAGCTAGAGAGGCCAAGAAGAGTTATGTAAAAACAAAAACAAGTAATAATCTTCAAGAATTACATGGAAGCTGCAGGATTGGACTTGGTCAAAAAGGACATTTACTTTGACTCTTGTTGTATAATGCAAATAAATGTCTTTTCTTCTTCCTATTCTCTGGTTACTTTCATAAACACATGAAGAAAACAGCTTTTGCTAGTATTTGCGGTCCCATTTATCCAAATTGAAGTTGACAAGACAATCTTTAACACGACTGTTGTCCAGAGGAGAAAAAGCAATTTTAAAAAGTTTCATTAAAAAAAATGAAAAAATTTCTTTTTTCTATTGGACAAAACTTAAAAGGAATTTAAAAAAAAAAAAAAAAAAAAAAAAATAAAAAAAAAAAAAAACGATTCGTACTTTGTAAATTTAAAAAAAAAAAAAAAAAAAAAAAAACGATTTCGTACTTTGTAAATTTACTGTCAGCATTTGGCGAATTCAATCGATTTAAATAACATTTTTAATCCAAATAAATTTCTCTACTATTTTTATTTTGACTTAATTAAAGTTAACCAAATTATTTTAGTTGAATTAATTTTAATTATTAATATAAATAAAGTAATCAAAAAATTTTTTTGACTTAATCAAACTGTTTTGATAGAATTAATTTTAATTATTAATATAACTGAAATTAAAAAAAATAAAAATTTAATTAATTGATTGAATTTAACGGAAATAAAAATTAAATGAACCTTTTAATTACTACTTAATTAAAATAAAAATAAAAATATTTTTAATTTTTAATTTTATTATATACTTAATCAAAACGACTTAATTTTGAAAGTCGATTAATTTAATTAAATTAATTTTTAACCGAACTTTTAACTGATAATCGAATGTGATATGGGGGCGGAAGGAGAATAAGAATCTCATCTCATCTTTCAGCTAGAGTTTAGGCTCTCCCGTAAGAACTCTTACAGGAATTGGTAGATAAAATAAAGCATAATGCTCGTTAATCCACTGCCCTGGACCATACAGATTGAACGGAAAAGAAGTAGCCAATTATCTACCGAAAGAAGGAGAGTTAAAGTTCTCTGAGAAGGAATATCATGTCTTACTATACAAAATTATTCCTTGGAGCCCACGACTCCTGCATTAATTTTCTTTAATCGAACTTTTAATTAAATATTTATTCACCAAATCAAGTCGACTTAATTAACTGAATCAATCGAATTAACTAAATTGACCGAACCAAATACTCACCCTCCCTTGCGATGAATCATGGGTACTATTTTTGATGTAAAGTGCATGATTGTTAATGGTAAAGAAAGCATTTGTTTCGAGTAAATCAGTAAAAATATCCTGTACTTGGCAATTTGTTATACTTGGCAGTTTGTTATACTTGTATCCAGACACCCCAATTTCTCACTTTCGTTCTAAATTTTGCACTATATAGATAAATAAAAATTAAATTTTTTATTATATTGAAATATTTATTTTAGAAATTCTAGGGACTAAATAGTACTTTTTTCTTAAATTCATAAATTAAATTACCTAAAACCGACAATACATCTGATATTGGGTTTATTTTGTGAGTGTGTTTATTGTGTCGTTGCCGAAACGACGTTCACCCTTCCAGCTTTATGACATTTTCAGTCGCTTGTTTCCTCTGATCTTCTTTGATTTGATTAACCCAGTTCACAGAGAAGTAATGACCCCCACACCAGGCGGAAAGTGGTCACCGGCGAAGAAGAGGAGCTGGAGAGGTCCGACCACAATCCAATTTTTGGAGCATGACATCCTTTGCATAATATTCTCATTCCTGGACCTCTTTGACCTCGTTCGCTGTTCTGCTGTCTGCAAATCTTGGTAAATTCTGTTTTACTCTACCTCGTTGCGGCTGTTCTGCTGTCCTGCAAATCTGGTAAATTCTGTTTTAGGGCTCTTCCTTCTCTCTGCTTCACCCCAAAATATTTGTGTTTAATTTTGTTTTATTTTTTATTCCTCTTTTTGTGGGATTTAAAAGGAGATACAATAATCAAAGAATGGGCAAAGTTACCTTTCAGCGCTTTATTTGGAAGCAGCAGAAGGATAATTAGTGGTAGGAATTTCAGAAGGATAATTATGTAGGAATTTCAAATATAGATAGCGGTTCAGAGAAGACTTTAAATATGTACTTTGAGGAGCTAGCTATGAAGCATCATAGACAATCTTTAGTTCAAGCTTCTTCTGTTGATATTGACCAATGGAAAGGCCATTCACTTGGGTAATTATTAAAATTATCCTCTTCTTTTTTTTCTCCCCATTCATTTTCTTGTCAGCTAATTTTCAGCTGAATACAATTATATGTTTATTTTTCTGTTGAGTCGATAAAAAGGTATCAAATTTATTACGGAAAGATGACGAAATAATAAAAGGTTGATTTTTTTTTTTTTTTTTTTTTGTAATATGTGGGTTTATTTGGTTGGGTCTATTATATGGCAGGAGTTTGGCAAGCTTGTTATATGTTAAAAATTTCCTCCTAAACCTTGGCGCCTTTGGGGTAAAATCTAGGTTTTGGGAAATCATTTGTCCCCGGAATGAAGATGGGCTTGCTTCTTACTGTTGTGGGGGGACAAAGGTTATGATCATTTTTTAATTAAATATGGTGTTTCTGAATAGGTGGTTTTTTTTATTATATAGTCATATTTGTTATGTTAACCCTTTTATTAAGCAGATTCTATTGGATCAAGCTCTCTAGCTATTTCTTTTGTTTCAACTAAGTTTTGGAAATATTTTCAATATGGAATTCATTCCATTTTGCAATGAATTCAATTAAAAAAATTCCATTAATGCCAAACAAGGCTCTTAGTTTCTGTTTTGTTTATTTGCTTGGCCAAACAAGCTCTTAGTTTCTGTTTTGTTTGATTTCTTGGATAGACGACTAGATATTGTAATCTCATTTAGCCAACCTCAATTTTAGAGTAGTGGATTAGTTTGTGAATTAACAAGCTCATTTATTTGGATTAGTTTATGAATTAAAAAGTTCATTTACAAATTGGGTGCACTGGGAGAAATTAAAGAAAGATTTGTAGGATTCCTCACCTTTTAATATCCTTCCATTTGAATTTTTGGTGACCTTCTCTTTTACATAGTTTGAAATGGTGGCATTAACCTACCATTACTGATGACTTTAGTCTAACTATCGACCTGATCATACACACACACAATGTTTTGTATGTCATGTTTGACAGCAGTAAAAGTTGTCTAAAGTACTTGCTGGCTATATGGTTGTTGTAGAACTTAAACTTATTTTGATGTGATTGCTTCTGTGGCATATCTCTGATGTTCTCCTAAATCAAAATGTGATATATGTTATATAACTCAATTGTGCTGACTTTTCAATTGCTGGGCTTGACTTTTGTATAGGCATCATGGTAGGTTATGGCGTCTCGGTCATTAGAAACATAGCAATTGTACTGGAAGAAATATCTCAATCAGATGGCAAGCCCCTTATTGACTTTGAAATTTCGATGAGAGGCAAGGTAACCTTTAGTATTTGTCATTATTCTGAAGTATCTCATATTGGGAGGAAATTGATGTTGTGTCTGTTTTTATTATCGCCAATTGCTTTGAATGGGATGTTCTTGGTAGATTGTTGGTTTGGTTGGGCAGCACGAATATGCCATTAATTGATGTAATGTGTCTGTTTTTATCCCAATTGCTTAATGCATGTTCTTGTAGATTGTTGGTTTGGTTGGCACACGAATATGCTTATGGAGGCGAAATGGGAAGATGAGTACATTTCCCTCTCGTGAAGGCACGTTTATGAAGGGTTTATGCATGCGGTACAGAAGCAAATTTTCTTATTATGCTAATCTTTCTTGGAGCAGTACTGGATTTTATATTCATTTATTTCACTGTTGAATTGTATTTAGACTTCAACTTTGTGCAAGGTTGTGTGTTTTCTTTTGAGCAGACCAATAATTCTATGTATTCTTTGCTTGGAGTTACTTTGATCCAGAAGCTGTTGTTGGATGTGAGGATGGGACAGCTCGTGTTTTTGATATGTACAGTAGGAAATGTTCTAAAATCATTAGGTATGTACAGCTAAAATTTTCTTGTTTGTTATTCATCAACTCTCTCTAGAGCCCCACAAACATTGGATGCTTCGTGCATTAGATCATCGGATGCTAAATTCTATTACTTGAGTGAACATACAAGAGAAGGTGGTCTGTTATGGTCAGACAAAATTGTAATACCGAACACAAAATTGGCAGGTGATTGAAACTGAAAAGCTAAAGAGGCCAAGAAGAGTTATGTAAAAACAAAAACAACTAATAATCTTCAAGAATTACATGGAAGCTGCGGGATTGGACTTGGTCAAAAACGACATTTACTTTTGACTCTTGTCGTACAATACAAATTTCTTTTCTACTTCCAATTCTCTGGTTACTTTCATACATAAGAAAGAATTATCCTAATTAATTATCAGCAATTAGAAAACAATCACTTATGACTACATTAGAATAATAATGTAAGTTTGGGCCTTTGAAAAACCCATCGTCCAGCCCACTGAATAAAACCCAGATTACTTGAAGCGCTTTATTTGAAGCAGCAGAAGGATAATTGTGTAGGAATTTCAAATATAAGACTTTAAACATGTGGTTTGAGGAGTTAGCTATGGAGCATCATAGGCAATCTTTATATTAAAGCAGATTCTATATGGATCGCTATATGCTATTTCAGTTTAATAGTGTTTGGAATAATATTCATATGGAATTCATTCAATTTGCTAATGAATTTCATTAAAAAATTCATTTTTTAAATATGATTTTCTGTTTCATGTCCGTATTTCTAAATTTTTCATTTCTATTTCCATACAACTCAGATTATATCTCAATGCTTACTCAGATTATTACAATCAATTACAACACTAACTGCTGGAAACGCAATATTTAACGTAATCATCCTAAAATGGAAATAAATTTAGTATACTATACTAAAAAGAAACCCTCAAAGTTTCTTTTTTTTTTACACTTAACTATTTTAATGGGAGCCTTTTTCAAGAGATTATATAAAAGTAATATATATATTTAAATTTAATGGGAGGGCCTTTTTCAAAAGAGATTATATAAAAGTAATATATATATATATATATATATATATATATATAGGGGCATGTATAGTTAACCATATTATTCCCAAAATTGTTAAACATTATCTTATTGATGATTGCTGTAATGAAATGAATATCACCATATAAAGAGGAAAATAAAGTCAAATAACTTATTTTTCTTGTTTAGTTGCAATAATTAAAAATATTAAAATCCTTAACTTATAATATCATAAAAATAAAAAAAATTTTCGTATTTTAAAAATTTTATTGTTAAATGAGGAAAATATAAAAAATGACAAATTATGAAAGCCGATGGTAGTGGCCATAGTGGCCGGTAGTGATGGTGGTACATGGTGATCGGTGGTAGTAGCTATTAATGACTAATAAATTAAAAAAAAATATGAATATATAAGGTTATCATAAATTTATCAATGTCTCGAAAATATTTTCCTCTCTTGAAATTGAAAAGTCATTTTCCTTAAAAAAAATTAAAATATTTTTCATTGACTTATTTTTCTCAATTTATTTTCCTCAATGCGCCAAACAACGGAAAATTGTAAAAGTATTTTCCTATAAGTTATTTTATGAAAACAACCGAAGCCTAAATATTAATTTGCAAATTGAGCTGAATTTGGGTGTCTAATATAATAAGTGATTTGGATTCTTAAAAATAATATTGATTGAAAGAAAATAAAATAGAGGGGTAAATGCATTGGCCAAATGAGCCAAGTGTTTTATATGGAAAAATTAAGCTGTAAGTGAATATTAATTTAGGAAATAATGTACGGTAGTAGGTAAGTAATTTTAAAAATTTAAACGATTAATAATTAATTAATAATATATCGACTAAATTAGGAAATCAGAAAATAAAATTCTTCTAAAACACTCTCGATCACATATAGTCGTAACTGTAGAAATTTGCCTAAATCAGATCCATTACTGTCACGACCCAAATCCATGGGCCGAACTGACACTAGTGTCCGAGTAAGTATAAAGCTCCAAAGCCAATAGTAAGCCTGAACTACTAAACTTAATCACTTTGAAATAGATCACAGGAACAATAAGCCCATATTCTATATAACAAATCTTATGATTGTACTATATCCTGACCTAAATCCAGCATTTCAAACATTTCATAGCACGAGCCAATTACATTACACAATATCTATAATATAGGCTAACCGGTCCGTACATGTACATATAGATCTGTAAATCATCAACCTAAAGTTATCGCTTAACATGATCACACTCGTACAAAATTAGAATAATCATAATCCTATAATAGGGACTTTCACAATCCTATAACTGCGGAATTCAATATCAAGCAGAAATAATTAAGTTCTTGTATATGACGCTCACAATTTAAATAATTACTGGAATTATGAAATTTCTTTTCTAGCTCTTCGGTGAAGGAAACAGAGCTTTAGGCGGGATAAAGAAGAATGTACTCCCTGAAAAAGTTAAACAGAAGAAATGTGAGTTTAATAATGAATGGTAATTGTTGCATAACACATGCATTCATACAAAATGCTTCCTACAATACTAAAGTGAATACACAGTCGGTCAAGCATATGGCACAACATCAACAGCCACAAGTTATTACACCTTCAGGTAATCAAACAAGTGAAAATTGGTCAATAACGTCACCGAAACCCTCGATGAGTTGTCCTTTCACATTGCCCATCCTCTCATGACGTGTGCACTAGGAAGCCCATCCTCTCAGGTAATCCTCACGTGACCAACCCTCTCATTTTTTTTTATACTTCTTTTCTTTCCATACTAACAGGAGGCCACCCGGTCGTTTTCCATATAATCCATATCATCAACTGCAAACGAGTGAGCCAATCTCCCCATACATGGTCGACGGCATCGTAGACCGCCCTCACAAACCCAATGGTGACTCACTTTATCTCAATTCCACGCAAACAAAGCATATCATCAACACAATACATCTGATCAAACATTGCATTTAAATGCAAGCACATTAAATAAACAAACATTGTTATGCAAATGTTCAAATATACACATATATAAGTCAAGCACAAAATAGTGGATATTTACGCTATAAACTAAATTAATAAATAAATAATAATTAAATAAGTAAGAAATTGTAACATTATATAATAATATATGTATGCCCGATGCAAATGATAATATATTATTTATTATAACTCGCGGCAATAAGAAAGGAAATACTCTAATCATAGTTCTGTTTTTTTTTTTTTTTTTTTTTTTTTTTTTTAAAAAAAAAAAAAAAAGCAGAAGACAATCTTGAATAATCTATATGAAGTAGAATTGAAAGGGGAAAAGAGTTAAATAAAGAACTCCTCCTAATAAGAATAAGAAATCATTCTAAATAAATCTAATAACCTATTTATTAAGTATGATTATTCAAATTTCGGCAAAACCTCCCCAAAAAATAGGAGTTTCCACCTGACTAAATATCATAATAACATCAAATATATTCAATCAATACATAGAGTCCATCTGTCGAGCATTCAATCAAATCAAATACCTAACCTCCTCTTAATACCAACATGGTCATCTAAACATCACAACTTCTTTATAAAATTTAATTTATATTCTAAATAAAATCATCTATTAATCCTTGTGTATATATATATATATATAAGCATATTTACACAATTAGCTTTAACTAGCCTAGTTAACAAAAATATACATTTCCATTCCCTTCATATTGTACTAACAAAATAAGTATGACATTCATTCTCTTATTTAACTAAATAAATAACAAATAAAATAAAAATGCACCAAACTACTATTCTAAAAATAAAAATGAAAATTTCAAATTCCAATTCACATTCAACTATTTTTATGTCTTCCTTTTTCCTTTCAGTCACAAAGAATGAGAATATTATGATTAAATCTTATTCCAAACGAAAATACTTCCAATATCTTGTAACCAATGTGAAACTAACTAAAACATCTAATATCTTGACTTGCTACAATCCATAATTAGGGAAATAATCACTTAGCTACCTCTAATTTCAAGAAATCATCGTTTTTCTTCACCAAACTCATACGCCATATATAATAAATTCATTCCCCATCACAAAATTCACTCACAACATCATATAACTCATATCAAGACAATAATCCAAGCAATTTACAAGAATGGCTAGTGCGGTTGCAAAAAAACTTCTCAATCTCTGAATCAAAATCTAATATAACTATATGTAATTATTATTTCCATTTTCAATTTCCAGGTTATACTTCCATTAAGGAATAATAGCTAAGTTTGGAATTAACCCCTGTAATACATAAGCTAATTGTTTTATTGTCCACCAAGATTCAGATATGCAACATAAGTTCTCATCTTAATATTATCAAAACTAATAAAAAAAAGAGTAATATAGCTGCTGCCATTACAAAATATCTCATGTTTCTAATCAAAACTTATAGTCTACATGTATCTTATTCATTTCCACCGAGCAACAGATATAAAACATCACTTGCTTCTTATCATAACAAAACTCATACAAATAACCATCTAACTACTGCCATCTAAGGGGTTATTAATTCCTATAAACTAACAACTTTTACATTAAATCTCAGTTTATATTTCAATTAGAGATTTGTATCAAAATTCCTGAATATTTTCCGCACAGTGTTTTTGAATCCCAAGGCTCTCCATAAACTGAAATTCATGCTCAATCTCAAAGTCAATATCTTCAAGTGTTACATTCTTATACTATACTTCATAGAAA